CCATTTCTGGGCCGAGACAGAAAAACAACCGGATGGTTTCGCAACATCCCATAAACCATCATTGCTCGTCCCCGTTAATTACATTGGAATCCCGTGTCTTCTCACTGAGAAGGTATTCATCACTCGAGGGATTCCGAGAATTCCGAGCGAACCTGTTCCACAGGTTGGTGGGAGGTTGGACCCTGGGAAAGCCCGAAAGCACCTCAAAGAAACCAAACAAAAGACTGTTTAGGTTGCCCAAACACAGCATCAGGGGCTTCATAACAGTAACCCACTTTGGGGTTTTGTAGGATGCCCTTTACCACGCCAGATTTTGTTTTTTTTTCTGATGGCTCCCCATGTGGTTAACCATACTTTGGTCAAACCGCAAGGATTGTAGTCTTTTGAGGGAGGCCTCCTCCTCGAGCACTTGCTCTCGGCCCTCCATCGACTGCAAAGCCCGATCCTGGAGAGGGAGCCTAGGAACAGGTCTCTACGTCTCTACGTGACATGCATCCTGTGGCCAGGGATTGTCATGCCATGGTCGCTGTCCTCACTTTGCATTGACTCCAGCCGCAGCTCTTCGCCTTACTTGCATGGAGTGGTGGCCCTCGCATTCAGTTCAGCAAGATAATGAATGTATGCATGATGTATGGCCACGCCCACAAGCTGGCCGCAGGAAGAACGACTTTGTCTCAAGTTCTCCAAAGGAAGTCCTTGAGTCTCGCATCCCCTCGCATATCCAGAGCCTGAAGATGCCTCAGATATGCCTCAGCCTCAACTCTCTGCACCCCAGTCGCAGGCTGCAGTGGAAGTCTCGAGCTGGACCTCCCAGTGCACATGGAGTCATGAATCTCATGAAGGTTTTGCTTCAGGAGGCAGTCACGCGCTCAGCTGCGCACTTTATGGAGTAGGGATGGGTAGGGCATCAGTGCCCTGACATGTACCGTGCATCGTTTAAGGCAATCGGCCTGCAGGTCTCGGGCTCTTCGCTTGTACTCCTGGGATGCAGACGGTCTGGACACAAAAGCCTCAAGCTGAGAAAATCTGCCGAGTCAAACCATGAAGGAAACACCCCACTCTCTCGCCACAATCCTCAACTGGAAAACAGAACCCCACCGCAGCTTTTCAATCGGGACTACCCGGCAATAGCCTTTCCGGCAATGCCAATGACCAGCCGTGAGAGGCTAGAGGAACCCTTAAAAGAACTGCAAGAACTTGGAACATGCCGAAAACTCCTCCGCCTCTTTCTGGGCTTGCTCCAGCTGCTCCAACGCCTCAGACAGACTTCCGATTCTGTTTGCAGAAGACTTTGGTGAGCTGGTGGCTGAGAAAAGGGGTCCTGTTCCTGCCGCTGTTACTAATGCTACTGCTGCTCTCTCCTACTATTTCTGCCTCTGATACTTTCGTGGTGCAACTTTGGCCACATTCTTCCAAAGACCTTCTGCGAGATGCTTTCACGTGTAATCGTACAGGGGGGGCGCTCTCAGTGCCGAAGATCGTTTCAAAGCCGCCAAACGTGACAGCCTTCTACTGGTCCGGATTCGATGCTGCCCTTCCGCGCCTTTCCCGGAACTTTCGCACAGCTTCCGCAGAATCCAGTGTCCCTGCTGGATTTGGCTAAAGCACTGAAATGCGTCATCAAGACTGTCCCTCAAGGTTGCTGGTGGATCTAGAGTTGAGAGACAGCCCTGCTTGTGAGCGGGCCAACACTCACAAATCACAGCTGTTGTTTCAAAGTGCTTGCTCGGAGCTTTCACGCATACAGGGTCCCGCGAACCTTTCCACATGCCGGCATGCGCACAGCCCCGCACTCATCTCGGACTGTCAATGCAAATTGCAGTTCCGCTCTTTTCTAACATTCGTGCCGTTTCATTCAGGTGACTGGTCATCGTAGTTACCGACTGCTGGCGGTTACTAGCACGGCAAAGACAAACAACACATACATGAATAACCTGATAACCTCAATTCACAGAATTACACACGTTACACATTCTCCCCACCCCCACTCTTTCCCATCAGTTTCCCTTCCAACTTGAGGCAGAGTCTCCCTCCGCAAGCGTAATGCCTCTCGCGAGCCCGATCGCAAGGAAGTGTCCTCTGCCTGTCTTGGGCTTGGGTTCTTGCTGAGTTGCTAAGCTGGCCCTCGTTCAACACCATGTATACAGTATGTTGGTATACTATATTATATATATATATATGCGTATGCCTCTATGTACATATGTAATTGGTCTTTACTATCTACTATATATGTATGTATATGCATGTGTACATAAACATATATATATATATACATATAGATTTGATGGCACGGCGCTAGCCGCCTGGCCTTTTCAGCTGCGAAATGGCGAAGTTCGTAGCATTCTTGACGACAGTCTTCCAGCTCTCCTGACAGGAAAGCACTGGAAAGCTGTCAGCGGAATGCTTCTCGAGGCAGCATGCCAGCTACGAATGACCATGCTAGCGCGTGGTCGAACATTTGCGCCAGGGATCGCTCCAGTGATTGGACTTCATCCCGGGCAGCATAAAGTTCGGCACGGAGCTGGGTCTGAGGTGACGAGGTGTCGTGGAGCAGGCTCAGCCGAGTTGCTACAAGCTACACTACACGAAAGTTGCGAATGCCAATGCTGGAATTCTGTGGTAACCACGCCTCCGCGCTGACGTTCATCGGGAAAGAAGACGAGGGCTGAGATGATGGCGAGATGGCAATCTCCTCAAGTCCATGATAAAGCTTGGGCGTCCTTTACCGGTGTCATACTCACGAGCTTGGACCGAACAACGTCGAATACCCCGCGGGCATTGCAGTCCAGATTCCTTTCCACCCAAAGTCTCGGGCGGCACCAGAGCCGCATCATCCTCTTGCCAGCTCGGCTCGGGGAATGCTGTGAGGCCAGTGTCCTTGGGGGCGTTGGTTGGCACACGGCAGGTACAATCAACATCTGCATTGCCATCCGTGTCCTCGCTGTCGTTGGCACGTATTTGTTGTGACTGTCCCAAATGCCCACCAAAGGCACCGCGAAATCTGCCTCTTTGGGGAAGACGACCGCAGAGGCGGAGATAGAGCCATCCTTCATCGTCTCGGACATAAACCTGAAAACTCAGATCTCGGGAGGCAAAAGATGGCAAAAGGCTCACAAGCTTCGGGTTGCTCAGCTGCTCTCACTCTCACGGCAGTGCCGCCCAAATCGGCTACGGTGGCATTTCCAGCAAATGCCTCTTGCGAAACTTTCGTGAAAACTACAGTTCCAACGACCAACGCCACTGTCAAAAGCTTACCTCCAGAATCCTCCAGACGACATTGTTATGATTCTCCGTCTTTCGGGCTCGGAACGTGAGTCTCCCGGGCCGGATCATCTCACTGAGCCTGGGGTGGCCGAGGAAAGGGGCAAACCAGCACGACGCGTTTGCCAGTCTGGTGCGTCGCCACTTTTGTGATCTCAAAGGCTTTTTTGGAGCAATTTGGAGTGGTCTCTTTCAAATCTCTGGCATTCAAGCATGCATGCTGCGTCAGCGCGGCCACTTCTTGACAGACTCCTCTTTGGGATTCTCCGGGATAACATAGCCTGCGCACGGTATTTGCTCAAGGTCCGCCACACATGCCGCAGCTCAAGCCCAAATCGTAGCAGAATCAGGATTTCAGGAGCAGATTTCTGCCAGGCTGCCTGCGATTGACACGAGCTTGTCTCCTCTTCAGCAGCAGCAGCTTGCACTCTCTTAGCCGCTTAGCCTTTATCACCTAATCCAGCAGCACTCTGCCTTTGTTCACCGTCGTTCTGCATGCGCGCTACTTCGCCCAGTCCTTGGCGAACTCCAAGTTGGTGTGCTTGGCCATCTGGGTCAACAGAGGCAACGTAAACACCTCAGTGTCATCCAGCAGTGCCGTCGCCCAGGTATCACTGATCAGCCTTCTGTGTCCTTCTGTATCCTTCTGCCACAATCACAGCACTAGAGCAGCCATTAGAAGCTAAGCAAGTCATGAGAAAACTGCTTTGCCGCAAAGACACCATTAAGTTCGAAGCCGAGGTCGCCTTCACCTGTTCTAGGCTGGATCTTCACAAAGAGCAAAACAAAGCATTGGAGGGGAAAATCTTTCCTGAAGAGGCATGCGCAAACAAATCCAGCTGCGTCTGGGGGCTTGGCGGAAACTAACCTCACGCTTCCCTTTCTGCGCTGCGTCATCTGCCAGGAGGATGGCCTGCTTCTGGATGTCCTCGCCTGGTCTAATATAAATATAGCACAGGCTTCGTAGACATCATGAAAACAAGAAGACAAGAGACGGAAAAAGATGAAGAGAGACGGAGCCCAGATCATCCTCTCAAGATCGTCCAAGTTAGAGGAGCAAAATCGCAGGATTCGAGACTCTGGAGACGCGTGGCAGGAAGACAGCAAGCCCCGACCGCTGTCCAATGCTGTCCAGAACAGCCAAGTGTCCGAGCTTTGCGGCTTGTTCTCTAGCTGCTTTCAGCCAGGTCTCCATGGCAACAAGGTCACTTGTCGGAGGCAAACACTGCCCAACAAAATGACTTACTGAGGATCATGGGCTAGAAGTACACAGGTGCCGTCACAACGGCACAAGCTTGAAAGACCAGGACGGCTGTTGATCTAAAGTCCAACACACTCAGTCGGCAAACCCGAGAGATTCCGAATGATTCCGATACAGGTATGCTGCTTGCTTTGAGCTTTAAGGCTCCTGTTGTCCAAGCTGACCAGACAAGTGGATTTCCGCAATTTGGCTCTCAGGGGGTTTCGCCTGGACATGCAGCTCTCAACAGACCAAAGTAGCTTTGCTCGCGACGTTTTCTCTGACGTGGGAAAACAAGCAAAGACACTTGAATGGCGTTCTTCCATGGCGCATGCCAAAACCCACCTGCTTGCCCGATGTCCCGAGCCATCCTAGAGGCATTGTCCTACATGGCCGACAAGGCATAGCACTAAGTACATGCACCCCACAAGCATTTTCACAACAATCGAGGGTCCCAGAATCGCTTTTCAACAGCCCTGCAATGCCCCGAGCTCCACGCCGAACGGATCCATCCATCCGCAGGACCGCAAACGCGCTGCCCGACGCGCAAAGGTCCGCAACATCTTCCAGAGGTGCCTCTCGGGTGCAATTTTAAGTGGAGCAGTCAGGTTGTTACTAGTTCTGGGATGGGGCACATGGAAACTTCACCAAGCACTTGCACCAGCCCAAAGAGCACCAGAAAGCCGAGCTGGGATTCCGGATACTTTTGTTGCTGCTTTGCAGCTGAGGCCGTGAGGGAACGACGGAGTCCAGCCGAGTTACCAGCCACGACGACATACAGTATGTCTCAGTAAGTCGATAACCAAATGCTTCTGTCGGGAAATGGACAGGAGTATTCAAAGGCATGGGCACTGCATTTACAATGATGCTACTGGGTATGCCTCGTACAACAAATGTACAAGACCGATAACTGGAGCTGTGCCAGCTGAAGCATGTTTCAAGTGGCCTCTAGAGATCCACCAGCCATATGGTCACCCCAAGCCACGACGCTACGGTCCGCGCGCAAGGCGGCGAAAGCAGCCTCTGTTGCTGCCACCTGCACGATCTCGGGATATCATCTATTGAGCCCATCATCTGAAACAGGTCCAAGCACGTATCTTGGACAGGGGGCACAGTTTGACAGCCTTCTGCACGCCCCACTGCAGCTGCTCACACACCGCATCTGAGCTGCCACCCGAAGTCTGCGAGCCCCAGGTCACAACCTTGGGCGGGTCTTTTTCCGATCTGGGTTTTCCTGCTCGGCTCCACAGGGTTGAGCGTCACATGCTGGGGTTGCTAGGGCAGTGGCAGAACCGTCACGCCGTAGTGCAGCAAACGCATTGTCGGTTGAGTACCTGGCGGGGAAGACAACATCAGCAAAGCCCAGGCTTGAGGCAAGCGGCCACAGGCAAACGACATTGCACAGCCCATGCACGCATATTCCAAAATCACACGCGGGTGGGTTACACTCTCGTCACGCCCTCCTGACTCGCAGCACAAGCAACTTTACGCACGCCACCAGATTAGCAATGCAAAATTATGATTTCGGCAGATGTGGTCCAGAAGTATTTATATACATCGGGAACCAACAAGTATTCATCCGCATGTTTGCCTGAAGCTTCTCGGCCACGGAGTTGCAATCGCCACCACAGGCTGGCAGCAGCGTGGCTGATGTCAAAAGTGAGCAAGAATGGATAAGATTGGGTATTTGACACTTAACATCGTTCTGTTTCGAGTAATCCCAAACACACACTCACACACTCACTCACACACTCACTCACACACACACTCACTCACACACACTCACTCACTCACTCACTCACTCACTCACTCACTCACTCACTCTCACACCGAATCGTCTAATTGAATAACTTGAGGGTGTGCTTGGTTGTTCGAAGTCGTGTAGCTGATGCCCGCCTTGCCGCATCAGTGACGGATCAAAATAGAAAAACCAACAACAAATCAAGCCCCATGTTTTTAAACACATGCAAGGTTTTCGCACACTTCATGGCTTAGGGTGATTCTTCACGATTACGAACGCCACTGAACGACAACAGGTCGAGGCCGGATGACGCCATGGATGAATTGTCTCAAGGCGGAATCCTGATCACCGGACCACACAAAATGCAGGAAGTGCAAGAGGGCTCATTAATCCGAGGCCTCGGGCCGGAGGTGTATAGGTTGTCAGAACAGGCACCCCCCTCCAAATCCTCCAAAGCCCTTTTTCGGACCCCTTTTTTGGCCTCAAATGGGTACCCCCCTGGGAAACCGGGGTCCGCAAGCGGACAGTTCGCCAGGACCAGAAGCAGTTGAAGCCCTCCCAGCAGGCCCCCCCCCCCTCCCCCCCTACCCCCTCCTCCCCTACCCCCCGACCCCCCCCCCTTCTGACCCTACCCCCCCTACCCTCTTAGGCTCAATCCTAAACTAACCCTCAACCCTAAACAGCGACTTGGGCGCTGCAGAATCACCATGCTCATGCGGATGCGCTGGGCCGGGCCGAGGCGGGTCGCGTAGCGTTAAAATTACTGCTTTCGTTCAATCCAAATGAAGCGCCCCCCCTTCCTCCAACTGTGACAATCTGTCAAAAGGTTTCATAACTTGATTGTTCCCTCGGCGTTGACCTCCTCATTCCTCTCCTGCTCTTCCCCGCCCCACTGTGTTCGGAGCCGATGCACTTTTTTCCACCATCCTGACACGCACACACACACACACACCTGTTCTTTTCAAGCTCCCTACAGGTTTTCATCGGCAGCTCCATCTGCAACGGGTTGATCTTGCGGCCTTTTTTTCCTCTGTGATTGCAACTGTTGCGGTTATAACTTAAGATGTCAATGACTGTGCAAATGCTGATTTGGGAGACTTCTCGTCAGGTCGCATGGTCTGCTGAGTCTGCTGCAGAGAGTACACGAAACTTAAAGTTCAAGGTATCGGGATTCGGACCTAGGGTGTTCAGGGATCAGGGCTTAGACGGTATTTAAGGTTCATAGACTTCGGGTCCCTTAGGATCCTCTCTGCTGCAGTGGTCACGCGGAAAAAAAACTCCCCGAGTGAGCTACCCTAGCGGTTGCTCAGCAGGAACCCAACACTTCCCGCAACAGTGTGTGCTGTTGTTTTCCTTGACACACGCATGCGCTTCAATCGCGAACAGACTTCGGCAACCTAGGCTCAGAGCTAGGAACAGCTTTGGGAAAAGTGCCACGGGCACGCCATGTTCCTCCCCGAAGCAGGTTCCACTCCTGCCCCGCAGCTCCTTCTCCGGGTCAACTCCGGGAATGGCTCCCGGAATCGCGCACTTGATTCGGACACCCGCAACACAGTCGCAGTATAGTATTCTGCCCTGCCCCTAGTGGCCCTAGTGTTAAGGCAAACACTGGGTGGGTCAAGAGTTTCCTGCCTTTTTGGGTCGACCCCCAAGGCTTGACCCCCAAACGGCAGCATACCTCGCCGACATGGCTCGTCTGGCAGAGCAATGTCAATCAGCTTGCGACGTTTGGCAGCAACTCGGCCCTCCCAAACACCCATCACGTCCCCACCCCCCCAAAAAAATCCTGCTTCGCCACAGTCATGTGGTAGAGATTGAGAGAGGTTCGGGATGAACTGGGAGCTGGGACATCCATGCTTCCTAGTGCCAGCTCCTTCGGATCCTCTCAAGAACCAACCAGGGCCCCAAAAACGCTGAAGTTGCAGATTGCCGGATGGTGCAGTGCTCTTCGCACCTACATGGCCCCAAGCAGTCACGCCGCCATTTGCATCGACCTTGTGAGCCACGACTCTGGTGCTGCCAACCTTGTGTATTGTCCCTGAACGAAGCCCCGGACCCCCTCAGCTCCTACCGTTTCGCGACGGTCAGAAATACGTACGCGACGTCTACAAGATTCTACAAGAACACACGGCCAGAGCCCCCGACTGCTGCAAATGCACCCCGGGTCGAGTAGATGCTACCTGGCATCGGTGCTGCTCACACACGCGAGCTCTTGAGACAGCGAGATGGAAGAGAGGGAGAGAAGAGACACAATCAGAAAAACCATCCTCAAGCCTGTGCACCCTGTGCCTTCTCTTGCACTCCCATGCTCGACCTTCTTGTCCGACCGACCAGACCCCCGATGCCCTGATCTCAGCTCCAAGCTAATCCGCTTTGTGCCCAAATCCGGTTCATGTGCCTCAGCGGAAACTGCAAGCTCGAGTCTCTGCATGAGCGGTCCATTCCGCCGAGGTGCACTTGGGTACAAGCAGCCCCAGCTCACAACGCTGCCATCGCCTAGCGTGTCCATAACAAACATAACAAAGAGCAAACGCACACTGACAATTCCTATCTTTGCCGTGAACGTGCGGGTTAAGTGCTGCGCGTTTCAAGGCTGCAAAGGCTCGGTCAGTTGTCACGATTCGGCGAACCTTGGACACTCTGTGGAGAGGAACTTGACTCATGCTATCTGCTGCTGAGCTGAGGGCTCGACGCCGCCATTCTCACCCAGTTTGGCCTGCACTATGGGGGATGCTTAGCGACATGATCAGTGAAGGGCTGACCATGGGTGACTCCTAGGAGGCTTGCAATTCAACTACAGGCAACTGTGGAAGAATCTCTTGGGATACTATCCGTCCAGCCAACCGAAATCCTGGAAGGCTTTAACTTAGGGCTCCGCTGAGAATGCAGCACAAGACTTAGCTGACAATGGTGAACCTGTTGCCAGTACTGGTGCTGGTGGTGCTTCTTATCACCAGCATGAAAGGCATGTGGCCTGCAGGTTGTCGTCTATCTGACCGCCACAGGACTGATGTCCCCACCTCAGCGGACAGAACTTTTGAAGGCCAGGCCTTACAAGTAACAGGAAGCAACGTCGGACCAGACAAATACTGTTGCGCATTTTCTAGTAACTCTAGTACTGAGAGCTTCCACGGCACGTAGAGCTGTCGTATGCATCAGTTATGCATATGATGAGGCCCCGCCCCTGTCATCGTGCAGGAAAATGAGCACCAGGCAAAATGCGAAATTTGGGTTCGGGTCTGACTACACTTTGGCTTGGACCTTCACCCTTCAACCTGGACCTTGCTGCACCTTTCTCCTCCACACAACACAGAGATTTCTTTTTTCTCATACAAGTACAAGTCCAGAACTGGGAGAGGGATGGAGGTTTTAAACCTCCGACTCAAGTTCTGCCTACTTAGCCTACTTCGAACTTGTGGGAATGTGCGTGGGCATCGATGAGGCCCAGGATGATCCCCGAGCCTGATTGAAACACGTAACACCGTTCAGAGCGAGTGTTGGGTGTTCAGGGCGGATTTACGGAATCCGCCCTTCGCCCTCAGCCATCACCTTCTCCGTCACCAAGCTCATGAGCCCCCAGGTTCCGAAATGCTTAGGGCCAGATTGATTCTCTTTTTGTTAACCCCACACCATAATCACCATAAACCCGAAAATGCCCGAAAACCATTACTGGAAGAGCATTATGGTCCCTTGCTTTCTGAAGCTACGGTTGCACTCCAAATGAAATTGGTCTGAGGCCCTGCTGGCACCCCGAAATGAGCCTGGTTGGCTACTCCTGCGCCGGGTGCTATGTTTTGTGGTTAGGACAGAACCCAATATTAAACTATTTCAGGCGAGGGTCTCAGAGTTATGCATCTTGACATGAGGTTTGGCGACCGACAATTGGACGCGTGCCATGATGCCAGCCCTGCTCTGAAGCCTTGAAGACTACGGATGTGAGGCGTTCACCCTGCTTTCATGCAGGCCCTGATGGCTTGGGGTAATGTGATGCGCGGGAGAGTCAGGCGAGAACACCTGTATCACGTGGAGCTCTATGTCTCTACACGGGGCTCTACCCAGGTCTGGAGTCCACCGTGCTGCCTTGCTATAAGCGGGGAAGGGAGAAGCTGCAGTTGCGGAAGCTGGCTTCAGAACATCTGTTCGGGACCTGGCACGACGACGGAGCCATCGACGCGGATCGCCGCAAATGCCATCAAGTTGGCTGCGACCTCCTGGAAGCTGCTTCTAGACCCTGAAAGAAACATCAGAACCATCAGCGTCCGCCCAATAAGCAACAAATACAGGAACGCATGCGACTGGAAGATAGGAAGGGAAGCTATCACACCAAGGCACCCACTCGCCTGGACATCCTTGAGCTCAGCCTCGACCTACGTACAGAATGCTGAGAACAATAAGAAGGACGTGACAGCTTTGCGTTTTGCAAATAGGCATGGCTGCTCTTAGCTGCTCTAGTTCTTGTCAAGCATTGTGTTGACCCAACCGGCCTTGACTGGACCGCAAGAAAAACAAAGCATGCAGGCAACAGCTGCCTCACTAGTGTCTCCACCGGCAAAAGGGGAGCCCCATGCCACCACAGAGCCATCGCCCTGCAGATACACAGGCACAAAGCCGCTATGCGTCAAGCTTCAGGCAAGGCTGTGCAGGATGTCGACGGGGCAAGCACAAAATCCAGAACGTGCATGTTTCGGCTTATGGCGCAGCATGGATTGGAGCAGCTCACTTCCTAAAAAAGTGTTGTGATTGCAGGCAGAACAAGAAGAATGCAATGCAGCGTCAGCCTGGCAAGCTGCAAAGGCGAACCGCGTGGACTGGACACCTGTTTTGGGAGCGCAGTCTTCGTCTTCGTCTGTGTTAATGGCCGGGAGATCTTGCCGTCGTGCGACGATAACATTCATGATCGCGTGTGCTTCTTGGCTGTCACATGGATGCAGCAACAGCTTCAAAGGTTTCCAGGCCACCCCACGCAAGCGTCCGACGAGGGCTGAAAGCACACAGTCCTGATGAAGAAGCAGGACCCCCCTCTAGTCAGTTTAGGGACATTTTGGTTTGGTGGATGGGGGGTAGGAGCATGAAGTCCAGCTATGATCATGACCCTACCGTCCCACTCATGACTTGAATTGAATGCCTGACAGTGCGCAACATTTTCGGTCTGCCGCCCCTTTGTACGGTTGTTGCGATAATTAATGGTCATCGTTGGCAATAGGCGTCAGCTTCAGTTCAGGATGTGGGCAACGGAGAAACACCATCACCCTCTTTACCGCCATTCAGCTGAAGCAAAACAGTGGCTGCGACACTGAGAAAACAACAGGCTTTTCCCCATCATTCGCTGCACAGAGCTCCCTTGTGCCAATCCCACCTGTGGAAGATTCAGCTCTGCAAGCGTGGCGTCCAAGGGCAACGGCACCTGGAGAGGCTTCGGTCTCACTCCAACATCTTGACCAATGCGAGCCCTTCGTATGTCAGGCCTCGCTGGGCGGGTCCGAGGGAGAGAAGCCCAGCAAAGGTCTGCTTGACAGAACAGGCGATTAGGGAAACATGGGGGAATAGCTTGGCAGGTGTTCAGTTCAGCAGCGCTGTCTACAGAATTGTTGCTTGCTCACCTTGCTTTGCGTTGTCAGGACTTGGAAAGAACCTGTGGGTGGGTGCGTGTAGTGCATGCCATGCGTGTGCCCAAGAAAGAACAGGTCTGGTTAGTCCAGCGTTAGCTTGAGGCTTCTCAAGTTCCCCACCACTGTTCCAAGTTGTGCGCAGTAAGCTGGGCGCAACTGTCCCTGTCCCACCACTGATAAAGCGAGAAGATCTCTGGGACTTGGGCTGCTCATGGCCTTAAAGACCGACATGCTAGCTAGCGCAGACTAGTTTCTGAGCATTTCTCTTGCACTCTGGAGGGTTGCACGCTTTGTCCAACTTGAACTGCTGGAACCGCTCCTGCCAAGAGCTCGCTGAGCCACGTCTCTCAGTTGGCGAAGCGTGTCGCTGCTTTGCGCGGACACGCAGGCCTGGCAGCAACATATACCGAGAGCTGTAGCCGCAAGTTCACCATAACTGGTTCACTTTCAAGATGGTTTCAAGTCCACTTCTTCGTGCGTGCATGTCCGCCTTCTCGCCACTGAGCAGCGTCACCCAAAAGCGGCACTGGCCCACCTTGCCACAGAACAGCAGATACTTACAACAAACAGTGACAGCTTCAATCAGGCCCATCTGAGAAATCTTGTGTCAAAACAGCTATGCTGTGCTAGTCGCTTGGTGACGCGCCGGCCAGCCTTGTTGGGTGGGTCCGATTGCTCCATGGCAAGACTACACCAAACCCAACTATCGAGTACGTATAATCGGTGCATCTAACGATTGGACAGAAGGTTGCAACTGCAGGCATCAAGCAGAAACCCCGTGCCATGTGTCCGCGGGAGCTCCACTAAGTTTTGGGGCAGCTTAAGCCAAATTTGCAGGTCCGAGAACCTGGAGCATCCTTGACAACGCAGGCCTCAGCGCCGCTGATGAATTATTCGAGCCACCGCAGCTTGTTTTCCGTGTGCCAGGCAAGTATGTCACAGTACGTCTGGTGCTAGATTGCAGCTGAACACTTGGTGCTCAGCTACCTTGTCGCCTGGCTACGGGAAATCTGGATGTGTGAAGTTGTTCCAGCCTGCCGTAACAAGCATGTGCTGTCGACCAGGCTGGCCGACTAGCCCCGTGCATTAAACTTCCGTTGGCGTCTGCTATTCAACCTCTCTTCCCAGCTAACAACATTTTTACAGCGAGATTCAAGCAACTCTTTTGCGGATTTTCACGTCAAGGACGCCACGCCTATCACTCTCGACGAGGCGTTGCCTCGCTCTGAGCGTCGAAATTCCACAGCTCCTGCTAGGTGCCCCGAGGCCCGAGATTGGCTGCAGCCACAAAAAGCCACCAAACAAACACTTCAAGTCCTCAAAGGAGAAGGTGCGGCGACAACTTCAGAAGTGCGATGAGCAGCGTTGCTGCTGCTACCAAGACATGGCCGCCAGCAGCCACCTTTACGGCAACAGACGGCAACAGGTGGCAACGGCTTTCGTTAACAAATGCCTTCCATTCGCGACTCATCGCGAGAATCCCTAACAAACAAGCACACCAGGATGCAGTGCCGGCAAGTTGCCTGGTAAAGCGCGAAAGCGACCAAAGCACAGAGGCAAAGCCACGCCCAGAACTTGGAGACGCTCAGCGCCAAGCCATACATCATGTCACCATGCCGACTCTTATAGCTCCAACCTAGGGACGCAAGGTTCGGGAAAAACTGGCTGTGCTAGTGCACTGTGCCAAGTTCTTTCGTGTCTGAAAATTGTCAGGGCAGGAGGCACTGAAACGAACCGCGAGCAAGCCTAATGATGGTAGTGTGGCTCTCCAATTGGAACCGGGTGTGTCATTGCAAATGATCGTTGCACTTTGGATGGTACTGATTCTCAACTGCCTGGATGTGACAGTTATTGCAGTAGAAAGACTTGACAGAACGTTAATGGAAGACACTGCTGTAGCGTTGTCAAGATACATGCGATAGCCGGCTGCCTCGACAATGAATCACGAAAGAGGAACAAGAAAAGAGCAACCTCTTGCAGTTTAGAAGCCAATGTGCTCCTCGCACTGAGTGCACACAAGCACCCGGTGAGCATGTCCCTCGAACCAGCTATTTTCCAGCATCGCCTCTGGGCCTCGCGCAAGCTTTCAGTTGGTAAGTTGGTGACTACACGTTCCACTTTAATTAAGAATCAGATGATGCCCTTTTGCCTCAAAGCCACACAAAGGCATCCTAGTGCAAATGACCCTCTCAGACCCAAACCAAACGCGGAGTTGTCCTGAACCGACCATATGAACGGAACCAGGAAATCTAGCAGCGCTACCTTTTCGGCCATTCCCGGCTTGTGGAGCAGGCCTATTTCCGTGGCGGCTCTGGCAATGATCTTTTCCACCAACACAAGCTCGAAGCGTCGCGGGAATGGGTTGATGACGAAGGACTGACCTTTGATTTCGTGGGGCTTCAACACATCTCGGTGGGTTAACCCAGCCAAAAAAACAGTTTGCCATAGAAAACCCCTAACCATAAACCCCAGCCCTGTGGCCTATGGAGCTCCCGACCGCCCCGTGCCCTCGCCTTTGAACCCGTCAACGACCCGCCTCTAGACCCCTTTTATCCCCTCTTGCTACATGAACCATGCTTGAACGGCCGCGGCACCTCCTTACCTCATTCTGAACCTCCTTGCTGCAATGGACCCTTCCCTCGATAGACCTCTCTCTGGACCTTCCACGACCTGGACCCCTTTGCTGCTATGGATCTTCCTGTGAACCCTACGCCTCATGCATCGCTCCGTAAACACCCTTATGGACGCTGCGGCTGTTCCTTGGACTCCCTGAACATGCCTTGCAGCTTTCGTCTTCGTATCGTACTTGCTTGAGCTTTGGGCTTTTGAGCTCAGAAGGGCGTCAGGTGCTAGAACGTGGCTGCGTGTCCACGCTGTTTCAGTTGGCCCCTGGAGGCACCAACGCATACCAAGCCCAGTTTCATTGTGCTTGGCCAATGGGGTTCCCTCTACATCTGTGGACCTATCCATGGACCGGGCCCCCAATGGATACCTATGAACGGACCTCTTCTCGTCTTCTCGTTTGCACTAAACCGATAGAACTTCAACACCAGTTGAATGTTGGATTTCCTGGTGTAAGATGCTGGCACTCCTTTCCGGACATGCCTCTGGACTCCTTTGCTGTATGCACCCACTTATATGATGGGTCCATGCTCGTCCTATAAACACCCCTATGATCTCCCTGCACTGTGGACCTCACTATGACTCCCTACCGCCCACTATGGAACCCCCATCCGGCGCGTGCAGGCCGCGCCGAGGAAAGGGGCGCGTTAGCGAAAACTTGTTGTGAACTGGCATGGCTCAGCTTTTGTCAGGACTTGCAGCGGAGTCGCAGGTGGAGAAAAGCAGCGTTCTTTTGCCAGCGACTTCGCAGCTGTGTGCGGAGATCCCGGAGCAAGGCACCACGCGCGAATCTGATGCTGGTAGCAAGGACGCCGCCTGGCATGCGGATGCGTAAGAGTGCCTTTGCAAAAAAAGTGGTGACTTTTTTTGCTTGATACCTTCCAGCATCTTCCAGCTGAAGCTCAGCTTCAAGGAAAAATCGCAGCATTTTTGCAACAGCTAGTCACCTAGTCCGCACCCCCGACCTCAGCAAGCTCTTGGCCGCAGGTGGAGCAGCGATAGGAAGCGCCCACGAGCTCCGCAGGCATGTCGATGGCTTAATGGTCCATGTGGCAGTGTCTGAGTGTCTCGGCTTAGCCTCTACACTTATCTCCATCAGCTATCTAGCTATCTGAAACCTGATATTGAAGTCGAGAGGATGTCAAAACGCATGTGCAAAAAGCCATCAGGAGGTTCTTGGGCAACACCATCTCAGCATGTCTGCAGGCGGGAAGTATGAGTCGTTGGGTTGAGAACGTGCAGATGTTCAGATTTTCTTCACAAGTCATGTGGCCATTGTGTGCGAATCTGCGAATCTGGCATTAGTTGGCATGAGTCGGCTCACTGATGACGTAGTAGTCGTGGGAGGTTCGTGGGAGGTTGTGCTTATCCAACGCCCCGAGATCTTTAGGCCGAAAAGCTGCTAGCTGATAGTGTGGCAGATTCCTGTGGCAGCATTGAGCTCTACCTTGTTCTTGCTCTGGTCAGGTGCCCATTGTGCAGTAAGAGTTCCTGCGCTAACGACCTGAAGCACGGCAGAATGCACCTCCTTACGAAAGCTTCCATGTTCCACATCTCACATCCGATTTTGCACACTCCGTCTTGCCTGGCACTGCAACTTTGGCACGAATGGGCCAGCGAGTCTGACGGGGGGCTGGCATAGGCTTCCCTGGAACTGGGTGGTAATGTGCTGTCTCAAAAGTAACCTGGGAGGGCAGCTCAGTGGACAGTGGACAATGCTTCGTCGGACGCAGGTCGCGCTTCCTTGAGTTTAGCCTGCTGCCGATTCTGAAGGAGCAGAGTGGCGTGTTGTTTTTTCAGGGTTTCAGGGGTTTCAGGGTCCTCGAGTCTACAGTCTACAGTCGATAGAGCTTCTGCCCAAGGCGGGGGCTCCTGTCTTCCCATAGAGACCGTGTAGAGACCAAACAGAACCAGTTCGGCTTCGAGCCTTTTGTTGCGGACCCTTTTCCTCCCAGTCCACACCTCACAGAAGTCAATTGATGCGTTCAGGGCTTGGTGAACAACTATGGCATCTTCATTCCCAGGCGCTCGCCCATGAACCTTCGTCAGTGCCCAGCGATCGCCTGTCCACGGCAAATGTGACAAGGAATCTGCAGATGTCAGAGTCCATTGGCTGGCACCCCATGTCCCTTGCACAATTGCAGGCTCATAGGACTGGTGGAGTTCAGTAAAACTGGACAGCAGTAAAAACATGTGATCAGCGTGCATCAAACACTGCGAAGTCATGGGCCTGAACGCTGTTCTTTGACCTGCGACGCACAGTGCTCTGTTTCAGGAAAGAGAGCTGCTGAAGACAGCATTTCAGAGACCCCTCGCTCTCCACTCAAATCAGCTACTTGGACCACGCGTGTACCAGAGCAGCCACAAGAGCCCAAGAGTTTGATCAATCCGACGCCCACTCGTGCGCTTAAAAAGTCAGAGAGCTCAACTCAAGGGCTAAGCAACATCTCAGGTACAGTGATTAGAGGATTAGAGGGGTGGTAGTGAACCAACGGCTCACGAAGGCGCGGGCCCCACTGGCGCCTCACAACGAGTGCACCGCGGAACGCGGCCGCCAAAAGCATCAGGCCCCCAAGGGCTGCTGAAGCCGCTCCCAACAGCTCGGACTTGTCCATCGGCAGCTCCGGTGAAGCCAGAAACTCCGTCGAGTAGATCCACCAATTCTTGTTGCCGTCTTTGGCGCCCTGATCGCCAGGGGTGCAACACCTGCATCCCCAGCCGTGATACGTGTGACTGAACCTTACTTTGCAGCACGCACAGCTGGAGTGCATGTGACATGGCAAGGAGGAAGCGAGACTCCAATCTAGAAAGCAAGGCCGCGAGAACATGCTTGGAAAGGTCACACAGACTCGCAAGCCTGAGGGCTGAGCATAAAGGTGGACCCGCACGAAGGCTGCGAGGGCAGCAGTGCCGCACACTCTGCCGGCGATGCCACTGTGCCAAAATCGTGCTTCCACCTCAGCTCCCACCACTTCAAGGAGCGGGTTTAACACACAACAGTCCACAAAAACACACAACACCCCAGTGTGGACACTCCAGCAGAGAATTACACAGCAGCGGCGAGACTACTCAACAGAACATGCAAGACCCCATTGTGGACGCTACATGTCGCTCGCCGTGCGTGCTAACTCAAGACTGACGAAACCTCGCGGATGCTGATGTTTTACATGTTGCAGCGTTTCAGAGAGGGTTTCGGCCGCAAATCCCGAACTAGATGCTTGTTTTCGCAGACTTCTCAGAAACGTCCAAGTCATTCAACTTTCTCTGGCATCATGTTTCGTTCCCAGAGAACGCCTCTTGGTAAGCAACGCGGAAAGTCATACCAATGTGTGTCCCCCCGCTACACACCCACAGAAAAACCCAGTACCAAGCTTGTACTACAAATCAATGAATTCTTGTCGGCTCCGGACACAGGCGATTCTAGTACTAAACTCGTATCTGCAGATCAACGCAGCTTTGTGGACCCTCCCCATTGCTGTTGCAAGAAGAGATGGCAGTCAGTCCAGCCCAGTGTCATTCCCCGGTGTGGACGCTCCCCACACACTGAAAAAAAAGAGTCCTCCAAGTATAGAACGTGACTGCCCAAACTGTATTCGCCAGTGTGGACGCTCCCGGCTGCGAATCTTCAACCCACCGCGGCGAAATAAAGTCGCCAGCATTGCCGACGAAGAGGCTGAGGCAGACCGAGCAAGAGCAGAGTTGCCTAGAGGAGAAGCAGCATGAGGCCAGAGGAGTTGTAGCACGAGTCTACTTCACGAGCTATACTTCATCCAAAACTGTATGCGCAACTAAACCCTAAACCCTAAATCGCGACAGGAACCCGGAGGGGACCACTGACCAGAAGCTGGAGCGAGCGATAGCGAGCGCAGACGCAACTCGCAATGTCGATGCAAAAAAGCAACAAGGCAAAGGAAAAGGGCTTAGGGTTCAGGGGTTCGGGCACGAAGAAGACCAGGAGCTACTTTGCCATAATCAATAGGTGTACAGTGGCTCAAAATCCCCAAAGACGGCAGCAAGACCACGAAAAAAGTAAGTTCAGCTTACCCCCTTAAGGCTGCACAGACTCTAACAGTGTCCCCATGGTGTGTGGAGCAATGCCTGCAACTGCAAACTGAAGGCATCACCCCCGACCAGAAGGGGAAGTGGCAACTGATGATATAGGCTTCAGGGGTAGTAGGCGCCAAAAGTCTTAGGCACCGGCTCTTGACACCCTCCGTTGTTTGAGACTTCGTGCGCCGCCTCGTAGATCGAGTAGAGCTGCCAGTTCTTGTTTTCGTCGTTGGCACCCTCATCGCCGAGAGCGCAGCACCGGCATCCCCAGACTGGATAGTTTTGGCTGTACATGAAGGTGCCACCGCACGATGGCTCAAGGAAAGTCTGCGCTGCGCACTGCTGAGCGGATATGTTGCCGAAGTTGCGCTGCTCCTTCTTGCAGCCGCCATGATTCCAGGAGATGTTGCGGGCTCTCACACCTGCAAAGAAGGCTCCACGAAGCTCCGGGACTTTCGAGAAGCCATCATTTTTGGGGTTCTGCCGCAATCTGCACAAAGCAGCTCCACTGTTCTTTTCCTCGCGCAGCCAGTATTGGCACCGGCTGTCGCGCCTGCATTCTAAGCAGCACGCGGCATCCAGTTCATCCGGCCCAGGGCCAGACACGGTGACTAGTGCGACCTCCTCCCCAGCCACATCCCAGCCCACAAACGATGCCGAGCAAGGCTGCGGCTCGAACCCGGGGAGGATCCAGCTCTGCCTGCCGGAGCCATCCAGGGAGCTGGACAGTTGGAGGCCGTTCTCGGACCAACTGAGGAATCGCCGATCTGCTGCAACACCGCCAGACACCATGACGTTGTAACCACCGTCGTCAGATCCTGTGATGACCCACCTTTGCCTGCCACTGCCATCATCCTTCTCCCAGAGATGTACCACCTTTCCGTCAGGGCGGCTGCTCAGAAACTTCGCGGCTCCGTAGCCACTGGTAACAATGTGGTAGTACTCTCCGTCACCTTGCCTGATGGTCCAAAGTTGATGACCATTGGCATCCACGCCCTCGAACATGGATGCCATGGAAAAGGAGGACCTCGAGTAAGCCCGTCCCAACTTCGAGAAACTGTCCACGTAGTTGCTGAAGAAAGAAGAGGTGCCTGACATCACGTCAATCTTGTAATTGTTCACCATGTGCCGCAGAGACTGGCCATCAGTGCGCTCGCCATGCCAGTGGCAGTGAGTCTGTGGGTCTTCGAAAGAGCCCACACCAAGGCCCCACTCCACCTGTAATTTGGCAGACTCACTTATTTCACGGTCTGGCACAATGTCGTCGGCCGCTTCGTACGCAAACTCCATGTTGCTACTGATGCCTCCATAGTCTTCCCTCTTTGGGGAGCAGGTGGTGTGAATACTGTCGGACCTATATCGAAGTGCCGAATCATGATACTTCTTGATCAGCTCGGCATACTCGTCGAATTTTGACTGGGCATCCTTCATCTTGGCCTCGGCGTCCGTGGGATCTACCACCAAGGCTCTGAGGTGCATCATGTTCAACTGGAGGACTGCATTGGTGTAGAGCTGCGGCAGGGTGTAGTACGCGAAGTCGAGCAGTATGGTTTCGCGCCGGAACTGGCCTCCAATATTGTCCAAGGACCCCACGATCTCCGAAAGATCGGTGTCCTTCGTGCTTCGAGCCTTGTAATGCTTCAACTCCTCCGTTCGTTCCACGATTGCGTCGTACTTGCCTTGGAGCGACTCAAGAAAATGCTTGGCCTCCCTGGCCGCTTCCTCCTGCCTGAACTTTTCGAACAGGCCGTTCAGGTCGAGAGTCAGTGACTGCTCTGGCTGGTCGGACAAGCCAAAGAAGTTGATGACCGTTTTGACCAGAGTGAAGCCCTTCTCGAAAGCTTCGGCGGGCTGCAACTCAGAGACCCCGTCCAAGACTTCCCACACATGCTCGGCCACCTCCTCAGACTTCTGAGACACCTTTACGACGTAGTCGGGATGTGTCCGACAGATGCGACACCCAGTGTCCACGATAGGGCTTGGCAAATCCCAATTCTTCCATTTCGGATCAGTCATGACGTCTTCGCTGGTGTCGCAATACATCGGATCACAAAGGCGAAAGCAACTGGGATCCTCATTCTCATCGCATGAGTCTATCTGCCTGGGCTCGTCCGCAGCACTCGGAGGGGGCGCCGGACCTTCACTTATCTCTGGACCGGGAGTTCCTCCGAAGTAGGGTTTAGGGCGACTTGGGCCGCCTCCCATGCTGCGCTTGGGTAGCCTGCAACTAAAGAACGGCCTGGGCCAAACAGTCTCCGCACTTGCTGGCGTCCCGCTTTTGGGCTTTTGGGCTGGGGCCGGCTCTGAAGCTGTGGGGCTAGGCAAAAAAAGGCTGTATAGGCTCCATAAGCTAGAGGGTTGCAGGGATGCAAGTGCTGATTGTCGGGTTTTGGCTTCACGGTTGCTGGTTGTCGGTTGGTTCGATTTTGCTGCCTGGTCAATGGTACGCGGAGAATAAAAGATTAAAGGTTGTTGGTTGTTGGCTGCTCGCGCGTGATTTTGGATTCATGTTAGTGATTGCTGGCTGTTGGTCATCGCTCGTTGTTTCAATGCTGGACCTTCTCTTTGCTAAGGCCACCGCCCTGGACATTCAGGATCGGCCCACTCTTGGAGGGGTTCCCAATAAAGACAAGTCTTGTTGGCCGATACGTTTATTTCTTCAGGGGCCGTCACATGCCTAAACAGCCTAGAAACACGGTTGCCTCGGCGCAGCTTGAGGAGTCGCCGTCAAAGACCTCGGATGGGGAATTCAACTCTCATGGTGCTTTGTTGCATCTGAGCGTTGCAGGGGCATTTGCAGGTCTACAAGGTGTTTGCCTCTGCGCGAAGTGCTGCTCATTGTTCCGGTACGTGTTGCTGCTTATTGGATAAGTTGCAGAGCCATCTTCTCCAGAATCGAGCCACTGCTGGTCACTTGGGAATGAAGCCTTTTGACTATCCCCAAGGATCTTTCAATTGGTGGTCCAACAGGCTCATTTTATTCCCATCTGATCAACCGAAGCTTGGGCGCCCAAACTTGAAGAAGCTCTTGTAATTACCCTTCAAAGGAACCCTCACAGAACGGGTGTTCATCTCGTCAGTCCGGGCCAGCAATCAAACCAAGAGAGCGGAACGCCCTAGACGCCCCATATTTAAGATGGTTTCATACGTTTTGTTACGACGAATATTCATAGGCTTTAACATTTTGCTATGTTTTCGTGTTGCTTAGAAGTTTGTGGGACACTACTCCTTTAGGTCTTCAAACGGGCGGGTCGCCATACGGGGTGCGGCGCGGCAAGCAAAGGCGGAAAGGACGTCGCCGACCATGGCGGCGGGGCCATCGCCGGTGGGGCGGTTTAAGGGGTCCGCGAGACGGGGCGCGGTGCCGGTGGGGCGGGGGCGTTCCTTGCAGGGAAGGGGGGGGGGGGGGTTCCTTGCAGGGAATGGGTCCGCGAGACGGGTGTAGTGTCGGGGGGTTCCTTGCAGGGAAGGGGAAGAGATAGAAGAGAGTAAAAAAAGAGAAGATAGAGAAATAAAAAACAAAAAAGCAGAAGCACAAACAATAAGAGCGTGATGTTTTTGGACTGTTGCAAGTTTGCGTACACTTGCACCCTCAGCATGGCTTGGATCGTCAGTCCCTGAACCATTACACCCTTCCTATTTGCTGACACCCATAAAACAATAACGCCCTGGCCCGAACCCTTGACCCCAGTATCCTCTCCCCCAAAACTATTCAAACCGGGGCTTTGGCACGGCGGAGGTGCTTCGGGGGTGCTGCCTTAATTGTCAAAATGTTTTCTTGCATAAAAATAATTACAGAAGACCCCCCCTTCCGGCTCTTTCAGAAAATTTATGGAGGTTTCGATTTTGGGGTGGGTGGGGGTTGGCCCGTGCCGCTAGGCCTAAAAATAGTGTAGTATTGGCTCCGCAGGAACGTACGAATCCTGGGCAGGCGGTTGCTGGCACAAATATTGTTTGGCTTCTGAACAGGACCACACGAATCCAGGGCCGCGGCCACTGCGTGCCCTCTTTTTCTGCTTTCGAGGAGGACGGCCGGGCGGTCCTTCTCGTGTGGCATGTAAAGGGGCCATTTGAACATCCCAAAACTCGGCACGGGGGGGTAATGCTGTAAGATGGAGTATCCGGTCCTGGACGGTTTTTGGGTTCCCAGGTTGACCTTGTTTTTGCCCCCACCCCCCCCCCTTTTCAGGCAGGAGACTCTGTGAGGCCTATTTGAAGCTTAGCTACTCACTATGAGGCAGTGCTCATTATTCATTTTTCCAAGCATTGACCCTCTTGAATGAATCATACCCTGCAAGGCAGCTCCTTTAGCATAAGAAGAATTGCAGTCGACATTCCTGCAAACAAGCAATGTCGCAGCATGGCGTGTATCACAATAATTACTTGGATGTTTGACTCTCACACTCGCACAAGGCAGGCCAGGATTCGGAGGTTCTGTCATCTGTACTGGAGTACTGAAGGGTGATGATAATCCCCTCCGTGCAAGGAAAGGAGGGCATTGGATAGAGCATTCCGTAATCCGATAATCTTATCGACATGTGCTACATGCTACCATAGTGCTGGGGGTGCGGTTGCAGCAGCAATTGCTAACCTCCCAATCCCCCGACCTCTCAGCGGTAGCGACGACGCAGATCTTCTGCAATCCAGTCCGCCTTGGAGCCGAAAGATTGAAGGTTTTTGTTCGGACACCCGAGACATCTACAATCCTCTGACTAAGCCTTGGGCCGGATCCTCCTCATCTTCCGGGAAATTGACCAAGAAGTCAGGCAGCCAGGCTCCTAGCTTTCATCGGGGTAAACTTGCGAATGTTCTCCAAACTGATCCGAGCCAACAAGGAATGAAACGAAGAGCCGCATGAGCAAACCATGCCGGCCGTGAGTTCCGGACTGCACAGCCGAGTTTCCACTGGTCCACTGGTCCCGCTGCATCGTTTCCAGCCTGTCCTGCACACCATCCGTGGACAACCGTCATTTGCTGCACCAGGCTTGGTGGTCGTTGAGTCTAACCGGACTTCCTGGGTTCATGCACAAACTTACAGTTGAAAGTAAGCCCTCGCATAAATCGTGTTCCCTTCTTCGTTCCACTCGCAGCTTTTGTTTGTCCTCAGAAATCGGAACCCCTTCCCCCACAAGGACCTTAATTTCAGACTACTCATTTCCTATGAGGTTCTGTCCGGTTGGGACACACGTCATCGAACACAAGGAAAACCAAACTTAACAGATGCTGCCTCCTTCCTCCGACGTACACAACGCACCGGGGCTACGGGCACCTCGGAAGGCACGTAGAAGTTGCAGTTGAGCTTCATTAGAGTATGTATATGTGTATACATATAAATATATGTATAGATATAAGGAGCCCAATTAGTGACCCCTAGTTTCGGAACCCCCCCCCCCCCCCCCCATATCCGCCGACCCCCAAGCAAGCGGGGGGCGGCGTCAGTGAAGACCCATTTCCCCTACCACCTTCTCCGCCCCTGACCAATCTTTTCTATTTCGGGTGGTCCAAAACACGCTCTCAGCAAGACCTACAACGATGACCACTTGAAATCCAGATCTTCGGGTGGAGCTCCACCAGAGGGTCACCCGCATTGTCATGCTTGGATTGCCTTACTTGAAACCCTGGAGGGCCTGCCGTCCCTGGACCCCATGGAGAAGATGGAGATCGACAAGCATGTTCAAGATCACTGCGGGGGGCCCCTAGCGGTGGCACTCGTCATTCATGTGTGCAAGGTCAAGAAATGTTTTGACCAGTCAAAGATGAAGGTTTGCTTGGCAGTGAGCGAACCTGTGCGACCAATTTTGTCCATCCTGGAACGTCACATGCATGAGACGGGCGGCAAGACACTGCACGGGCCGAAGAAGGTGACATGCAAACCTATCTCGATCAACTCAATGATATGCTCAAGTGAAGTTCAGTGGATGTCCTGATGCTCTGGTGACGGGTTTGGCCCCGTGTCACTCGCGTGATGGCATGCCAGATTTTGTAGAGTGGGGGCTGGCTTGTCACTGTTGAGCCTGTGCCCTCTTGGGATATATCATCCGAGGGAGCGCGGCGTGTACTGTCAAGGCAATAGTCCTGTGACAGGTTGGGTTGTCTAGTGCGGCCCTGACTCAGCTTACATGACCTCATGTGAACGCTGCCAGAGAGAGAGAGAGAGAGAGAGAAAGAGAGAGATAGTTGCATTCTATGCATTTATTTAGGAGGTGTTGCGGGGATGTTGGGGGACGCATCAAGGATGTTTCCTCGACCCAAGCCACTGGTCCACGCCGCCGGCCCGGGCCCGGGCGTCGGTTTGCCAGGCGCTGGCTGAAGATCCTGCAGCTTCCAATAGCTGGGATTCCATGCAGGGGGCTTCCTGAAAAATGCATGTTCGAAGGCAACTCCGACGAGGTTCGCGCTACTCCTCCAGCCCAGGATGGGACTCCCCAGACACCTACTACTCCCAACCCCCTCCCCCCCCCACCGCCACCACCACCCTACCATGCACTACCTCGCTACTACGCTACCACTACGACGAACTACGTACGAAATACGACACACTCCCCCACCCACGGCACAAAACTTCCCCCCTACTGCGACTGCTACTATTACAACACAACCACCACCACGTACTACTACTTCTCATCATACTACTACTACTACTACTACTACTACTACTACTACTACTACTACTACTACTACTACTACTACTACTGCTACTACTACTACTACTACTACTACTACTACTACTACTACTACTACTACTACTACTACTACTACGACGGCGACGGCGACGGCGACGGCGACGGCGACGGCGACGACCACCACCACCACCACCACCACCACTACCACTACCACGGCGGCGACCACGGCGGCGACCACTGCAGTATGGTCGTAAAGCTGCACTCACCGAGTGAAGTCAAGCGACACCCAGCGATGCTGTTGAGTGATGCCGGTTGATGTCAATGTGTTCTTGTCGCTGCCATGCCACAAAGCAAGCAGTCAGGGGGGACGACAACAAGGACTGCTTTAAAGCTATGACAACGACTGCAACTGATTGCGAACTGTCGACGCCTGTGAGCTCGCATCTCCCTGGAGCCTATAGGGATTCGCGAGCAGCTGCTGTTTCGGCCAAGTGTCTGGAGGCCCAGAGCCTCGTCGTGCAGAACAGACCGACAAAAATCAGCATCGTCGGTCAGCGTGTGGGTCCTTAGTTTGGCACCTTGAATTCTTAGGATGGCTGGCGGCCCCGTTCTCCGGGCTATGATCCTCCATGATCATATACAGCTTGCTAGAGGACCAGAAACGGCTAGACAGATGAACGTGAACCATGTTGTGGCGACATTGTAGTGCTGGATCAGGGGTCTGCACACTGTCGCATTCCATGACGACATGTGCCAGACCAAACTGTCCAGAAAAGGCTCGACCTGCACAAGCTTCGTGGAGGCTTGTGCGTTGCATGCCATTGCATGGGGCGATGTGTTCTATAAGCTTGATATACAGTTGAGCTGACCATGTGCACGCGCCTCAGATAAACAAATTCGTGCCTAAATTCCTGCCTAGCTGCACCAACGCTTCAGAGAACGTGCCGTGCGGAAGGAGTGCACGTCAAATACACCTGCAAACCTCAGCTGCCAAGCGCTTTCGTCTTTAGCCGCATGGCTACTTTGGCGGAGACCTACTTAAGGGAGAGCCTGAGCCCGGTGAGCCCGGTGCCACTGGCCAAAGGCTCTCAGCGCTTTGAGCTCGGCAGTGGAGAAGGTTTCATTCCTCCAAAAGGCCGGGTCCACAAGCCAGACCTGGTCAATGGGAAGCCTGGCACATTGGGGGCAATGCGAAAAGGCGCAGGGCTTCAGGGCATCTAATTCTGGAGCATCACTGGCTATGGCATTCACCTACGCCGCTGCATCAGGCTCCCTCTCTCGCTACTTGACCCCGCACAGTAGTGATGGCTGGCCTTGCTCTAGTGACCAGCTGATCCAGTAGCTCCCAGTCGAAGTACAGACAGCCGCATCCGAGCGAACAATACCTCAGACTGCCCAAACAATCCTGCTTGCTCGCATTTGCTGCATCTTGTTTGCTGCCTCGCTGTCTTAAGCAAAGTCACACTAACCCTTCATCATTGTGTGTCTGCACCTGCCAGAAATGATCTTCGATCTGCTTGGCGCAAAAGTTCATGAAGTCTGACCGAACCCCTTCACAGCCAGCGCGGAAACGGTACAGTGCACCTCAGTTATGGAGTAGACAGCATCCGCAGTATTCCGCGTGCTGTATATCCTCAGGCCAGCACAAGCCGCGTCACCGCACTCACCAAGCTCGCAAAGAGGATTTTGCGAACCTTGCCCATCGAATGGTATCAACGTGAAAACCAAAAATGGTGCTGTCAAGTTTGTGCTGGGGAGAACATGGAGACACATGTTGGGGCAATGTCGTGGAGCCCCAACGCACCCCCCCCCCCAGTCCCCCTTCGCGCTGTAGAGATCTAGGTACCTCGTCCTAGGGACGGTGGAGGTCGCACATACCCATCTCGATTTGTCATGTTCCAGCGGAGCTGCTCCTCACCAAAGGCACGTTGAGGCAGCGGCACTAGTCGCAAACCCAAACATCAATCCTTGGAAGGACACAGACAAGCACTGCAGTCACTGCGCGCGGATCCTTCGCCCACCACACGCGCTGGCGCCTCCTCTTTGATAAGAAAGAGGCCTGGGAAGCAGGCATAATACACACTTAAGTCTTACTTAATTACTATGTTCGCTCTTGGCGAGTGCAGCCACCAAAATGGCTCTACACCCCGACCCAGCCCTGCCTAGCCCCTGCGTAGCCCTGCTGTCCTCTACACGGTGCTCTGCGCCGGCCAGGCGTAAGCGGAGAGCCTTCCGCGGCCCGGAGCGCGGGAGGCCCAAAGCACGGAGCCGCTCACGCAAAGCCCTGGCCTTGGAGCAAAAGTGTGCATGTGCGTGTTCCTCTTAGTTTTGCATTCTTTTGCTATGACCATCTGTTGTACACGGCTTCTTTGCAGTGGCGCTATCTGTAACCACGAAGCAGCACCTGCTTTCACTTTCTTTGCCTTTTGAACAAAAGCTAACAGAGTACAACCGTAATTTATGATGTACCTGTGACGTATACACCCCTACAAATCACCAACACGCCAGGGTGGGGGTCCATATCAAGTTCATACAGTAGTCAGAAGAATGTTCTGAAGCCGAAAATACGAATCTAGGCACAGCGTTACCCACGTGGGCCACAAATGCTGGGATGAATGCTAAGAACTCTTCGCAAAAAATGTTTCAACATGCTTCAGTTTACGCGCCCTGGAACCCCGGCGCATGTTGTTTAGACGACTGTCTCCGCGAACAATGTTTAGCTGCGAAAACGCTTATAATTTGTTGCTACAGTTCAAGCTTCATGAACTTGAATCGTGTTGGGCCCGTCCCTGCTGGCAAGCTGCAGTCAGGTTCCGGATCTGTTCATCCTCAGGTCCAGATACTGTACGCCTGCCAGGTTCACTGCCAGGGACTCTCTTAGCACCATTGGTTTCAGCCGACGCGTCGTTGCACTGACACATTGGTATGATTTCTGTGCCTTGGCATGGCAAAGCCGCGGCCCGTGACCAATAGACGATAGGCCACCAGGGTGGCAAATCCAACGCACGGAAGAGCTCTGGCAGGTCCTCGTAGACCAGACACCTCGTGGAGGCATTGCTGCAACCCTGCTTTTACGTCAGGGTTCTGCACGTGCAGCAGTCAAGCCTTACGTTTCTAGTATGAATTTGAGCAAGGCGCGGCAAGGGAGAACAGCAGGTGCCGTCGAAGCTTCACCATCGTGGCAGGATCTTCGCCAGCGCTGCCGATTCATTCTGGCATGCTCAGGAAAGCAGGTCCGGCCCATGACTTGCGATGGACTCGCCAATTCCACGCTGTTGGTAGGCCAATAGAATGTCATTCCCACTGGATAGATGTGACCCGGTGGTTGAATCTGTGTTAAGCTGGATGCCAATGTCCAGGTCTGAGATAAGCCGATAGTAGCTGGGCACGCAGAATTGAAACCATCCCCCCCTTCAGCTTAGCTGCTACAGCCTTGCCATGCTCGCGCTTCAGTGCAGACGTGGCCTGCACGGCTCTCTACCTTGCTCTAAACAAATTGGAGCGCAAGCATCTGCGAGTGGCAACGATGGTGCGCAGTCAGATTCGCGGCGTTTAGTTTCCAATATCGCGCAAGTCTTCATGATTGCCTGAAGAAGCTTCATCAGGGATACAATCCTTGTTCAGCGCATTTTGCAGGCCGTTTTGCTTGATGTTCGAAATTTAATTCTAACTCCAGAGCTTCCAGCCATTCCAGCCAGAAGCCGGAAACAAGATGACAACTATGGGCAGGCATCGTGTCGATCTGCTGCCAACACATTGGAGTTCTGTCTCTGGGTGGATATAAGAAAAACCCCATGACTTGCGAGGCCGAGGGTTTGCCAAAGCGTGACGGCGTGATGGCGTGATGTCTCTGGAACCGTTCCGGCTTCATATACTGCATACCATTCCTATTCCGAAGTAGATCGCATTTCCCCTTCCCCACCACGCCGAAACTCAAAACTGCCCCGCACGCGCGCGCCGCCGTGGTTCTTGGGATAGCCAGGTTGCCACACTTCACTTCCCCTCTCACAGCTTGGGCCCTTGAGCAGAAACAGCAAGCGCTCAGCAAAAGCACATGTTTTCCGCATTGTCCCTGCTTCGGAACCGAATATCTGGAATCGCGGGATCATTGGCGCCATCGGCACCTTCCTGCGCTTTGCTGGGGCCATTCGTCCAAGCAAGATGTTGCGGATTTTCTGCTTCCACAAGCGGGTCTGGGAGATTGCCCATTGCCATGGCCTCACGATTCAGCTTTATCGTTGCCAAAGCCTTTCTCAATTTTTGCAAGCAAGCCTTTCAATCGTCTTCACTGTCATCGTACTTAGCTGTCCCTCCTCTACGACTCCTATATGGCTGTCTGCAGTTGGGCCCAAATTGCTGCACAGTGGACTGCTCGCATCATTTCCTCAGCGGGATGGGATGTTCTGGGCTCTCATGCCGCGAACCAAATCCACTCTTTCCCTGTCATGGCGTTGAAGCGAGAGCTGAGGCAGCTTACTACATCTTTACCAAATCCAATGTCTTCGAAGATGTACCACCACCTGCCAGGATGCCAAGGTTAAAGGCACGGAGCATGTAAGTTTCAACACGGTTTGGATCAGCACAGCCTCCCGCGTACAAAGCCATCAAGGTCAGTGCCGAAAGCTTCCAGGTCAGGAACGACGCCTGGGGCAATCAAAACTCTTGTAGCCTTTTGAACCGGCATACCGGGAGATTGCTCCTTTTAACCTGCCCAATAGCAAAATAGCAGAGGAGAAGAAGAAGACAGACTCTGTTTTTCTGCTCTGTTTGCTGTGAGGCCGAGATTCCCTCCCTGACTCGTGGGATGCATTGCACCAGGATGTCCGGCCGATCTGCAGCAGGAAAAAGGGCCAGCCAAAGAGCATGATGGATGACCAGCACCTGTCAGGGGAGACATGTCGAAGGACTTTCGAAGGACACCAGGGCATGTTGACGAGTTGGTGTGAAAGACTCCATCGAGTCCAAGATCTGCAGTGTTGAGATTCCATCCTTCGGCCACTGAGGTCAATTACACGCCGGCAGAGCCGTGCATGATACGAGGTTGCGGGGCTGTGACCAAACAGGTTCTTGAGAGTACTGCGATTGCGAAACAAACCATTCCTACCCGTGGAATGAGGGTCGTTTCCTGTCCTGCACCCCTGCTCACCCCTGCTCACTCTGGGAAGCTCTTTCAGCGGCGGCACCGTGCTTGGCGTACCCCGCTTGTAGGGCAGCGCGTTGAAGCCTTTCAAATTTCTGTGGCTGAGGATATCTTGGGGCGCTTCTTCGGTGCAGGGTAAGAGACAGAACCGGCCCAAGCGCAAACAATTGCAAACCAGCATCCCGAAGATTCCGCAAGATGTGCGCAAGGCATCTACGCGTTGCAGACTCAGAATGGTTTCCAAGATGCTTAGCCAGACAATGCTGGCAATGCTGTTCCGCAGCTCCTTCCGAGGAGGGCCGCCATGAAGCAGCTACACGACATTACACGACGTACTCGGATGATGGACACTAAGCAGCCACTAGCAACCTTTTTTGCCGTTTCAGCCCAGGGAGTGTACCAGAAGTGTTGGACCCCTTCTTTTTCCAAACCCGGCAAGAAGAAGCCCAAACACAAACATCGACCCATTCAGCCCATTGAGGCTCGAATTGAAAGCCCGGGCCATCCCGATGCACTATTTTCTGCATGAATCGCCGCCGCTGATTGGACTGAGTGAATAACACCACCCTGACACCAATGAATTCACGGGTGACTGAGGTGTCTTACCCTTCGGCTTTGTGCACTCTAGACAAACAGATCCTAAAGCACATTGGCATTAGAAGAACACAAGTCCTCGTCACTACTTGTGAGCAACCTCCCCACTAACCTCACTTTGTTCATATATATATATATATACACACATTAATATGCAGAAGAGGATTTCCCACACTGTACATAGAGGTCCTACATACATAGGGTCTATCGTCTATAGGCCATAGGCGCGAGAGGGTGAGGATGCCCAGAAGTGCCGATTTTTCAATATCATTTCCCATTTTCCGCCCGAACACCCCCCCAGCTCCGACCAGGCCAAGGAAGTTGTCGGGGCAAGCGATTGACTGGAGAATTTCGGGAGCTCGCAATGAGGCTGCGCCTCAGTTGCAAGAGGTCTGGGACATCTTCCAAGCATGAAGTTTAGGCTCGCGAAGTTATTTCTGGTCTCTTTTCGGGCTTTGCAATTTCAGGTTCAAAGGTACTGCTTCAGCCGGTGCATATATAGTATTGTATCGAGACTTCATGTGTTGGTCTTGGGCTTACATTCCGCGGCCTTGGGCCGTAGGTGTCTGGGCAGCATCCTCTGGCCACACGATGAAGCTTGCACACCTTTGCTATTTGGTATTTTTTTTTGCAAGGAATGGGTAGACAGGTGTCCCGGAGCGGACACCCCCCCCCTCCTCCCCGAAAGAGCTTGCCCTGCCGCTCCACCCCCCTAAACCCCCCTTCCCCCGGCCAAACCGCCATCCCCTCTCTGTAGCCCCTCTTCGTTGCCTCGTATTTGCTTGCTTTTGTGTGTCGTCGTGTCTTCGTGTCTTGGCATCCACGATTCAGATCGAGAAACGACATTAGAACAAGTTGGCATTGCATGGACGCCACAAACTGCCTACTTGGACCTCTGTGCCTTTGAGCTCCACATGCTCCACTGTATGCGCCTCATGCCGAGCCTGCAGATCGAACCCCCCGGATAAACGGACCAACAAATGCACTGCCGCTAACCAGAAGAAAAAGTACTGTGCAGTAGTGCACATGCCTACAGAGTGGTCTTCTGGGTAGTGCGTGTCCCAGGTACCAAGGACTCGGCAGCTGCGTGATATTGGCGAAGCTCCACCTTTATCACACGAACAGAAGCACACTGTTCTACTGACAACAAAAAGAGCTCCCGAGGCCAACGTTTCTCAGCCGGAAAACGGATGATGATCGAAGCTCGCTACAAAGTCCCCAGTCACCAGAATCAACACCACATGGCGCCACCCCATGCACCTCCACACACTCCACATGCCCCAGGCCTCCGTCATTCGCTGGACAACAATCTCGGTCGCCAGGACGGATGCATGCAAGATGACCCCCCACATCCTTTAACAGAGTCTGTTCTGTCATGCTCAAGAATCAAACAAGTTCCTCTGATTCAACGGCGGCATTGGCTTGCACATGATCCCCTTGGCGTGAAGCAACCAATGAGTTTAGCTTCCTACTGGTATACGGTGGCCACCCTGCCTATCAAAGTGAGGAGCAGACTCTTGGCCGTACCACGAGAAGCAGTCCTTCAGGTATTTCTGTAATTCTACTCCGTGGTATTTACAGATTGCACGCCAAGACTGCGTCAGATTGAGACACCGATGCAAGTTTGCACAAGCATGGTCCCAACCCAGAAGCAAGCCATCCAGGGCTGCCCGTGCAGTGCGCGTCAGAACCAGGAGGCAGTCGTCACCCACGTACACTCCCGCAAGCCTGCAGGCATGAACCTAACGCTCGAGAGTCCTTCTTCCTCCCTGTATAGCAATGCTCTGGACTGGCCTTTCCTTGACAGTGTCGTTGTGCTCTGGATTTGTCAGGTTGATCCCAAGGGAGTCAATGACATGCCTGCAGACGCCAAGCAGGCGGCTGAGGGTGCGGGTGGACTTGGTAGTAGCACCGCAGCCTGCATGTACCCGCGTCAACTCGCAAAGATGTCACTGTGGCAGCGCAATGCCTGAAGGGCGGGACGGCATTGCAAAGACAGCCCCTGACAGGGAATCCGATTGTAACAGCCGGAACGGGCTTCCTACTTCGTGGAGAGGAACGGGTGGGGGCAGGACGTTGTAGCGACTGCTCGCAAAAAAGAGTTTCGTCAAGAACATGTAAATTAACGGAGGTCTCTTTACAAAGTCATAAGTGCATGTTCTCCACTGTTCGCCTGCTGCCCGTATCAATATATCACATGCATGTTCAGGAAAGGCTCTGTGTGCGCGGACTTGGTGTAGGCTCCATGAAAGGCCGCAGAGGCAGAAACTGGCCGTATCGGCGCAAGGGTGACACGGAGGTACCTGTTTCTGTCAATGATACTAGGTATTCACAATGACAGCACTGTTGTGGCGGCAAAGCAAAGCCTGCCTGCTAAGCAAGCTAACGTAGGCCTAGGATCAAGGTTCCTGGCACCTACTTCTCTGTGGACACTTTGAAGGGGGGACGGCTTCTCCAAGAACTATATAGGCAAGCAGCCGACATCTTTGTCCTGCAAACCGAACAAAGACGACCGAAGCAACTAGCGTGCATCTTGACTCGCCGGCTAGGGGTCTCTGGCTGATGACAAACGAGGTCATTGACTAGAAAAACACCGCCTGACTCTCCTGGAACACGCGGCGGATTCCGATCTTTGGCTGGTCTTCGGAGGCAGAACCGCTCCTCACTCATGGGCAGCCATCAGCCACTTCATTCTGCTCACTGCTGACATGCCCTAGGATTGCATGCTCAACTTTACATTCCAATATGTTCACCAGAGCTCTAGTCAGTATGGCCTGACATATCCGTTCAGTTCTTAATAATGGCCTATGGTAAGGTGTCTTATTTTCTCAAGTTCCAGCATGAGTCGCAGGACGCTTGTCGGGATAAATTTAAAAATCCGCCAGAATTGGGGGCCCCTGGCACCAGCCCACTCAACCCGTGCTTCCACGACTGCGGATAGGGCTGACTGTATAGCGGCTGACCCATAAGTCGGGATTGCGAAGCGCTCCCAAACTGGAGCCTGTGATAGTCGCTTATATCTCAGCCACAGCTGCATCATCTCGGGCCCACAGCCGAGGTGTGCCGCGCAGCGGCAAACATTTCTGCTATATAGATGCATTAAATGTGCATTTTCTAGGAGGTTTTCACAAGCCAAGACTCCGCAGCTCCCCCGCGCGGTCCAAGAGTTCCGGCATTGTCAAGGCCTGGCGGCTGAGGATCTCCGCCAGTCTGAGTGCGGCTGACGCCATGCGCTCTCCAAACTTCACCTGCCCCAAAAGGTCTTGCATGACAAATGCAAGAAGAGTGGAAGGAATGCCGACCGATGCAGGAGCACAGGAGGCTATGAGGATCGCTTCTGCACGAAGTAGCATGAAGTAGCACAGCACGAGTACTGGTTGATGGAATACATCAGTGCGCATGTCATGTTGTTCTAGGTTCTGGTAAGGCATTACGGCTAGCTTGGGCCTCGTCATGGGGCTCTTGCACTGCGCTAGTTACGCTAGTACTTGATAAGGTTGCAAACAACAGACATGTCCCTGCTCTGACCTTTTGCCCAACGTGCAAAGCCATTCTTGCGCTGATGCCTCCTATGCAGTTGATTCTCGGAATCTAGGCAACAAACTTCCACAGGCTCTGCATCTGCAGCATGCGCACGCAGACATTTTTGGGAAGTTATTCTTGCCAGGCCATGCATGCCGTGCGCTCACCCTTGCGTGCCCTCGTGCCATGCGGCTCTCAAGTAGAACAGCTCGACACACGCTTTCTTACTCCATACACGCTGAAAGGCGGACAAATGCATGCAAAGGCACCAAGACACAGACCATTAGCCCTCAACAGTCTGCAAAGGCAAGCACTGCCATGGGTGCCTGACTAGCCACTTGAGCATCTCTTTGGTGGATGGTGGGCGTCCGAACGAGAAAGCGCGACCATCTAGGCACAGGGTCGGTTTGAGATATGGTTTTCTGGGATTACGCTGGCTCGGCCCAGTTGCTGGATCCCACACCAAGGCTTCAGCACGGCAACTCAACACATGGAATGCAACATCAAACACACACCAAACTTCGATGGGCAGGCCCCAACACGTCAGATATTGATTCAGGTATTTCAGGTGCACTCGGTCTCTTCTCACCCAACCAATCTCACACGACTCAGGCGCATTTCTCCAACTGACCTAGCTGCTGGATGGGTGACAGGTCACGATCATTCGCTCGGCACGCTAAACATTCACAATAAGCTTGGTTTAGAAAGTTCGCCAGACCAGGATCTGCTCTCCTTCCCCCCTTCCCACCATTCCCTCCCAGCGGAACTTTCTGCACCCCCTCCCGAACCAGCTTGTGGGGACGCCCCCCCCTCATGACGTGAGTGGTGCTGACCTGGCTTTCCTTCGTCTGCGATACGCACGCCACAACCCCGACGCTCGGGCCAGCCCGGCCTGCCGAGGCGGCGCCGCAAGCGTTTAAACTTGCCTTAAGTTAGTAAGCCTTCAGAACATCTGAGCTGCTGACGGCTGGTCCTTCCCTCGCGAGGCCAAAGCTCGCAGGTGCCCGGCGTGGACATTCGGATCATGCACAAAGCCTCCATTCGAGAAGAGAGGATCCTGAGTAAAGAATTAGTCGGATAAAAGTCCGAATCAAGGTTCCTGGATTGACTCGACATGTCAGGCTTTGCTGCCAGAAGCATCTTTGCTGTCTCGGAGCCACGGCACCAGCTGGAGCGTTAGCTGTCACCTCAGACAGTCCGTCTCCCCATTCAAAAAGTCGACGAATGTGGGCGCCTTGGTGTCGCAAACAGCACGGCCTGCCTTTTGTTAAGCCAATTGCCTCCTCTTTTCGCATGCTTGTCCAAGGCTCTGTGCAGCGACGCGCAATCACAGGAGTCATCTTCCTGATGGCACCAGCTACGATTGCTGCACTGAAATTGCACCGGCGCCTTGCTGATCTTCGACGGTACGAGTGGCCTCCCATTCCTTCCATCCGCACATGGGGGTCCAACCCACGACCAGCTTCCTTGGATCTATTTGGCTTTGCCAATCGATACCGACAGAAACGGAAAGCAGTCTAACGGACAGCACGGTCGAAAAAGACCTCACCTTTCATGACAAGCGCTGGGCCATAATTGACATGGGCTCGTGTGAAAACACTGAAAACCTTCCGTTGCTTTCCAAAAATCTTCTCGTTGAAAACTACACTTTTTTGAGATGAATAGTTTACAATGGCGCGAACAAATAGGCCTGCCTTCTCTTGCGGTCCCACATAGTAGTGTGTAACCAGGACCCAGCCCGAACCTACATGGTGGCGACACAGGCAAGCAACTGACCTTGACCGTGCCACCAGTCGCAAATGACCCGTTGCACAACCGCAGCCGCAAATTGTGCGTAGCCTCGCGCACATACAATATCTGCAGCACGAGTACGCTCGCTACACAATGTCAGAGCTGTGCTGGGTCCGTGTGCCTGACCTCACCCCGAGCGTTAAGTAGGGGCAAATCTGAGAACGCGCTAATCCCATGAGGCTTGGCAGGCATAAACAAAGCAAGTGCCTCGATGATTTGGAGGCATGCCGTCCATGGCTGCCACAATTGAGCGCCACCAAGGTGACAAGCTTTTCGGACTGGCCGTGAGGAGTCCAGCTTTGGGACCTGGCTTCTCACAGATCTCAAGCTGAGGTCCAGCATTTGTGTGCTTCGCTGTGTCTGGCTTGCTGCCCAGGATGCTAAGCTTCCCCCACATCTCGCAGATTTGCAGCAGCAGCTTGAGATCCACCTGATGAAGCATCGTCAGCATCGTGAGTGAAGCATTGCGAAGCATCGTGAATGAACAACGAGGCGCGGCCAGTGAGCTAGAGTTAGCTAGGGTGGCCGAGCAATTTTGGCGGCCTCGTCGGCTGCATCAGGAGAAGAGAACTTGAAGAGAAGAATTCGCTGCCAGCTACCTGGACAGGGCCGGCCAAACCTACTGCGAGCTACGGGAATCCCGACACATCCCGACCACCCCTTGCTGCAGCTTGCACGCACGCGGTAGGCCACAATCGAGCTGCAGGAACACCGGCAGACTGTTCAACAAAGCCCGGCCTCAAGGGGACAGGCCCGACAGGCGCAGCGTGCACAAAAAAAACAACCGAAGGCACCTGGAAGTTAGATATCTCGGATGTGTCTAAAGAATGAATGGGGGCAAGTAGATGATACTATGGATACGAAGGGATACTAATCGTGCAGCTTGTGCTGACATACTCCCTCGTTAACGCCAGCAGCATTGAGCAGCATCCTACATTTTGTAGAATTCTGTCGTGGGCGGCACAATACTCTCGCCTCAGCACCTGCTCGCAGCAGAGCTTGCCGTCACCAATCCCCTCAGACCGCTTGGCGCAAGTCTACCGTGGGAAGGGCTTAGAATTAAGTGTATTGAGATCGACACAGAGAAAGGGAGGAAGGGAGGACGAGACAGGACAAAGAGAGACTGCGAGGAAGAGTTGGAAGGAGGGGAGGGAGAGAGAAGCTCTGTAATCGGTAATTATCGGAGTGAGCTAATAGCCAAGCAAGACACAACTGGAAAGGCAATGTATCGGTACCCTATATAATGGCACCTATGGTGCCCCAAGACTCCATGGCGTCGAAGCTTTTAAAACTTGGAACAAATTGGTGCCATGGCACAGTTCGGCTGCATGACCAGCCATTGACTAAACTTGTCTTGCATCGCAGCCGAGCGTTCATTAACACCCTCCATGAGCAACCCTCCATAATCAGCGGGCACCACGCGCTGCCGAATTGCTCTGAAGGGCACAACAATACGCCGAGCGTCGACATGTTCTGGCGCGGCTGGTTCGCAGAGACCTGCTCTTTATTGCATGCTGAATGCCAGAGCTGCTGCTACTGCTGCAAAGAGCAATCCGTTTCATCTAATGTCCTTCCCCGCGCCCCCCCCCCCCCCCCCCCCCCCCCCCCCCCCCGCACCCCTTTAACTAATACTAAGCTCGACCGGATTTCCAGGAAATGGCTCATTCAACCTAAGCCTGGGGACCCGAACGGATTAAGCACGGGGGCCCCTTCGTGATCGGGCCCCTGCCTTCCACAGCCAGAGCAGCCACAGCTAAGCCCCATGCTCTGGACATGAGAAGTGCTGCTGATTGTCTCTGGTTGTGCACACCTTTGGGTGGGAACGATGCTGCAACCAAAGACCGGGCTCTAGGGCCGAGCTTCTGCCATCGGATCTCGGATTGCAGTTTTATCGGGTCGCTCTCTGGGCCGATTCATGCGCTTTCCCAAGTGGCTGCAGGGACATGCGGCTGCAGGTTCTCGAGTATCACAGCTGGGTTGACAGCGCCTGTGGAACCTTCGGCAACTTATGCAAGACACGTTTGGTGATGTTCGGTCTTTTCCAAGCACTTGTGCATTCTGTCTGAGGCTATAGCTTATGATTTCAGCTCTGGCAGTGGTCAACGCGTGCGGATAGCCGCCGCACCTGGGTGGATGCATGGCTTGTTCACGATGAAGTAGAACCTGGCCGTTGTGAGGCTGCGGTGTGTTGCTGCGTGGAAGTCCGCAGGATCCCGCCGCACGGCTGACATGCACAGTGGCGAACTACATGAACCGCATGGGGCAGTTGGTCTAAAAATCTGGCTCCCTTCCAGTCAACTGATAGATACAATCTGCAACGCAATCGAACCGCTTAGTTGAACATGCCCCCCCCCCCCCCACGAACAGATATGAGGGCAACCAACCTTATGTACTACTTGGCAGCGACATCGCATCAGACAACTGCGGACGGGGGGCGCTGGCATCAGCACCTGCAGCAACCTCAAAATCCAAACCTTAGCTGCCCCTCCAGGGCTGCATGCGTGATAGTTGCTGCACGCTTGTCCTGGGAGATGTTGAAGAACAAGCCGATCCACATGAACCTACATTGTAATGACATTGTGCATATTATGACACATATATGCCACTGCGAATGATAGAGGGCTCCTGCTTACAGCCGCAACTTGCCTGAACAAACAAGCGAGTAGGGAGGCTAATGGCCCAGCACTTGCCCTGAAGTTTCGAACTTGCGAACCTGGAGTGGAGTTCCAACTTTCGAGGTGGCACACATACAACGGTGCTGCAATCACGAATGAAGGGCTTTGAAGCCTGAAGAATCTGTAGCTCCAGCAGCACCGCAATGGTACAACTTCATTCTATTAGACCCCTGCACACCACATGAACCCATTGAATCTAATCGAAGACATGTCACCAGCAGCTGCCACAAACCTGCCTCGCATGCTCGTGCTGCTGACAATATGGAAACGCGTACTGACAGTGAGGAATATTCTCACTAGACGCATGTCTGCCTGGAGGCAAATCATGCCGTGAGGGTCATCCTGCCTGGACGGACGAATTCATGCTGGGAAGATGGTAGACGCTGCCGTCCTCTCTTTCGAGCCAGGGTGAGAAGAGAGTTTGAGGAATGTGGTGCGCCGAATTACGCCGAGCACCACCACAGCCTGTGGAACAAAAGCAAACGTTCTCTCTTTCTTGCGCTCTCCAGTCCTTTGTGAAGCGCATGCTCACCCTCATCTGCTCCAGCGAAGGAGCACCTCAAGAAGCATAACTTCCGAAGATCGCGGATCGTGAAAACATGCTGCGGCATCTAGCAATGGATTCAGGAGAAATCATCCAGCTTTGGCGAGAGGAATCTCGATGTGCCGAGGTGCCGTGACCACTCTGACTGGCCTCAGCATGCGACACGTCCAAGTATGAGCCAACTTGTTGAGAGAATTTCTGTTGCAGACCATTGTGACAGTGACACAGGAAGGTCAAATGCACTGACAGGGTTCGGCTCATGTGACAACCCCTGCCCTTATGACCCCTATTCTTGGATCTCGGAACTGGTGCAGTGATCTCCTGGCTCGATCAGTCTGGTCGGCAGACTGACTCGCTCTCCCTCTCTCTCCCAGAAAGAGGCGGAAGCTGTATATTGCCAAGAAGCCAGCAGCGGCGTCCTTGGCTGAAGGCAATCGCTGCTCAAGCCAGCTTTGGCTTGCGTGTGATGGATTGCTGGCTTTGGTTGTGAAATGTCCGAACCATGATCTGGCCAGACAAAAGACGGGAACTGCAGGTTTTTAAACGGTGAGGCCAGCTCGAAGGCCAAACTGTCCTGATGAACCTTTAAGAGTAAATCTACAGCAAGAGACACGGATAGACGTCAGAGAGATGCGAGGGGATCGTCGTTCCACAACACAATGGCCTACAACCCCGCCTCCAGGGGAAATGCCTTATCCGTTGGGCTCAACGCCTACAAAACATCATAAATCGACGCCTGTGCGGGATCGTGAGAAGAACGTTGCCACGGAGTATTGACTGAACCAGTGCTAAACCTGAGTCAGCCATCAAATGAAGAAACGAGACACGTGCTTGTGTAGACTTCCGACATTTGCAAAGGGTCGAGGAAGCGTGGAGGGTCTGGGTGGTGCTGCATCCACTTTAGAGTAAGTAAAGCCTTCGCGAAGTTTACAAGTTCACTGCTTTTTGATTCAGGCTCAGGCTTTGGGGGCCATGGTCTTAACTCAAGGCAGGAAAGTGTCCGGCCCAAAGGCTTCAGTTGCTTTGAAACGTCTACAAGGCCTTGGCTTTCAGGAAGCTAAGTCGACAGAGCTCCCCTGTAAGAAAAATAATATCAGAGCCTTTCTTTTTTTTCAATCTTCGGTTTCTTTACGAAACGAGGCCCCAAACAACATCTTGCGGCAGGCAGCCCTCGGATGGCCTCGGCCCTCGGGCTCGCTTTGAGATGGTTCGGGTTGTCGAGGCCGACCCGAAAGAGCTCGGGAAAACAGGGAAATACAGGGAAGCATTGCTAAAGCCGTAACGTTGAGGCCATAGACTCAGGCAGGCTTATTTTTAGGGCCTAAAAGCTTCCGTATCACTCCTCCATCAGACCAGTGGATTTCTTTGGAGGGCGGGGCTTGCTTACAGAGATACTATATTTACTATGTTTGCTACGCATTGTCCACTCGTGCAGCTGGGCCTCTGCTCGAAGGGAGCCACACGGGTCTCTGCATTCCGAGAGGCCCTCGTGGACTGAAGCCTTGGAGTTTTGGGGACTTCTTTGCTTGAGAATTAGTTTTTATGGGTCGAGGCAGAGCAGGAGGCAAAGCAGGATGTGACCCCATACCATGTACGAGACGAAGCTTCAGTAGTATCAGCTCTGCAGCATCACGTCCATCGACCAAGTATAAGCTAAGCATACAGTACGTGGCTTTAGCCCTCCAAGAACAGAACATCACCGAAGCGAGTTGGCGAGTCACTTTTAGAACTGCCCCACCGCTTTCCACTTGCGGTTTGCTAGCAATCTGGGTTTTGACTATCACGACTACAGTAGCACAGGATGTTCATGCAGGGATTTGAACAGTACAGGTCGACTGAACAATGACAGAGTCGATGAGCTTAACGAACCTTGCATACTTCACTTGCTTCGCATCCTGCGAATTTTTCTTACCCTCGCTCCAATTCAGGCTCTCGTGCTGTGGTGGAGGCGTCGACTCGAAGATGGTTGATACCTTGCTTCGTGCTGAAGTCTTCCAAGAATCCGAGCTTGGCATCTTGCGTGCTGAGCTGCTGGAACTCTTCTAGTGGCACCGTCAGCACTTTCCAGCCCTCGGCACGCAGGTGCAAGTGCTTCCGCAGCACAAACTCCTCGTGCCTCATGCGCCTCCATGGCGGATACAGTAGCCATCCCCTATCCCACTCCACAACAACCAATCCCAGCGGATCGGCCAGCTCCAATAGGTAGGGGCCACAGATCGTGGGATACAGCAGGATCCCAAGCTTCTGAAACAGCTTCGACAGCTCGCTGTACACATGCGGAAGCTCCAGCATGTGGTAGTCCTCCGGCGGCTGCAACTGCATCTCTCTTGCAGTAGATAAGAGTTGCGCTGCCACAGGTGTTAAAGCCTGAAGGATCGTGGGCCTCTCATGTCTCAGCACGAACTCGATCAACTTCAGCCCTTCCAGATTCTTGGCCGCCGTTGCTGAGTCTGCTGGGCCAAGATTGAAGCTCCGAGGCAGCTTGCGCAATGTGGGTTCTGTCGGAGCACCCGGTGTTGCTGGTGTTGTCGTGCGGGTGCGCGGTGCACTGCCTGCCTCGACAGGCAAGCGCAGACGGGCAAGCCTGTCTAGCCAGCGCGTGAGCACGGAAGTCTTCATGAGGTCGTGCAGAAACATGGGAAGGCCCATGACGAGAATCAGCTCAGGGTTGTTGAATCGGACATGCTTCAGCTTTAGCTGATAGATGGTGTTCAGTCTCTGCACAACCCCAGTTCGCTCATGATACTTTGTGTCCACGACCATGTGAATAAAGCGGCCCAGGCATTCAGCATCCAGATATTTCAGGCCAGTCTTCACAATCTGTCCAACCATAACCGTTTTGAATTCAGGTCCGGCTTCAGGTAGGGTCCCAATTGCTTCAAGTATGCGGACTTTGCGCCAAGCTCGAAGCGTCTGGTCTCTTTCGACGATTTCACTCGTGGCAAAGTCCATGAAGCGAGTCTGCTTGACACCACGCTTGGCAGCAAGCTTTCCGTAGGCGTAAACAACACGCATGAGCCGCTCGTCGCTATACTCTTTCGCACGGACAGCGAAGATCTTCAGTAGTTTCTGAAGCATGGCGTGGTCAAGAGGTGCGTCCACTGGTGCGTAAGCCAAGGCTTGCAAAAGACGGCAAACTTCTGACGGTGTCAGCTGACTCTCACCTCCTAAAGTAAGGATGGCATGTGGAACATCCTGCCAAAGACGAGCTTTTGGAGACACACCAATCGTGGCAGCGCGCCCGATTGCCCACACCATTTCATCCCTGGCCAAAGTCAACAGGTTCACACTGGACAACTTTTCGTCACTCACTGGCGCAGCCTTCCTGGGCTGTGCTTGCTTTTCACGTGCATCGGGCTCCTCTTCATCGCTCAAGCCTTCTGCAGCAAGTGCGTCGGCGACATCTTCGAATAGGATCTCCCTCTGCGGCGGGCTTCTCTGCCCTTCCCGACCCTTCTCCAGAATCTGCTCCTCACTGTCCCCCATATCCTGCACAACACTGGGACGCATCTTGCCAGCCCTGAAGCGGCCCCGACCCGAGGAGGCGCCTTGGCGTCGATGCTCAGACCGCGCATGTACACAAACAATGAACACAAAACAGTGGCTGAGCAATTGTATACGCACATCATATTACACAATTCTGCCGGCCTGAAACAGTGTAAAGAACACTTCAAGAGCACTCCCAGCAAGACCGCATGAGGACGCTCAAGAGTACACCAAGGGGCTAAGCGCACGCGTAAAGAAATCCAAGACCCCGTCAAGAGCTCCCCCACTGAAACCTTTGGAGCAAGGAATCTGCAAAAGACCTAGGCGAGAGCGCGATTTGGCGCCTGCGGCAATGCCAACACCATGCTATTGGCGATGGTTCGGCTGCTGTGCAGGGACAGCAGGCTCTTTGGTGCGCTCGGTGCGGAAGATGCCTGGTCGAGAGCGTCTCGGGCACGCGTGAGTAAGAGTGTTGCGGCTTGTGGCTTAAAATGCGCACGGCGCCTAAGCGACAGCGTCTGAGCCACGGGAAACACCGAGATTCGAATTATGACGTCCATTAACATACATACATACGTACTACACAAACACTTGTGTACTTGCTTCGGTTCATTCATTCACTTGTTCATCCCCTCACTCAGTACATGCATGGTTGTGCACTGCCAGTTCTTTCATGTATGGGCCAGTTCTGAGTGCCCTGAATATCTCGAAGAATAAGAAGAGGTAGAGGGAACGTGTCATCCAGGGAGAGATAGATATAGAGCATATTAACATAAAACATACACCACTACAGGCCTTCTAGTTGCGGGCTGTTCGGTGTACTTACAGACAGGCAGCCCCGAGCACGCGGTCTTCCTGCGCTCGGAGGCTTCACAAGGGCAGCGCAGGGTAGTCGGTAGCCGCTGTTGCTGAAGCTGCTGAAACGCAGCGACCATCTCAAAACCGTGCACTTCATGACGGTCGAGGATAAAATATCGTGAAAGTAGAAGGGCAGTCTCTACTGCACACAGCGTCTACCATTGAAACTTTCGATTCTTAGACTTCCGACTTCTGATATCGAAACATGGCCTGGCCTTTACCAGCACGTCACATCTCTATCGAAGTCTTGCGAGTCGGGCTTGAAGTTCAAGTACTGCTGAGAACATGAGCTAATCGTGAACTCCATGGGCTGTGTTGCGCGAGGCAGCCAAGCAGTTGAGCACAGGGATGTTCAGAATTGATGCCGCATGCTAGGGGACTAGGGGCCTGAGCTTGCTTTATGTCCACTTGCCACTTGCCAAGCAACGCAGTAGCAGTCAAGCGCAGCTGCCAAAAGTCGGCGGCAGAGGTGGCCTCAGGCAGAAACCACATCTAGCTACGCAGATGCGCAATGATACGCATGCTGACACGGCAGGCATGAAAAGAACCCAAGACCAGTATCAGAATGAACGAAGCAGTTTGTGAAGTCAAAGCCATCGGCGAAAGACGCAACGCATGCATACCCATGTATTCGCACGCTGCGATTCAACTCCTGATCATGCGGGGTCATGCTACCATGGCGGCAGCGCCTTGGGATTCACAACATCTCGCAAATCCACAGGGCACTGCGAAAGCAATGCCTCGGATAAGTCCAAATACATGCAAACCAAAAATGTCTGAAATCCGTGTGTTGGGGAAGTCATGGCTCTCCAGTGGCTCCAGCAAAAGTAGTCAGTCCTCTTTTGAGTTCCCGCGCGGGCAAGTCCACACACATTCTGCCCTCACGCGGGGCACTGCATTCTGCTGGATGAGCAGTCGCATGTTCTCCTCAGGGCATCGTTGTTCGCCCTTCGGGGTTAATGGTGTACTTGAAGACAGGAGTCTCCGTGGCACCCACTGTGCTGTTTTGAACATGTAGCCAGGGTTCCAGAGATTCTGGCAGTGGCACGCAAAGGGATATCCATACGTGTTCCACTTCTCGTAGATCTGAAGAAAGTTTGAAAATGTGCCTGGCCAGTGGCGCTTATTGAGCTTAGCAGGGGCAAAAATGTTCAGGTGGCTGACGCACACGGCGGTAAGTTTTTAGTGTAGTCACTCTGGACTGGGGTCTTCGTGTGGCAGATGTGTCGACTCGACGGCCAAGACGCTGCAACAAAGCCACTACAAGCAAAAGCATTCTGCGTGTCGCAGTTGAATTCGCAGTTCTGGGTTGAACAAATTGTCTGTTGCAACTTCTGTGGCCCATTGAGAGCGAGATTTGACCGTTTGCCACTTCGTCACGACTCGACTCTTGAAGGGGCTATGAACAACTCAACGAAAACAAGGCATACAGCCACAGCGGCCCCGCCATAAAACAACATGATGATGGACACGACAACTTCCAGAGCGATGATCGCCAGTTCCAGCCGGCTCGCAGTAAAGTCCTGGCAGCGCTGGAGACCCACATTGCACTTTATGTGAGTGCTGAGAAGCTATTGGACTGTGGGACTGTGATGCGTGCTCTTTGAATGGGCACCCTTGCAATCCTTCACTTGCTCAAGGAGCATGTACAAAAGAATTGGCGTCATGAAGGCGATGACCGGCGTGAAGGTGCTGCCCAGTAGATTGACGAAGTCTTCAAAGAAAGGCACGATCTGAGCAAGCAGCCACGTAGCGACAACAATGGCCGCCACCTGGAAACGTGGAAAGGAGCTTCGGGTGGTTTGCCTGTCGTGTCTGCGTAGCAGTGGCTTCCCTATGCTTCCCTCCCATGCCGAACTAAGCCCAGCCGCCATGTTGTACCAGGCTGACCAGGTGTGGCTTGATGTAATAATTTCACGTTTATGGAATTCTTTGAGAAGACCCCGGCAGAGCACGACGCTTTTGATCACCTGCCAGGGTTTCCGGCTCACCGGTACATGTTGTCAATCTGTCAGCACATCAAAGTCGCTAATTTTTGTCCCAGGTCCAACGTACGTGATGAGCATGTGCCCCACAAGGCAAATCGAAGCATATCGCTCTGCATTGCCGAAGGGGAGCTCCTCGACGATCATTCCGGCCGCAGACTCGCCTTCTTAAACAATGACGACATGGGGTCTTGGGGCTTGAAGTGTGAGAGCTGCGAAACCCAGTGCTCTTGAAGATCTGTGACGTGTACACTGGGTGTACAGGCTCGTGGACGATTTTTGCGCCGCCTCGAAAGTAGTACACGGATAAGCCAACCCCCAGGAAGGCCACAGCTTGAAAGGGCAGGGAGTAGACCAAGTAGGCCTCTCCAGCACGGCTTCACTTCCACTCACTTTCTCTCGCCTTGAACCAACATTGGGTTGCTGCTTGTACCGCTCAGCCCCAGAAGCCTTGGGGAACTCGCTCATGTCTTGCATTTCAGACATAATTTCCACCAGGATGAACCTCAGCACCAAGATGCATGCACCCAGCATGCTCGCGAGGGGATGCAGGTGGCCGCTAGCCCCTGCCTCAACCAAGTAGGCGCTGGCGCTGTTGGGGAGATTAGCACTCTCATTGTATTACTCTTGTATTCAATGTGTCGATCCTAGCTGACTTCAGCCAGGAAGCTGCCCAGAGAACGCGAAGGCGAAAGTAGATGCCTGCACGGCAGCACTTCAAAATGAAGCACCAGCACAAGCTGCAAGATCTGATAAGTTCTTGCAGCGGATGGCGTTCAGATGATGCCGTTGCGTGACTAACCAGGCAGGGAAGCAAAAAGAAGTGCGAAGACCGAAGCCGAGACATCACTCCATTCATCTCAACATGTTGTCCTGACTTGCCCCAGTCGTGAGCTCTTCACCAAACGCGCATGCTGTCTAGGTGCGGAGGTCACCAAGGAATCAAAGCCCAAGTGACTCCTAGCAGGTCAGGAAACCGGCCAGGGATCAACAGATGGTCAAAGCGCGAAAACCAGTAAGCAGATGTAAGCAGCAGGTGCAGAAACCAGGTAGGATGATCCGAATTGTCAAGAGCCATTCAACACAACACATCACGCCGCATCAGCTCTCCCTATTAAGCACCCGGTTCATCGCACTAGCTGGAGGGAGTCCGAGCTTGGCCGGTTGCCCAAGAAATCTACGCTTAAAGGGAACGCAAGTCACTACGACCCCACGGTGGCAGCATGTAGTGGTGTCGTTACTCGATTCAGTGCGTGCGTCACTTCGCTGCATCGCTAGAATGCTTGTTGGATGACTTCTTCCTTGGTACGTAACATCCATCGGCAATCATTGGCAAAGATTGGTAAGTTTTCGAGTCTAGCGAGAGAAACGCACCAAGGCACAGGGACTCTCTATGACTGGTACCTCTCTTTACAGAGGCAAAACGAAGCTCCCAAAAAATCGATGGAAAGTTGTATCGAAAAGGCCTGGGTGATCTTCAAGAAACGAAAGCCAGCTATTGCAGGCCAAGTCACGCCACGGCCTTGTACTCGCTCCCTGCAGGTCGTGTAGCTTCAGCACCTTGGTTGCAACAGTGATCTTGAAGCACAGCGCGTCGCAAATTTGCGGTAGGCTTTGATGCTTCAACTCTCACGCCTCTCGTTGGCCACGAGCCGCAGCTCTTTGACATTCTTTGACATGTAGGTCCATGCCAGTATGAAGAGCTTGCAACACGCGAACTGAACTGGAAAAACCCGAAACTGCGTCAATGCCAGCATGCAATTGACAGCGGCCACGTATCCCAACTTCCAACTGCCCAAGACTGAGACTCAGGTACTGTTACCAAGCAGCCCTGCATTGCCATCCAGACGATCGGAATCATCACGGTGCCAACCTGTGCCAGCTGCAGCTTGCCCTCCTCTATAAGTATTCGCCAAAGAAAACTACAAACAACAAATTAAACAAAACAGCGAATCTGCTTACTGGTGGTGATCCGCCAGGTTACGGTGCAAGCACAGTTGAAGGCCACAGAGCCAGCGAAGGATCCCAGGAATCGAGCTGAGAGGTTCCTTAGGGGGTGGTGTCTGATGATGATGTGCTCTCTCTTTGTCTCAAAAGGAGAGGAGGAGTATTCTCTTAACTTCCTACACTTCAAAGGGACCACAAGCGCAGCATCCATGACCTGCAGGGCCAGGCTTGACAACTGCCGGGGGCCTCTCTGCTTGACTACTTGAATAGAGAAATCTGGCAACGGAATCATACAGAATACAGGCGTTCACGGGCATGTATGTAGTCTACACGTGTCGAGCCCATAGCCGGGTCTCTCTCCTACTTTTTTCTCAGTTGGACTTGTCATGGCTGCTCATGGAAGCTACAGAAAGCAGAAGCAAAGCAATCTCTGCTCGGCCGTCCTGCAGCCTGACGCAGCCACGCACATAAATGCTGTCTGGTGATGTCCGCTGCAGCCCAGCAGCAGAGGCAGGATCATCATGCAGCCCAGGAGTGTCATGAGGGGCAAACAAAGACGGAAATCGTAGAAGAACCTGGGCCATACTTCCGTACCAGGTCTTCCTTGTTGAACACCAAAGTGTGACGTGCGAGAGTGCGCCAAGAAACGCGTCACCGCTCTTCAGGCCCCCCTCCCACAAAACCCCACCGGGAAGGGGGGAAACAAACCATCCCGCAAACAATGCCCTAACATCCCACAACCCTCAGGGCCACCAAGAAGCATGCCCAGAGCCTGGCCAATGCTGAGTGTGTACAGCGCCAGCGTGCAGAAGACATAGGTGTATTGACCGATCACCCTCAGTGAGTGTTCTATGTGTGGCTTCGGCTGTCGCACTGGCATACGCGGTCGAGGATTCATGGTACTACCGCAACGCCGGCAAGGCTCATGGACTCAGCTGTTCTAACACGGATGAAGCGCAATTCCACTGGAACAGCTATTTGCTTAGGTGGCCCGGGCGAGCCAACTGTCCACAGTAGCAACCCATTTCTGGACCAGAACTGGGCTCCGCATTTGCCACCCTAAGGACTCTGGCCAACACTTCAACCTAAGCAGAAACCCTATGAAACCCTTGAGCTCCTTAAACCTACTCCGATCTCACTGAGGTTCACTGTCTCCTGGGCTAGCTCCAGTCGCGCCGGCAACGCGCGGGCAAAGGTCTGCTGCACCAGATCTTTGAAAGTGTTGGCTTCCTTACTGTATCGGCTCCAGGGGTTACGATCCACGCGGCAGCGAGTTCTCTAATGATTGAGCGTCTGCATTGGGAAGGAACCTGTCCGATCTCGCAAGCTTGGCTTCTAGCGAGCTAGGCGTGGACGTGCCAAGGGGCTGGAAAGCGAGAATGAACCTTGCAGGCGAGATGAACTGTTGCCGCTGAAGAACCTATGAACAAGTTGTGCAAACTCAAGCCAGAACAGCTGCATTTCCGGAGTTTGTGGCGGAGTGCTTGACAGTTTATCTCTTCCAGTCTTCCAGACAAGTGGCCCTCCAAACCAAGATCATGATGTGGGCATTCATGGCCAGCATCGCAATGATACATACGGTGCCAAGGAGCCAGCCAAGCTTGGCAACCGCTTGACCTGTGACATTGTATCCAGACGATGAACGAGCAAGGACATGCGATAGTGGCAATGTGAGCTGACTTTGACAGTGCCACTCCCCCGCCATCGAAGTCTTTGGGGCAGGGTTCGAGGGGCACGGCCTAGAGCCACAAACCGTGCAAGGCAACAAGCGAAATTCAGGGTACCTTAAGGCTGGGCTTGGGTCATCGTGTACGTGTTGCAGCTGCTGGGACTCTACACTACACGGAACCTCGATGGGCTGACGGGTTGACAGAACTTCCGCGCGACAGCCAGAGTAGGCTCTCTACTTGAGGAAGGGAAGGAAGGGAAGGGAAGGAAGGAAGGAAGGCAATGACCAGTGGGCATACGGCCACGGAGCCGCACTCTTCACCTCTGAACATCTCAGGCGGTCTCCGCAAGCGTCATCGGCCCCCTCCGCCAGAGGGGACCAAACAATGGGCGACTGCGAAATTGAGGCGGAAGCCTGCAAGGCGTGGATACTGGCAACGCGGTAGCTGAGCCCTTTTGTACTCGAGCACTGGGAAGAGCGTGCCAAGAAAGCGAGAGGCCCAAGACGGCGATCCAGATAGGATGGCACTGCCATGTCTTGAGCCACATCGCCTTGCACCAGGACAGGGAAGGGGCGTGGGGCCCCTGTTTGCTGGCTTTTGATGACGAATTAGGCCCACGAAACCCGGACGTTGGTATCGCTCAAGCCGAAAGCAAAGAACTGGCCCCAGCGGTGCACCACTACAGCATACCACAGCCGAGCCAGCAACATCCTCAAAAGCGGAACCGTCCAAGGCGGAGTCTTGCAGTAAACTCACTACGGCGCATCGGGGGCACCTGGAAAAGTCCAAAGGCAGGGTCGATTGCCCAGAGAGACCAGGTGAACAGCAGCACCTCACTTGCCAGGCAATGGAAAATCCTGGCCCCACTCCCTTAAGGCTTGAGTAGGGGGGTCTGGAGCAGCAGAGGCTGTAGAACCAGAAACTGGGCCAGAGACGGCGCGACATGGGAGACTATATAAGGCTGGCCAGCAAAGCCTTGAGGGTCCAGGAACCCTGACAAAAGTTGTTGGGATGATCTATGAGGGTTTGGCACAGTACAGTAGTACTGAGCAATCGAAGGAGGAAGACGGCGCCCACTGAACGGTGCAGCTTCACGAAAGCACAGGCATGGCAGCGTCAGTGCGTGCAAAGTAGAAATGTCCAAGCCAAAGCTGAATTCAAGTTGTGTGCCAGCGCACCGCGCTCGCTTCAAAGAATGACTCTCCCAACATCGGGAGCATGATGAGAAACAGAGAAGGGGGTGGCGGAGCGTTAAGGTTGTGTGTGAGCATATCAAGTGTGTTGATCCCTCAACCAACTCCCCCACACAACTTTGCATCAGGATGGTACTTTTTCTTGCTTAGGGGAACAAGGGGTATTTGTCTGGCTTGTGGTCTTGATCAGTGCAGGCAGGACCCCCGGCGTGATTGCTAGCTTTTGCCCAAGGAACCCATTGCCAGGACACCAGCACCAACTACATCCGCAATCAGAAGTCCAGCCTCAGGCGATGAGCGCGCCCATTGGGGCTCTGGTGGAGGTCTTGTGAGATATGCAAGGCTTGCATTTGTGTCCTGCTGCTTGCGCTGCACTTCAACAGTCGGCTGGACAGTAAGATACAGCGTTGGAGTGCCGAGCCCAAACCAGGCAGACCCCGATGTATTGCCCTACACCAACAGTATAGTATTGACCAACACGCGGGAACTTTCAGGTACGAGGCGCTGTGAGATATGCAGAGTTGCCTTGCCGGCGGCCGCCCTCCAAATCGGAGTCTTTCCTGCATGGACGGTCGCGGTCTCGGGCGAATTAGGCGACATTTCGGCTCAAGGTTGCTTCCCAGGTGCTTGGCCAAGGAGGCAGACCCATACTCTGCCTGAGGAGAGAATAAAGGCCACTGTCAAAAACCCCTCCACAACTCTACAAGAACCGAACTGCAGAATCACATGCCGGTCAAGCATGAGCAATAATCCAGAAGTGTCCGAACCAGCCCTAGCCCTGCTGGTTTTTGCAGCCGACAGGCCTGCATGCTTCCTTCAGCCGACCGCCGGCTGCTGCATTCAAATGGAAGAGAAGAAGAGAAGGTGGTTTATTTCGCTAAGCTGATGGCAAGGAGTCTTCGGCCAACATGGCTGCGAGATGCGTCGCCGCGATCGCAAACTACAAGCTGCTTTAAAATTTGAGATTAAGCCCAGAGATAGACGCGGAATGGCGCAGAAAATCAAGTCGACAGGGGCCATCGCCCTCGACTGTTGAGCTTTTGCCTATATCTGGTGAGCGCAAGGACTTAGCTCACAACCCGACCGCAATACTCAAGTGAACAAACACGCTTCAACCCCGTCGGGCAAGTCTCAGCACATGACAGCACATGGGTACTCTTCAAAGTCTGGAAACTTTCCGACTCATGCTGGCAAGCTTCGTAATTCCAACACAGGCCACGTCGGAAAAGGGTGTCGCTGGTACCAAGAACAGCCCCGGCGGTGCCAGTGAGGTCGTCCAGATTGAACCTTTCAGTAAAAGGGTTCAGACATGTGTGTTTCACACATTTCCACAGACACCATTCTGGTGCTTTCTTGCTTCAAAGCAAAACACGCTTGTTTTGCAGCTACCACGAAAGCTGGTCTTGAGTCTTGGCTTAAGCTGCAAGGCTTCGCCGTACTATACCTTGCATGTTGATAGCGGATATCTGGGGAGCTTCAGGAAGGCTTGAGCGACACTTGTTGACTGTGCCTTGCTCAACGGTCTAGCAGGAGACTTAGCCCAAGAGCGAAGTTACAGCACACACCGGTGCAAGCAGGCAGGCGGATAGAACAACTTATTCTGACAGCCTTTCCACGCCGTGTTCGTCTTCATCTCGGCAGACTGTCACGAGTTAGTTTTCCAATGTCGGGAAACAAGGGAACGAACAACCAACGAGTGGAAGGGATTAAACTGAAAATGCCAAACCAATTGCTGAATACTGGAAGGCTTCTCTTAGTCTTACTTCTGTTGCAGCCCACAGGCATGAAGAGAATCGTCATTGCATTCAAGACCACCTGAGCTCCCAGAAAGCCAGCACAACCCTTGCTACACGTGTGGGCCCTCGCTATCTGCTCTTGGGCTTGCTTCGGACATGCTGGACCTGCCACTCTAACTCGCAGCACGCAGACTTGTCATCACGCAAAGCGACTTGAGAAGCGTGGGTCAGCTTCCAGAATGACACAGGGAGCACAAGGATGTTCCACATGACCTGGGAATGGGGGGGGGGGGGGGGGGGGGGCTCCTTGTGCACAAAGCCCAAAAGAAATGGAAGAGACGATAAGGGCGCAGCACACCAGGCATTGATATAACCACCTTGGAAGAACTTGGGGATCAAGGGTGTCATCCATCAAAAGGCAGCCCAGAAAGCTCGTCACGAATGTCGGGGCCAGTAGTTTTTGAGAGGATGACGACCCGTCTACTCTTGCGCATCTGCCCAGCTGTATGCAATATGTTCAATTAATTGAGCTTATGCGTAGGCTCTCGGCTGTCGACACTACGTAGTGAGTGACTGAATGACATGAGTGACACCAGCGCTTCGAAGAGACGTCAGCCATGTCATGTCACCCCTGGCCTGCAAAGGCCCAGAAGGAGGAGCAGCCCGCCAGTCGACCGAATTTGAACGCATCCTCCCAGTCCGAAGAAGCGCTGCGTGGTTACCAGTACGATGGTTATGTAATGTCTGCGCATTGCGCGCGCCCCACTTCGTCGTTTGTTTCATGAACCGGCCTCCAACTCTTCCGTTGCGTAGTTCAACAGTTGGACCACCACAAAGAAGGAGAAGACCACTCCCATGAGGATGGTACACCACTCCTGCCAGATGCAAGATTGCAGTCGAGTTTGCAGGTTACTTAGGACGTTGTCTGGGTGCTTCTCTAGTCTATGGCACACCAGTAACCGCAGGCTTTGTCACTGCAGGCTTCTGGCAGACAGCTGAGGGAAGCACAAAAAAATAGCAACGCCCAGGTGAGCATAGGTTCTGCAACCCGCTCCGAGCAGCCACTTTTTGCATGGCAAGGGGACTTCTTGCAACTGCAACCATTGGTTCGCAGGTTGCAACTCAGCCGGACTGCCCCCTTTGAACAAAGTCACAGTCACTTAGCATCGCAGTTTAAACCCCGCAGCCCAAGCGAGACCCCGTAATCATTATCTCCGATGTCACAAGTGACAGGCACAACAGCTTCGATAGCAAGGGGCGCAGCTGCTGGCATCCAAGGCTCGCCCATGTCTCTCTCGGCACAGAAAACACTGCTGATGGATATGCGTTCCAGCGTGTCTATGGGGTGCTGCAAGTAGTTCGTCGGGTCCTGAACAAAGCCACTTCCGGTACTGACGACTCTCGCTTGCCAAGAAGTTCCCCGTGGCAACGCGGATATTCGCGCATGTCCTGCCACAAGCTGAGTACCACCATCACTGGGCCCAGTATCTGAACCACAGCGACCTGGCATGTTGCGTGGACATCCTCAAGGAAGTGGAGAAGGCTACAGCATGGCATTATCTGCGCCACAACAGGGACTCTTGTGCCAACCATGTCGGGAAGTCCATGCAGCCAACAAGCTTCGCTGTGCACCAGTCCTGGCTGCATGCACATGCCAGATTGCCCAGGGACATGGGGTTGGGTCGGTAGTGGCGATGTTCGCAAACTCACTCCTTAACTCCTGGTACTAGATGGGAAAGGGAAAAAGCATCACTTCCAAGACCAAGGATTCAGTACTAAGTGGTGAACCTGTCAAGATAGGTCTTTTCACCGTGAGACAGGAGCTAGAGAGTTAGGGTCTCAAGGTGTGATGGGTGAACTGGACCTTGGAATTAGTTGGCCTACTAGAAACACTAACCTTCGAGGGATACCCTGCTTCGGCTTTCAAGCCGATACCGCCTCTGCCCCTGGTCGATCCCCATGGTTGTGACAAGGGGGGGCAATACGGGGACAATGGAGTCGCCGAAAGGCAAGTCGCTAAGCTGCACTCATCATACTAATTCCAATGGTCCGGAAGATTCCTTCTGGGCGATCTTGTGTTCACTTTCCGGGAATTCATCCCAAGAGCTACACTATTCGTAACGTTTGTCTTCCCAAACCTTTACAAAAAGCAAAAAAACAACCGCAAGACCTTTCGTGCATCTTCTTTCCTTCCTCTCATTCACGGATCACTTCGCTCGTTCATTTCATTCGCTCACTTGTTCGCACGTATATTCTAAATCACGGACGTTAAGAATTAAGAAGAAATAAGTACGCTTGTCAACAAGGCAAAAGAAACAAAAGCCTACCAATATTAGTAACCTAAGGTAAACTGCGGCTTTTCTTCGCTTCGTTTACAGTTTAATACTACTCTGATGGCTTTAGGCCGTTGATTGCACTCGTGATTAGAAGAGCACTTCCCTACTCCTGAGGGCCAAACAAGACTGAAATAATGTATCGGAAGCGCGGCATTGCTATGTATATACATATATTTTTGTAAACTGCTCACTTCACTGCCATCATGGCTATCATAGCCATCACGCGCCTTTCATGAATATCGTGAGCAAGGCGAATGAACGAAGGGCATAAGCAAAGTGAATGCGGAGAAAGACCCGTGAAGAAGAACCCTTCACAGGTTACCTTGGTTCAGTTGCATTCCGGTGTTCGTTGTTCAGGGTTCAGCTGATGATAGAACCCCATTAAGCAGGGCGTTATCCAGACCGGGCGTCAACAGGGTCTCAAGGTGTGATGAGTGAACAAGGCTGTGGAACAAGAACCAGAAGCCTGCATGTGCCAATCTTTGAAAATCCCGTCTCATCCCGGATCACTCATGCGCCAGCTGTTAATCACTGCTAGTCCTCTACGTGCAGCCTGCGCCACTTGCCTTTTCATGTGCTCTTCGGCATGCCAAGTCCTTCCATGCACCTTGCTCTGTGGGGACCACGAAGAAGCTGGAATGGACGTTGCCAACCTGTTTCTGATTGCGCCAGTCAGGAACTGGCACAGGTAGACTCGGATTCAATTCCCAACAGGTTGGCTGCCAGTTCCCCTGCAGCATACAAATGCAGCCCAGGCACAAGAAACTCCTCAAGTGGAGGGAACCCGGTTGTTTTGAAGCTGTCGAGCTCCCATCCCTTCTCAGCATTCTCATAAGCCTCTCGCAGATGCATTGCCTACAATTTCCGACATGGCTACAAAGCTTGGCATGGTGCTTCTTGACCCGGCCTCGTCCAGGTCCACCTGCACAAGCTGACAATTTAGATGTGCAGCCCTAAATCGCAGCGGAGGCATCTTTGTAACAAGTTTTCTCGCATGATACCTGCTTGTCGGGAAAGACGACCCAGTGGTTTCCAGTCCATACATGGTGCTCTTCCAATAAGGCTGCAGACTATGTTCTGGCAGGGTGCCTGGCATTGGCTAACCAAGAACTTGTAGGAGTAGCCCTACCTCTGCCAACAGAGTCAGGCGTAGGACTGCGAGACCCACCCCTCACGGGATGCTAAGGAGAGATCAAAAACCGCTGGGCCCAGTTGTCGAGGGGAAGCTGAAAAATGCCAATAACCCTCCACAGCGGCGCAATGGTATTTCTTGGAAAGCTGCCAGCCTTTGTTTCCTTCAGAGACGCGATCAGCAGGTCATAGCGCTCTTGGGGTGTGCCCCCCAGCGTCTGCGCGAACTCCTGAAGAGCACATGATGACGAAGGCGAGTGGTGTGCGAAGCCGAAAGCCCTGCAGCGTTCCAGCGTTGGCCAACCGACCGACACGGCCAACTCCGAAGAACGAGCATGTGTCCTCTGCTATCTCCCTCAGCTGGGCTTGAAGATCTGCGCAATGTCTCAGGCGCACCTACGCTGAAATGAGACGCTTCTTCGCAATCGCTGAGCTTGAGAACCCTAAACCGTAAGAGAAGCCCGCGAAGTACACGAAAACACACCCTCACCTCCTGGAGCGCATTCAGGCGGTAGATGTTCCCAGATGGGGCGAGTCGAGCCCACACGGCGGACAGGTCAAAGGAGCCCCTGCAACTGCGAAACCGCTGTTGAAAGCTTCTATGGATTGCTGCGCCACACTGCCATCCGACTTACGAGTTGTGTGACGTGTGATGTGTGGCTTCTTCGGTTTTCGCATGTCAATGTAAAGTGTTTTTGATGACGATCGCTGGCCGAGTCAGTTCGCAATTCTCACACACGAAGGCATCCTAGGCTTAGGGAGCTCCAGTGTGAAGATGGCAGCCGCAATTTCCTGACAATGCCGCAGAGCTGCTTGCAGCCGTCCACCTCATCCAACACATCCTGAGTTCTCGGTTTGCAGCACCAAGCTGTGACAGCTCATGTTGCCTTCAGGCCCCCAAGTAAAGCAATCATCTAAAACCCGGACAAGGAACACGTCCCTGCTACTTTGTGCCAGTGAATCCAGACTCACCAAAGGATCCATGCCCGATTCATGGTAAGTCGATGCTGACTTGCGGGCGAACCGAATTTGGAAAGCTCTCCAAGAGGTATACAGCGTGTGGGACCGGCAATGAAGCGCAAGTGCTTCTGCAAGGAATGAGAAATGGACCCTGGCAGCCGTCTTGGCATGACTCGCAAGCCTGGTTCCAATATCACAAATTGCTTTAGAACATATGAGCAGGGCGTGCGCGCAAAAAATGTGCCAAAAAACCATATGGCAGCGTGGATTTCGTCCCACAAAGCACGCCGAAAAATCAGCTCTGCGGCAGCAAACGTGTGGGGACTGCCCACCTTCAGGCACATGTGAGCCAATCGCAGCCAACCCTCTACAACATCCTTTTGCTGCCGGGTAGCACGATAAAACAGTCGAAGCGGGTGCTTGGTGTGGAAATGCCTTGCGGAAACTCTACCATGCTTCACGGTCACCATGCAAAATGTATCATTAGGAGAAGCTGCAGCAGGACTCTCGCTCACACTTTGCGCCCAAGGCTCTTTTCAAGTGCACTGGTCTTCTGCAGTGAGGATGCCAACTTCATCTTGGTATATGGAAAAGGACAACGAAGCTGTCCCGGGAGCCCTACTAAACTAGAACGTAAACTGAAAGCTCAGTACTCGGGCCAGAAAGCACGTGCAAGTGGACCTGTGGCTGGCCGTGCTAGGCGTCGCTGTTGCACAAGACGCTGTTTGCCACTACAAGCACAATGCCCTTGAAATCGTTGTAAGTCGGATGAGTACATTGACTGATGGGACCACCCCCCCGCCCTTGGTTTGGTTATGGAAGTGGTGCGTGCAAATCCTTGTAGTCCCCGTATGGACCGGAACCTTGTTCCCCGGCCTCAACAGTTCCAGCCCAACCTGCAGAACGTTGGAGCTCGCGGAGCAAAATTTCCACTCGTCGTCAATCGGAGTGTGAACAAGGCCAATGCCAAAGCCGGTCAGCCCGAAAACACGACGCACCCGTTGTGCACATCCCAAGCTCTGCTCACCAACATTTTGAAGCTCCGCAGTTGCCAGCTCAAACAGAGGTTGCACAAGGCGTTGGAGAGCACCTCAGCCAGCGATGCGCCAATTACTACTGCCTGGTTGCCTGTGGTTTTTTTGCAAGAAGCTTCGCCTTGCTGTAAGACTAGCCGAGCCACTGCCTGTGTGGAAAACCGGAAAATCCTGCAACATCCCTGCCGCCCTTCTTTTTTGCCCTCCACGAGCTTCCCTCAAAGAAAGGATCGAGAAACCAGTTGGTTCCAACGCACTCTGCGCATTGCGGCGACATGTGGCAGATGTAATCCTGGCGGTTGAACTGCTATATCCGACTATAGAAACATTCTGTTGGAAAGCACAAATGTTGCACGTGTATGTATCTACATACATACATACATACATGCATACATGCATATATACATACATGCATACATATATATATATATATATAATATTCACAGGTCATTGATATTATTTGTATTTACATCGCTTGTATTTCTTGGTTATAAGTTTCAGAAGGTATAACTAACGGTATAACAGTAAATGTATAGGTATGGCAGTATATTATATAAGTGCAGGTGTGTAAGTGGAAGTGAGCTATGTAAGGTTTGGGGGACCACCACACACAAGACGAAGCCCTCAAAACTCTGGGCTGACCTCCCCATGTGGTGCCAACTGCCGCATCACATGCTTCCAACAGTACAATCGCAAAGCGAACTTCGACTTCAGTCCTCGTCCCGGCAACTGACGGGACAGCCCTCGCTGACCAAAACACAGAACTCCGTCCCGTTGCTGCCGACGCACTCCATTTCCTGAAATGGGCAGGAGACATGGATTTTGGCCACCTTCTATGAGGTTCAGGATTCGGGGTAAGACTCCTGATGGATGTGCAGTCCTCGAAGCCAAGGGGCATCCGCAGCACATAACAGTGGGCACGGCTTGTCGGAGCACCAGTTGCTGCCCATGCAGCCTCGCCATGGCAGCTTCACGAAGCTCATCAAAAACTCATCGGGCTGTCTGCTGGAACCTTGTTACATTGCTCCAGCACTACGAGGGCTACGTAATGCTACGCAGCTTACGTACACATGCGAAAGCCCCCTCCGGTCGGTCCTGCGCAGTGTGGCGGGGCATGGCAGGAATGCTCCGAAGCTTTGCAGTGGACCGGGCAGCCCTGCGAAAGGCGCCGACAGAAGGCACCGCTGCCTCGGAAACTTTGGGTTTTGGGTGTTTCTTCTGGCTTCTTGAGATAGTTCCGGGCGACTACCATTGCAGACCCTAACGCCAAATGTGATGATTGGGGTGGGGTGGGAGAGTGGGGCTTCTGTTCAAAAAACTCGAGCAACGGAAAATTGTGCCCTCTGAAGCCCAGAAGCCCTTATGAGGCGGACACGTGATTTCGTCTGCTGCACAGGCTTCGGGGCATTGCTCTTCGGAGCACCAGTTCACCTTCAAACGAATTGACAGGGTTGAGATGGGTTGAGCCACAACAAGCCTCCTGCTTCTGACCTGTGGTGCGTTGCTGCAAAGCTCTGAAAGGATAATGAACGGTACTTATACCAACCTTTTTGGACCCTAGACAGAACATGCCTCATCAAGAGCGCGACTGCCTTACATCAACTTGTCAACTCTGATGCTTTGCAGCACAGGTGCTGCTACGCAGTCTGGACATTCATCCTTTGGGGCACTGTGGCACACCTGAGCTGCAAGGGTACAAAAGAAAACGAACACGTTTTCTCGGCACAGCTGAACTAGATACCGTTCTTTCTAAACAATGAAAACAAACATGTAAAAACCCCGCACCCGAATGGCTATGAAAGCAACAATCATACTCTAAATTGCTGTACCCTTGGCTTTGAGTCCTGGCCCATTCTGATCCCTCAAACAAGGCCAGGTGCATGCTGCCGCTTGCTGCAATTCGCAGGGCAGCCAGCTGTTCGATTGTGGCAGGTATACGCCTTTTCACTGCACGGTGAGCTTGGCAGGCCAACAACACATGGCATTTGAATCATTTGTATCCCTCGATGCCTCGTGCAAAACCCGATAATTTCACGTTTCCGTTACTTTTCCTGCCTCGTCTGCGCCCAAGCAGGCCACCTGACCTTTGCTGCAGTTCGCCGGGCAGGGTACGTCGGAGCACCAGTTGCGGCCTGAGCCGTCCTGGCAAGGAGATGACGGAAGCTTCACATCAAAGCATGCTTAGATGTTAGTGCACGGGGAAGTTCCGGGCATGCTTAGAACATCTTTGTGCCACCTCCACGATGATGTTGGACTGTTGCGTCCCACTGCCCCTTTGAACAGAAACCCACTGCGGACCCAAAGTTTTTTCACGAAACCCGACAAATAATGCAGACGGCATGCAGCATGGGCGGGCGGTGAGTGACACTGATGCTCGTGCTTCTTGCACTTGACTGGACAACCTTCGGCCTCGGAGATCTCTCGAAGGATGACTTGGTTCCGATCATGCGCCGATAGAGCTGGGAGGGATGCCCCTCCAACTCCACGACCGACTACACGACATGCAGCATTTGCTGAGCTGCTGAGCGAAGCTTTGTCGCACAAGAAAAGCTGCTTGCAAGTCCAGCAGCTCGCGGCACACAACTACCACTGCCATCGTCCTCACAAGCACTCGCAAAGCACAGCCACATTGTCAGAAATCCGAATTTCCGGAAGCCCTGCTCCTCTGCGCAAGCCAACTCCGTCGCACCGCATGCCTTTGGGCACTTCTTCCTGAGCTGATGATGTCCAGTCTCTCCGGATGGTGCATGGGAGAGTGACCATGATTTGCCCCAGAGCAATGATCTGCTAAGCTACGTGGAGCACCAATTGAACGCTTGCTTCGAGGGAGGGTGCGGCGGCCAATGGCAAGCGTGCTCCTGACGATTCGAAGACGCTGATGCTGAGAGCACTCGAGGCTGATCAAGTCCTCTTTGGAGCACTTCGCTGGGCAGCCATCTTTCCGCTTTACGCAGAAGTTGGTGCCATTATGCCTGCCCCACAGGGAGGCTCACGGCTACAGGCGCTGTAACTGCAGGAGCTATATAGTTACTGGATGCAATGTGGCACGCTATAGGATATGTTGCGTACTCCGCAGTAGACGCGCTCGGCCTTGCCTGGAGCAGGAGATTTCGTGCGATGCGCACATTTGCGGACAAGGGTCCTGCGATCGTGAGCTTTCTATCAGGACGAGCCGAAGGCCAAATGAAAGAACAGTGCCAGTTGTGGCGCAAGCGCCATCGCTTTACCAATACTACCCGAACATTATTGAGCATGTCCCCACAAAAGCGTTCATCCACATCTACCTGAAAAATGTGCCCAGAGATACTTCTCATTAGACCTCTGTGTGTGTGTGTGTTTAATTTTTCGCGAATAGACATCTGATGTTTGCTATCATGTCGCTGTAGCGGCCTCTTGTCATCCAACGATATAATTCCTTCAGGGGTTAGCTTACTTGTCTCTTGTATATTTCTTGAGTGAACCGGTAGGGAACCAGAAAGTTTAGCATTCAATAGGTCCTGTAGTGGCCGGAGAAGAGATTAGCACGATTCATGCTTCTGCCGAGCAGCTGACGAGCACCAATTGAGTCCCGTGCAATTCTTGCACGTTGGTGGCGCGTAGCACTGATGCCTTGCCATGTAACAGGTGACCGCAAGTGTCGGAAAAGTTGCATGCACGGCGGCAGTTGAGACACCGATCCAGTGAACATGGCAGTTTCATTCATCTAGAAGAATAAACCCCATCCCCCCACTGCTGTGCCAGGATTGCTGCTGCGCTGCTCGTGCTTTGCACACGAGACCGGGCAGCCTTGCTCCTTGGTTCTCAGAAATCCATGCCCTGCGAACACTGTGCACATTGCTGGAGCTTCACATGTCCGACCGTCAACGTGAAGGAACCAATTCACAGCCCAGGTACCCTTCCGACACACACCTCGGAAGCAAAGAGAGGACAAGATCGCACACACAACCTCGATAATCGAGTCCATGACACTGAGACTAAGAGATGTATCAGATGTGATCTCTCATCGCCCAAAGCCCCGATATGTTTCCCCAATGTCGGCTCACAAAGCTACTTCCGAGTGGTTTACGAAACGAGCACTCAAGCCGTCTCTTGTAGCCATTGTGAGCAAACTTGATCCAGCCACCTCGCTCCCATTTGTGAGTGCGCATGCCACCTCTGAAGTATTGCAGATTGGTGAGCATGGGGTGCTCGAGCCTCGGTTACCGGACACATAAAAAATGCATCTAACGCTAAACTAGCCGCCATGGCTTCTGCAGAACTCAGCCCATGCAACCGACACAGAAATCTGTGAACTTCGGTCCAAGGCACACCAATTCACGCCTGCCTAGGTTCAAGCGTTCTCTGCGCGAAACCGATGCTGAGGAGCCCACACCAACAACCAGTAGGCACTACTCCGGGTCCCATCTGCGCACAACTGAGCCGCAAAGTGGCATGCCATGGAATCGTTACGTGACATGGACTACCAGGAGTGCATATGCCAAACCGTAGTACAGTCCATCATGTACATAAAGCATTATAAAGTAGCGTGGTCTTACAGCCCATTCCACAGCTATAAGGCCAGTTCTCTGTTTCTCCCTTTTTGGGTGCCCCTTCTAGACTCAGGGCAACCCAAAAAATCGCAACTACGAAAATGGCAGCAGCGACCATGGCATGCACTCATCAATGAAAGAGAATCAGAGAGCTTGTTCCGGAGCGTTATGTCGACAGTGCGCTTGTTAGAGCCCAGAACTTGTGCTTGCTCCAAGCTACCTCTCCAGTCACACGGCCAGGGCTGTGGCAAGAGTATTCCTGCTCGGAGCAGTTGGCCGGGCAGCCCTGCTCAAACGGTACCTTAAGCATGCTGCTACATGCGACTCTGCATGCGAGTCTCCCCCACGGTCCAATGAGATAGCAACAATAACCACTCGAGAGCAGCACCGAACTGTGCTTGCTGAAGTGCGCAAAAGGTCGAATTCGTCGTAGAACAGGAGGTTTCGCTGGCCTTGCTGAATCTTCGTGAACGGTCAATGCTCATAACCGTGACAGGTTCTTGACAGTATTCAGACTCGGCAACGCTTTCATTGGGTGCGCTCAAACTCGAGCATGAAGATGGAGTTGCAATGTGCTGTGGTACGAATGAGCATTCGTGGCGCGGTGAGGCCAGCACAAGCGAGGAGCCTGGGCAACTATTTAAGTGAAGCTGAAGTGCATCGCAGTTGGCAGGACAAGGGCTCGAGGAGCACCAATTCCTGCACAGCTTTGTCGGAACATTTACGTGGACCAGGTGTAGTGCATACTCCCCGAAGGGTGGAACCAGGCATCTGACTAACAGCATAGCAAACGAAACAGTGGACAGGCTTGATTGGACAAGGTGCACACCAGCGCATCCAGCACAAGATGGGGGCGCATGGCAGCTGAAGGCCTTAGTTGGCACGAAATAAGTTTCCAGCCCGATGTCATGAGCATTCATCTACCGCGTGCTCTCAAATTGCGTGTTTTTGTCTACGTTTCATGCTCCCTGTAAGTGTTGGTCACATGCATGCAGATGCATGCAGCCAAGAGGCGCCTTCTGTGCAATTGATGGGGCACCCTGCGTCCAGGTCCACGCAAGACAAGCTGTTGTCCGAGAGATCGCAGCAAATCGTTTGCCCGAACCCGCATACCTGCAGCACAAGAAGCATGATACATTCATTGCCCTGCTTGCATTGCCTCATTGCTTGTCTTTCTACTGGATGTGAGTCACTTTTTGACTGTTCATGCACGACAGCCTACATCGGCTGCTAGGTTGTCTTCGGAGCACTTAGCAACTAAGACTTAGCAGCTTAGCACATCTGCACCGAGCCGCCATTGGGCACGGCTGGCTAGAGCAATAGTTCACGGCAGCGCAAGTCTCACAAGTCGATGGAGTGTGGCAAACATGCTCCCCGGAGGAGCAGCTGACCGGACAGCCTGGCAAACAGCACGCTTATGTCGCACATCACCTCGGGTTACGGCATCACACAGCGAGGTATATATCTTGTGCTTTGGTGTTCCGCGATGTGCGGATGAGAATATCCTCGAAGACATTTTGACGTTGTAACTTTGTCACCATGCACGTGACTCGACAACGCCCATCAGCGTTCTGCCACTTCCGCATGCCTACGTGGCGCGGGGCGCAGGCATATCCAAACGGAAGCCAGGATAAATACCTAGGTCGGTCATGAAATCTATGAATCTAGCGTGATGCTGTTCTCTGATTGAGCAGATTGGGTGCCGAGCCTGTGGCTTCACACGCAGTTTCGCCAGTCAGATAGCTGCTGCAACACACGTCGTTATACGTCCGTATGTAGCATCAAGTTGCGGACAGACCAGCTCGGTGTCGTTGCAAGATGCTTTCAGCGTTGCTATGGCCTGAAGGCTGCTTTCACTCCGACAGGTTAAGCGGCACTCTAGCTATGTCGCCCCAGCTTGCATAGAGGGCCTCCCTCACAACGCACATCCCTGCTGCGCGCTCTGTCCTAAACCTACCTGATGGTGAAATTAATCTTAACTGCCGTCAGCTCCCCTTGTTGACTTCGCTCGTTAGCTCTCATCCACCAAGTCCAAGCCGCTGTCTGCTTCTGCGTCTGCAATATGGAGACACTCTGGGCAGGATGCTCGTTGATGTCACTGTGGTCACCGATTTGCTTGGCTCCGAAAACTCCCAAAACACAAAGCAGCAGCATTGGAGCCGCCATGGCCGCCATGGCCTATATAAGAATAAAGTGGCACCGGGGTGCTTGGCACGGAGGTGCTTGGGCCAGAAGCCAGTCACGGTGCCGATGCCAAGCATGGAACGAAGACAAGGAACATGATGCAAAGTTAGTTTGTAGATTTTGCATTATTTGCAGCCCTATTTGACCCCTTCACCTCAATCAAGGGACCAAAGCTAAGGGTCCAACTAGGACCTGCCCCAGTCTGTCTCAGAAGCTGAGATGGATCTATACTGTCATGCACATGTCCCTACGACGTTTTCCAGATGCTCCGCGCTCTTCCCATTGGAGCAGCTTCGTAACCTGGGATGCACCGACAGGAGTTTCTTGCTTCTATGGGCACATTACACCTCCACACGAATCCCCGGGCCTGTCATGAACCCTTCATTCCGACCTGTGCGCGCAACGTATGTCTTGCTGGCACAGTCTTGCTACAACGATTGGTAGGCAGCTGGTCTCTCCAAGCAAGAGTTGTGGAGATTCTAGCGCAAACAGTGCTGCAAACAAGAAGCCGGGCCTGGGCAAACATCCCCAATTTTCATTCTCTTAACGCCTTTTTTGCCTGTTCAATGCCCAAAGCCCGAGAATGTAAGAACCTTCCCTGATCTTAGCCTGAACCTTGCACCCAACCTCTTGCACCCCCTTTGCTACAACCCCTGCCAGCCTGTGAGGCATTATGAGGTCTCGGAAGCTTTCAGCTAGGGGCGGTCAGGAGCAAAGGCTCCGCCGAGGAGGCGAGATCTTCGGATGGATTCGCCACCTTCAGGAGCCTGGTCAGCAAAGCAAGCCAGCTTAGGAGGCTTGTGGCTTACGGCTGCGACTGCGATTGAAGATGGTGGGGGCTTCTACCACTGAGGGGGCCATTGCCGAAGCAACTCTCAGAAGCTTCACCGCAATCATTGAGTGCGAATCGAGGCACAGATTCTATGTTAAGAGCCCACACCGGAAAGCCCAGGCCAAATACAAGCCAACCAAAACTGCTCACATTTCGAACATCTCAGGAGGCCATTCATTGGGCTTTGGGAAGTGTCGCCTTTCACTCGGCAAGCTAACAGCTGCTATTGGTTCTTACAACTACTTGCAGTAGCTGGGCTTGAAAAGCGCACTGTAAGGATCCGGACGCCGCCAAGGCGCAGCAGTCTGTCCAACTCCCTCCGCAGCTCCTTGAAAAGGACGGCAGACTTCTCATCCTGAAGAGTTAGTGGCTTTCATCTTCAAGGCTTCGAGTACTTTAGAGTTTAGTCTCGTTAGGACATGTTGGAATGAGCCATTGGAAAGTACTCTTGTGCAAAGAGAAAGTGGACGATGTTCCAATTAGGTTGCACACTGAATGGGAACACATGGCAAAACACGTGTTAGGATGTTGCGAGCGCGGGCAGATCATCATCCCGGAGCCCGGTCAGGCCCTGTCAGCACCCAAAGTGAACCTAATTCTTTTCTGACCATGTACAGATCCCTCTACAGATACATATGCGCCCTGGCTCTTTTAAGATGGTTCCACATGTGTTGAGCCGTGTTTAGCCATGGGGTAGCCGCAATTGGACCCTAGCGCAGAGCTGTCGGAAGCCTTCGCCTCGAAAGTCATACCATCCACGATGACACACTTCCTCTCCTTCACAGGGCACTGACTGGCGCACTATCCAGAGCACTTGTGCTGGTGCAGACACCCATGCACCTACACAAGCAACAAGTGAACCCTCGCACAATCCTTGGAGGAAATTTTCAGCTCCCCCCCGAAGAGCAGGAGCGGTATTGCGCCTGCCATCCCAAAAGCACAAACGTACTGCGCCGGGTAAGCCGAATTGCCAAGTTGGCCGCTCTTGAATTGCGCAGCAAGCATGATGTGTGTGTGTGTGTCATTGATCAGAACCGCACAGTCCGGCTGGCCACACGCAGTTGCCTACACAGCTTCTTACGGCTTCTATACGGTTGCAAGCTGCGCAGGTACAACTGCTTCGAGTTAGACCAAAACCCAAGCCTGCATGTTGCCACCATAACATTCTGTTGCAAACCCTCGAGCCTACCAGCGTCGTATCGTGGAGGTAGACTTGCGTTGTCTTCACCTTGTCATGAAACAACAGCCAGCCGTGGTTGGCTGCAAAGTCCTTGCATCTTGGCAGGTGTGGTTTCCTCCCTCAACGGGTTGAAGTGGTGAGGCTGAATGCATAAAATTCCGAAGTCCGAGTGGTCCACTCCCAGCCCGGAACTCTATCCAAGACTCCCGGAAACCTGCGCCCCCCAACTGCCGCCCTGCTATACTGCCTTTGCAGCTAAGGCCTTTCCAACTGGATTGCAGGATTGAAGGTGTGCAGAGTTTGGGCGCGTTCTTGGTGGGAGCATGGTGTGGACAAGTAGCTTTTTCGGGGTTGGGGCTGAAGCTTCGAGATTTTTAATTGGGTGCATTTTGCGAGCGCCAACTCCAGTTGGTTTCTTTGGAAGGGGCGGGGGGACTAAGTTGGACAAGTCTGTGCCACAAAACATGGTTTCGATGAATCAAACCCCCAATTCAAAGAACATCCCACACAGCAACCAGAAAAACCCGGCCCTAAACAATAGACCTAAAACACAAAACCCCAAACCCCAGAGGCCAACTTAAAGATTTAGAGCTGCCACAGCAATTGCTGTTGTCATTGGGTGTTGCTATCAGTGTTCTTACTTCCCCAAACGTTGAATGACCCGAGTAGCACTACCCTCGGAAAGCGCAGAGTTCACAATCCCGGATGGACGGAGCGTTCCCCTTTGATCCCTATACTACTTGCTCCCCGTTCTTCCGCACCCACGCAGAACTTCGTCCTGAGCCTTGAAGTTCAGGCTCGACGGGTGGGGTGTGCAGCGCTCATTTTGGCGGCTCACGAAAATCTGGTACCTCACACTTACTCTCTGGGCACCACGGCTTCAGCGGATGCAACGATTTGTGCGGTTCCCAGTGGGTCCTAGTGATTTGACCTAACGCAGCAGCTACCGCAACATCATCTTCTGAAAGGGCTGCAAAACGAACTCATCAAGCACGCTGGCAAGATCTGGCAAGCACATGCAAAACTCCTCAAAGCCGACACTCCGTCGCATCCAGCCAAGAAGCGAAGTTCCGCGGGAATTGCTGTGCTTCCTCAGCGGATGACAAGCACGGGCAACTTGTGAGCTGGCAAACCTGCGTCTGGATTGGGATGCGTGTCTGCGTACACATCAGCACGATATTTCATCGGCCAAGAGTCTGCACCTGTGCCACGCTGGGAAACAAGCCTGCGCATAAGACACATCGCCTGAGTTGACAGTAATCACTTAACACATCAGCTTGCCTTTCGCCTCATTTCGCGGGCTAAACACGGGCCAAAGCAACCTCTCCCAGCATGGACCAAAGAAAGGATATCTGATATCCTGCCCAGTCACACCAGCGACATGTTCTTTTTGTGAATGTTGACCTGAGGCATGCAAGTCTATGTCGGCCCGCTTTGCCTCTTTCAACGTGTCGCTGTAGATAAGCCAGGAAACAATGGGAAACATGTCCGCAAACCACACTGAAGCAGAGAAGAGTCGGTAAGGTATAGTCCAGGCAATAGAGGAAGTGCTACCCCTGCGCATTATGGCACATACGTAGAATTGACCTGTACCCTGGAAGCTTTGGTCGAGGCACCTGCTCGCCTCCATCCTCAGCCTCCTCCATTGCAAAGCCCGTCTCGGTGAGGTGCCGCAGAAACTGCCTGCGCAGTTAGGGGTAGCGTCCATGTTGCTGCACGCAGTTGATTCAAAGAGCTTCAGGCGATCAGCATAACTGAGGGCACCTCGCAGACCTAGCAGGCCTTCCAATGAATCAAGAGAATATGTCCTTCTTCTGGCAGGGACGGGTTTTGATGGTCATGATGGCCCAGGGGACCCCCGCCCGCCTTCGAAGCTGCGCCTCAGAAGTTGGCAGGGCGACGTAAGGTGCTGCGATTTGCGTGATTCAAGCGTTTTACATGCATCTCTTGGAAAACTCTGCAGCTGAGATCAGCTGAGCCTGCGGCCATGTCATCCAGCGTGGAAGCGGAAAGCCCGAAGCGGTCGCACACCTGGCGCTGCATCCCCCGAACGATTAGCAAACAACCAGCACACAAGTTCCTTGATGGCCCGAGCACCCCGAGCACCACGGCCTGGAAGCCTGACTCTCCCCAGGTTGTTCACAGGTTCTTCTGCTATGTTCAACTTATGTTCTAATCTTCACTGTTTGGGGCGGTCGCAGCTCTTATGCTGGAAGCCTCCCAGGCAGCATCGCGACTGACCAGCTTCTGCTCCTGGTACCTTGATGGCAGGCTCTGCTACCAGTAAGGCAAGTATGCATATGCGTGTGCGCACGTGTGAAAACATGCATGCGTGTTGAAACATGTGTATATTATATATATATATATATATATATATACGCGGATGTACACCTCTGTTGGATATGCGCAGAGTTCCGAAGAAAAAACTCTTGACAAAAAGTGATGAACACATCCAGCCACTGCGAGTAGTAATATTTCACAGGGTTCACTTCCAATAACCTCACATCTCCAGGCGGTTAAGATCACCTTCCAAAGGTTGTCTCGGCCTCAACGTATTAGGGAACAGCTGCAGCTACGGTTGCTTGCGCACATCTGTGGCGGAATCCCTTGTGCCAATTCAGTTGCTTTTCGAAGGCTTTCACAACGGCGAGCTGATCACTGCCTTAATTCCGTACTGAGTGTCAGGGCCAGACGAGCGCACGTGCTAATGGCATAACATGAGAGAACATGCCGTGAGCTATGCTGTGGTGAGATGACTCCTCTGGTTGCAATTGAAGTTTTTCGGTCGGGGGTTCGAACGTAAAACAGGAGACCAGCTGTTCTGTTTGCCGTAGCATGTTGCATGCAAAACTTCTGGAGTGCAGCTTTCGGGGTTGGAATGCTCCGGCTCAGAATCAGCTGCAAAACGACCTTCTGTCTCCCGGCACCCTTGTACCAGAGCAGCTTGAGTCCTTCGCAAGAAATCAGACAACACTCGGAATGCTCACAATTCGCCCCAAGAAGCTGAGGTAGCCCCAGGCCCCCTGGCGCTCAGTCACCTGGAGCTCCTTCCAGGGGGAATATACTTGAATATACTTCGGATATTCTTTTCGCATTGCATATGCCCATCTGTGGTTTTTCTTGATATGGAGAAAGGAGAATGAACGCTCAAACTGCGAGCCACCTCTTTCGTTCGGTTGAAGCTGCGCACGAATGGGGACTTCCTGAGCTGCAGGCTAGCAGACACAACAACGACAGTTGAACACCTTTGGGTATGTGTCGGGGGGGGGGGGTGTTTTTGAGTCATGACAACTTGCCTTGTCACAATCTGAACTGCTAGACATCGTGAGTAGCCGAGTTGCTGAGACAGGCAGGCAGCAATAGTGAGGATGGGTGCCAGGCATTGGCAAAGCGATCCGTATACCAGCATCTTTCCTGCAAATTAGGACATGGCTCTGCTACAGGCCAGGGCAGTGCCATTCATGTTCTTGGCTGCTTGCCCCAGCGACCACACCATTGCTAGCCAGCAAGACTACAAACTTGAAGCGAGAAGCCTATTCGTGCATCCACCGGCATGTGCGCCAGATGGAAGCCCAAAGGTGTCAGGCCCAGCTTGGAGCTGTTCTCCAGGGCCCCAATCGCCACCTGAAGTAACGCAGCACTCCAAATACCTCCAAACACATTCAACACGCCGTGGCTCGCTGCCTTGGCACAGCCAACAGATCCGTCAAAAGACCCTGCTCCCCCGGCTCCCCCTCCGAAATCGTTCGAACCATCTTCTATACGTATTTTTGCATGTCGGGCAGCAAGGGAACGGATCGCCCGCTCCACGGCCTCGACCATTCATGGCTAGAAAGCCCAAATCTCTGGCAGCTGCCCTGACATGATGTGCTGGGTTTCTCTTTCTGAAGGCCCTGCCGATGCATTTCTGCATCTGGCCTCCTGGAAGTGGCTAAAGCAACCCTATAAGCCCGAACTTTCCATCACGTGGCTCCGGGCCTCCAGTGCAGGCGGCTCGGGCGCCAGGCGCAAGAAGTCGCCAGGGTGGTCGCCCAAATCCAGCAGCCGCAGCTGAAGCACCAACTCCTGGAGACTGACGCCAAAATAAATTAACTTACTGTCTGGAGAGCATCTTCGAATGGCGGGTCTGGGCTCAATCCTAATTACACTTCGGCAATGTGCGTAGACTTGGGCTGTTGAGCTCCTTGGGGCTTTGGAATGGTTTGTGCGGAATGGGCCCTGCGTGGTGTTCTTTGGTTTTGGCCACCTGCCAAGCAGCCTCGCACTGGGCCGCAGTGTTGCAAAACGTCCACCTATAGATGGGGTTTACGGAAGGATCAGCAAGTGACCAGTCGCACGAGGCGTTGATTTTGCTGTGGGGGAAGGCTTTTCTACAGGGGGTGCGCTGTTTTCTGCGGAAACAGGCTAGCTAGCTCCCACCATCCAACATAAGCACACAAAACAACAATAACAGGTTCCGCCAGAGCCCAACAAACCAGCAACGCACAATTGCAATAACAATGCGGGAATCAAGTCTGCGATGTCTCTGTGCTTCTCCGGACTCGACACTGCACATAAGTCTGTACAGAGTAGATCTGTCGCTTAATCAAAGTTTATTGGAAGAACCCCGGCTTCGAAATGGATCCCAACTCCGTAGACTCCGTCGACTACCACCAAGCTGGTAATGTCTCCTCCAGGGCAGTGCGCTGCATCTCACAGAGCCTCAGGAGACGGCAGTTTCTGGGACATGCGGTGTTCCACGCCACCCTTAGATACATCAACATACGTTAAAGATGCACGCCACTTCTTTCAGGGTTAAGCAGTAGATACCAAACAGTTAAGTTTGGTGTTTAGCCACTAAGCTCTGTTTCACTAGTTCGCTCATCGAATAGGTACCAGTACGGCAGTTGAGAAGTACTTAGCTAACCAACAGGTGTACCTTTTTCGTACAATTCGGAAAGCAGGAATTAGAAGGGGCTAACCAGCTATTTCTTGTGTTAGCGATCTTGTTAGCCGCTTACTAAGCATAAATGAGCTAAACCCTTACCGAAACTCGCTGAATTAGCAATCAATTAGCTAGCACCCGAGCACTTTTTTGAACTTTGGCTTAATCCTTTTAGAGGTTTCGAGTATGTCCTAAACAGCTACATAACCCATCTGTTTTTGAGGAGGGACTGCAGTGCGAACCTTCCGAATTGTTTATCGAAGTTTATCGTATCAAAGGCAGCTTGAGTACAAGTCCAGGTCAGGTTACAAAGAGTACGCGCAGACCAAACAGACAAGGCCAAGAAGCACATTCCGCCTTTCGTTTAGCATTTATAGGGTTACCTTCTTTCCGCCAAGCAAACCAGCTGCACCGACGGGTGACACGTCCGAAAACGGGAAACACTGCAAACCCGTATGTCGCCCAAACCAAAATCATGCGAACCTAACCTGAACTGGAATAAAAGCATGCTAGCGAGAGTGGATCAGAAGGGCAAGATGCGGCTTCCCATACCTTCGGCTACAGCGTCTTAGGGCCTTCTGGCTGTGTGAGATTTCGGGCCTGAGGGCGCCGCGTGTGCTTCGGAAGCTCCTTTTCAAAGAAGTTCTCTGGACAGAGCCGCCAGCAGATGCCTGACCACGACGCAAGTTTCGGGCTCTTCCGAGCAATCACTATGTTTTCCAGGAACTGCAACATGTCCCGAAGGGACCGTTCATTTGACTTGAACGCTTGTGTGACTGTCGCCGCTCCAGACTTCCTCAGGTTGTGAGAGACATCCAATTGACCGAGCCTGGGCGGGTTCTCCCCGCCCGTCCGGCTCGTTGTTTGGCAGCTGCCTGCGAGACCCAAACCGTGGAGAACCTGCCGCGCTCGAGCCACATGTGGAAACATACGGGCAACGCTTGACATCCATACGACAGCCGAAAGCATGTCTCTGTGAAAAATACGACCGACACCAATAGAGCGTAGACCTAATTGCGCGCCGGGAGGCACGCTTGTGGAGCTCTGCGGCGAGAACCGCGTTTCCTTCACGTGGCAAGAGTCTATGACGTGAGTGACGTCATCGATGGTGATGGAGGTTTCTGCCTGGCTTGTCAACAGAAGCAGGCAGCAGGAAAGCACTCGTACCCCTTTGTGAATTCCTGGGCAAGGCCACAAGATAACCAACGTGTACAGAGTGAATCAGAGTGAACAGAGGCTTCAGAAAAGGATAGAGCGTGCCACTCATGCACGACTATGTGTCGCGCAACGAATGCCATGAATGTGAGTCCCGCACAATGTTCGTTGACACCTCGGCTCAGCCGCAGCCCTTACCGCAAAGGCGCATCTGACCACAACAACTTCCAGATTTGAGAGGAGCGTGCAAGAGGCTGGACGATTTTTTTCTGCGGCAGCATCACGGTCGAGCTGCTGCTTCAGGTCTAGGCTGCCACCTGGAAACAAGATGCCAGCCAAGCGCTGCAGAGTAATGAACAAAAAGTTGATCCGCGATCAATACGGATGATGGGCAGGCAGCTACTTTACTGCCCGTGCCGTGCGCTGTATGTACAAGTAACTATATAGCATGATTGGCTAGGAGTTTTGCGCAATCCACTGCTGTGGTGAAGTAGGAACCCTAAATCCCAATGTCTGAACTTGCCCGTAGGGTCCCTGGAACTGATGGTGGTGACAAAAGCTCAGCGGGATCTAACTTTGGGCCCCCCAACGGCGCTGTTGTCGCACGATTCCAAACCGGATTCCAGACCACATGGTCAGTTTAGCAAGTTCCGGGTACCTTGAGCTTTGTTCGTGCAACCCCTCAAGCATCACTAGCCCCAGGTGTCACAGATGTAGCGCTGTGTACCTCAGCCGGTCTTTGGGTGTTTGTCGGGTTTAAGAAAAGGGCCAGCAATGCTGCAAGAACCTGCTCACATCTCACAACCGGGACGGCATTGCAAGCATCACTGTTACAGGGCAGAACAGACAGGGATACAGAGCGTCACATGGTGGATACTTGCTTAGGTGTCAAGGTGAATGAACTACGAGTGACCACACAAGAACAGCCAGGCAACCAGAGATTGGAACAGTAGGGAGGCTGATATATATATATATATAGATGTATATGTATATATATATATAAGTTTCGAAACCTGCAGTGGACTGAAGCACTGGTTTCTTCATGCGTGCATGTCAGTCGGCACGCCATCGGGCACCAGAATAGACGTTTGGAGTCTTGTGAAGGAAAGACTGGTGAGCTGAATAACAGTGCATTAGAATCATGATACAAATTAGTCACTAGTATCGCGGGCCCAAAAAACCGGTCAAATTGTGCATCACTTCACTTATTTCATTCCTAACAGATATATGCAAAATAACAAGTTAAGCCGCTGTTGGGCTGATGATGAACGACAGTAGTGCCTGCATCTGTTGCTCGCTCCCGGTCTAACATCTTTTTCGGTGGGAGTAACAAGGGATAAGAGCCATGCAGCCCAGCTCTACACATTCCAGTGCAGGACATGTTGCGCTGCAGCATCCGCAGCCGCTGGCTGGCCGCCTCTACACTGAGGCCTGCAATGAGCCAGAATGAGGAACGTCTAGCAATTCAGGGGATTCATCGGGTTCGCCGGACTCTCCTTGGCCTTCCGTTTTGGAATCCTGCAGGTATGAGAGCTTGCTGGTCTTTGCTTGCAAGTCTGTCTGGCATTTTCAGCTCTAGAGTCTGGAAACGTCTGAACTGCTTCATCAGGGAAAATGAAAGTCATCAAAACGAAACCAAGAAACCATGGAAGCTGCAAAAAGAAGATCATCGCCAACATTTTCCGCAGCTTGCTTTTGGAACAAAAGGCGACTCGACAAACTTGACAATCCTTGGGGGAAAAGTGACAAACACTCTGGTTCATCAAGCCGAGAAGCTCGGGCAGGAAACTTCTTTGATCTGCTCCCACATCCCTGCATTCCACAGTATGGGCGGCTGGCCTGCATGCTTTTGCAAGACCTCCACGAAAGCGTCGAAGACCTCTCTGGAGAACGCAGTTCTGTGATTCACGCATGTTTCCATAATCCGTAAGGAAGTGTTCATATGGCGACTCCTGCCTGTGATGGCATGGGATGCGAACGCCCGCAAACAAAGATCATGGCTCCAGCATCCTCATCATCAGGCACTCGCCCATGTGCTTGCCGGCATGTCGTATACATGCAAATAGTGCAGTGCAACTCCATGCCAACGTGTTGGCTTTTCAGCGCTTCTTGCCCAATTCAGCCTAGCTGCGAGAAGGCGAACAACCTGCTCGCCGGCTTCTTCGATGATGTCTTGCACGTAGACCTTCGGTCGGGCAACAAACCACCTCACGAGTTACTGAACATGTAGGTTGCTGAAAGAAGCAGTTTCTCGACTCAAAACCGCGCTCCTACCACACACAACCTTTCAGCAATATTGAGAGTGCACAGTGTCTGCAAGGCAGGGTTCTCGCTCGAACCCCCCCCAGAACTTCTGCATGACGCAGACGTACTGTACGGTGCTCCCACATGCACCGGGCGTGCCTTCCGATCATCGTGGTCTCTGGAGAAAGCCACATGGACGGAGAGCCAGTTGCTAAATGTCGACCACTCCTCGCCGTACAAGAAGTCTCCGTCTTGGTGCCGGAAACCCAGGAACAACAGATCCTGGCATTTGCGTCAGGCCTCTCGCAAAATTCAGAAGCGAACTATCCGCATTGCTGGAAAGCTCGCCTTCTAGCAGCCTTTAGTCCGGTCCTTCTGCCGGTCATGAGCCTGGTACGAAGCCGCAGAATCTAGGAGCTGGAGATGCCTGGAGGGCACGGAGGGCTTCGACTTGACGGCTGAAGTGCTATTGAAGCGCTACCTGTTCAAATGTCTTTTTTGCCAAACAGTGGCGATATGGTATGTTCCCCTGAAGCTTCTGTTCGGTTCCTTTGAAGGCTCCACCGGATTCCGCCAGCCTCTGCTGCAAAAGTGCTCGGCAAGGCGAAAGCCCAGTACCCGGGCAGACCATCAACAGGGGCACCTTTCAATTGAGACAGTGAAATTATACTGAGCCAACTTCGGCCGCAGGTACTCAAGATTTGCCCAAAAAAAGCTTTGACTCGAAACCTTGCGTGTGGGCACTGGACGAATGGGAACAGAAACTGAGCCTCAAAGCTTCAGTCGGGAGCCGTGCTGAGTGCCGGGCGTCAGGCGGTGGAAGCTTCAAGCTTCCCTCCTCGAGACTGCACTGAATGCCTCGGACCAGCATCCAAAGATCGAGCACGACATGCGGCAGGAACACTGGCGAAGGACGCAGGCTTTGAGTATTCCTTAGCGAGAAGCTAGGCTCACTAGTTGCGCTTCGGTTACAAAGATTGACTCCGAACAGAAGTCACAAAATCAGTTTGCTTCATGTGGTCTAGCCATTCGGTGAATGCTCTGGCACCGGCACTGCCACGGAAGTTGCATGCACCATGATGTCGAAAAAAAAAGTTTCGGGACTCTGCAAGGTCGGTCTCTAGTGTATGCACATTCTTCCCATTGGGAAGCAACTGATGCCTGCACCATTCAGACCCTCAGAGCCCTGATTTCAGTGCTGTCGTGCTGTACAGGTGGGCCCGGCATGAATGTCTCCCAGGCACGCGCTCCGACCACTGCATCCTTCAAGAAGTTGCTACCTGGCTGAGCTCTACAGCAAGCGAGAAATGTGTCTCGGGTTGGCTCAGGTCCGAATCCAGTATGTTGGAAGTTGCTGTGCCGTAGAAGAAGCCGCGACATGACATGGGTCCACTCCATTCCACAGGAAGACCCGACATGTAGGAATAACTAGCAGCCAATGCAGCTTGGGCGCACAGCCCCTTGACTTCGCGATTGCTCCTTGTCACAGAGTTCACGATCCCCACGCAGAGATCCTTGCAACTGGTTAGCTGCACAAAGTTTTCAGCATGCTCCGCCACTGACACCTAGACCTAAACCAATGCGTGCAATATCAGACAGTGAACATGACTGCCACTGCAAAGAGCTCCAGACCGCTAGGGATCACAGCCATCTTTCTACCAGCTTCACGAAACTCACAATTGAGCCAGGACACGAGCTCCAAGGGTGCAGCCTCGTTTCCGGCTTCACCCCCAGTTTCTAGTGCTCGGCCGATTGCTGTGGAGCCCAAACCATCCTCCAGAGATCCAGCAAGGCAATGCAAGGGCTAAAGTCGGTGCTCAGTCGTTCGAGTCAGTCGTTCGAGGCCTATGTGAAGACAAGGGATGCTCGCCTATGTGAAGACCTGGAGCATCCGCACGCAAGATGGCTGTGCTGGTTCTGAAACGCGACAACTGCAGAGAAACGGTGCGCGGAGCTGCAGCACGTGTACAAGTCTAGACCCCGGAGCCCAAGATGACCTTGAGTCACAAAAACTGTCACTGACCGTTGCAGTCTCCCCGGGTCCCCACAATTCCACTAGCAGGCATAGCAGCCCGGCCTCTCTGGAACAGAGGTAGGCGGTCCAGGGCCATGGCCCAAGGCGTCCGGCCGGCCAAGGTGTATGTGGCAGCGGTCGTATCCACCTTCCATTCTTGAAAATCAAGCAAGTTGGACGTATGCTATGTAGATGCTGCACCGTTGGCCTTCCACCACAGCAATAAGACGAGTAAGGCATAGAGTAAGGCTCTTAGGCTCTTTGTCTGCTTTTGTAGGGTCACCGAAACCAGGTCTGAAGGGCCGGCCTTGGGGATGATGCAATGGAGTACCGCCTGCAGCTTCCAGGGCCAGCCGAGGCATGAGGGATCTTGATCCGGGCTTGTCAGAAGTCTCACTGCTCTGGGCTTGGAGGCGAAAAAGTGTCTCAAGCACGTCTGCTTCCGAAGTTCACTCCCGATGCATTGGATGCCTAGGCCGCAAGAGCGGCAAGGCGCTGATCAATGCCGGCAGCGGCGGCCGTGCCGTCCAGAAATCCCACATGACCTGTCCAGGCAAAGCTATCTGCCACGAGGCTTCGCGTCTTGGCAGGCAGCGGTAGAAATTCCTACAGGAGAACCTCGGCAGCCGAACGGCGCTCGCGTTTGCAGTACCTTTGTGCCATCGGTGGAGGGGGGGTTTCAAATTGAGAGATGCCTCCCCACTAACAAGCTTGAGGATGTCGGGGTTTGAGTCGGTTTGAGACCTTTGAAACCAGCGCAGCCCAAGGGGCTCGTAGAGTGCATCCTTGGCCTCCAAAGAACGTGATGCAAACTCACCTAGGGAGAAGAAACAAAGTCCGGCTTCACAGCTGCAGCTATGGTCATGGATTGGATTCTCCCGCAGCGGCTTTCTCGGAGGCTCGGTGGTTTACTTCTTGCAGTCCGGTCCACTGAGCTTCTTCTTGTGGAGCTCATCTTGGGTGTGGAGAGACAGCCTCAGTACACCCGTACCCTTGTACCTCACCTCGTGCCGTCCATTTTCAACGCCTTGAGCGTGACAGTCCGGAATCATGCAGAGTGCTGGCTCAGCTCTGAAGAGTTTTTTTTGCAGAGCCAGGCTGCACATGGAAGAAATAGCGGCTCGGGACCGACGTAACGTCCAGGTATCGACCTGAAACACTGGAGAGGCCACAAACTGCCACAAACGACAAGGTCCTAAAAGGGGAGGAGGTGGGCGGCAAGCAATTCCTAATGCTCCCTAAGGCTCAAAGCTTCCCAAGTTTATTGCTCCCCGTGCGGCCACAGGGTTCTTCCCACCTTCGACATTGACTGGCCAAGCAGCTGAACAGCTCCCGAAGGCTCAAGGGTCGCACAGGAAACGGGCTGGCAGCCACGGAGCCTTGGAAAACCGTCTGATGGCTGAGAATGGCGAAGCCATTTCAAACACGAACCTCTGAATGGATAATTTTAAGTCTCTGTGAGAGCCCCACGGGGCCGTATCCGCACGAACTCCTCCAAAGAGCGCTCCAGGGTCTCCACAACAAATCGCTCCACGAGGCTTGGTTGCGTTCTTGGCCACACCTAGTTGAAACGAGGTCGATTCATCGAACGCCAGTGACATCCAGTGATGGCAAGCTTAGCAGGTGTTAAATGGTTACCCACATGTGCCCAAGTACAGCCGAGATGCTACAAGAACATCTCCAGCAGCATAAGTTGCTGATGGGGGCAATCCTGAGCCAGATGCAAAGGAATGGCGCTTTCGCACAAGCTATTGAAGCGTCCCCGGCTGACCGATGCCGATATGAACGCCCTGAAGTGTAATGTGCATTTGCCACCTGGTTTCGTCCAGCTTGCCTCAAGAAGTTCGTGACAGTTTTGGAATGAGTGTGAGGTAAAGCTGTGGGGAGAGTCGTCTTCTGAAATGTGCGCAGCCGAGAAGCGGAGCCTGATGTTCCAAACGTCCTGGACCTCCGCTGCATGGCTGTGGCTGCACAAGCTTCGCTTGGCCACCACCTCTGCCGAGAATCCTGGGCACTGGTTCTTTCCAAAGGGATCCAAAGGGCATCCGGCTCGAAGCCAGCAGTTGACATGTACACTATGTACAGATCCAGGCTCTGTACACGCAAATGGGTTTGGGTAGGGCTAGGGGTGTACTTCTCTGTACTTTAAAGACAGTGACAAGCCGGGCGGCCATCAGCTGGAAGGTCCTCATGGACAGGCAAACCGACTCTGACTTAAGCTTGGATAATGTGCACGCGCATATGTGATGATATGCATGCATGAAGAGCAGGCTGCAGGCTCCAAAAGTCTGTGCGAAGCGACATGGACCAGAACAATTCAGCCTGAAGATTGGAGTCATCTCCGTCACCGTTCTTGAAGTCTGAGCCCAGCTCCTCGACCTGTCGGGTGCTTTGGGACACTCGGAGCTAGGTTTGAACAATCACAGAGTCCGGGTTTTCTTCTGCCTCGTATCGCGTGTCTCCGTCATCTTCAGTGGGCACCAAGGGTGACCGCAGCTCTGCTAGAGCAGCCCACAAGCCTTCGGCCCAAGGGTCCTCGGCCGCAAGAAGTCAACTCGATTCGTAGCACATGCTTGTATAAACTTGTATACGGATTTGGGGGCCTCCCAAGAACAACATGTCACGACGGGAGTGCCCTGCAGCCACGCAGCCAGCTCCTGCTCCATACCTCGGGCATCTGTGACATTTCTTGAACTTCTTCTCCCTTCTTCCGTTGCTCTGAAGGCCCACCGCCACCTGAAGGTTCCCCGACTATGAGAATGGCTGGAATTCAACTTCGATTTCAGATTTGAATGTCAATCTCAAGCCATTCCAGCTACTTGTGTCTGCTGCAGCCTGGATTGAAATCCAGTTGAAGCCTTCTTTTTTTGCAGCAGCCAGCAGCTTGAAATCGATTTCAGGCTTCCGCAAGCCAATCATTTGCAGTTGGCTGGCTCTTTGGAATTGATTTTAAGCCGCCGGGGGTTGTTGCAGAAGCCACGAAAAGCGACTTCAAATCGAGTTGGTTGGTTCAGCAGCTTGACATGGATTTCAAGCCCCGCCTCTCAACAGCAGGTTGAGATCGATTTCAAGCCAGTTTTCTCATTTCGTAGCTTAAAATCGATTTCAATTTTGCTGGAACGCCGGCCTTGGAAACCGGCTGAGAATCGATTAAAACCTTTTCTGGTCCTGGAGGTCCTTGGAGAGAGGCTTTCTCCCTCTCTCTCCTTCTCTCTCTTGCTTGCTTGCTTGCTTGCTTGCAGCGAACGTGATCCCAGGAGCTTTCTCTCTTTCTCTTCCTTCCTTCCTTCCGCCGCACTTAGCCCCCCCCCGAAGGGAGAAGCCGCCCAATGGGTGTGCTCAACCAGTTTGTAGGAAATGTGTGAAAAGGTGTGTGCCCACATGAAACCTCTCTTTTTTTTCCTCTTTCTTTCTTTCTTTCTTGGGGGCTTGGGGGTGACCCCCCGCGCGTGCGCGCGCCCCGGTCCCGCGTTGCTCGGACTACCCTCACGCGGCGGCCGTGTTGGCCGCTCCGCAGCTCCCCTCTCTCTCTCTCTCTCTCTTCACAAGACCGGGCTTCCTGCCGAAGTCATGCTGATCATCTCCCAGGCCGAGGCGGTGGAAGGACTTTGCGCCCAAGTTCCCGAGCCGCGCGTGCAGCTTCCGGGCCTCTGGACCAGCAGCACTCTATAAGAATCCTTGAGAACGGTTTACATATGTGGAGTAAGTGACATCTTCAGCACAGGCACGGCATAGTTGAACTCCCGGTAGCGCCGGTCTCCAAGGCCAAATACCGTGTATGACATTTCCGCCAGCAACCTGATCGAGTTCAAAGAACTTACAGCAGGTGATTTGGTCAGTTTGGCTTGTGATGTTCCTTTCTCCTTCGGGGCTCTGCATTGCTCCGCATACTGGAACAGCGGAACGAGTCACTTTTCGCAACCATGGCACGTTGGAGGCAAAGAGGCCGAGAGCATCTCCTGCCAGAGCCGCCTCATGTTCAAAGGCGGATCACCTGCAGCGGGAGGCACTCGGGCTCCGAGAAGAAAGCTTCGGGCCCCATTTTGGAGCCCCTTGGACCTGGGCACCTGGAACCCTGGCAGCGCGCCCAAGCGTTTACAACTTAAAGATATATTTGTTGGGGGGGATTCTCAGTGAAGTGTTGCTGACTTCGAAAGGTGTTGTTGCCTTGCCCAGTGGTGGAAACCACGAAGATCGCAATCTTCGTTCGGCTCAACCTTGGCTGTCATCTGGCCGGGAGTCTCGGAGACGATAAGCATCACCACAAGAATGTTCAGCAATACAGAACGACGTGCTTCTGAAGCCAGCCCCCCTCCCCCCACTAAGGCACCCACTCCTGAATGCTGGTCTCATCCTCCAGGGGACACTTCTGAGACATCGTGCAGAGTATCCTTTTCTGAAAAGGATACTCTGCACGATGTCTCAGAAGTATTTCAACACAAGACATTCGACAGTTTGACCTGACATCAGCAGAAACATCAGTAGCTCACTCCGATGCTGCCAGGGGCAGAGGGTCCCAGGAAGAGCAAAAGAAACGAGTCTAGGTAAGGCCCTAGAGCATGTATAGAACCAAGAGCACAGGACCTACACAATGAGCACATCACCCTTTCATGCCGGTCCAGCGCCCTCGGTTCCAGGGGCCAGCCGCGGCGTCGAGCCTCCCGCGCCAGCTCCCAAGCCACCTCCTCGGCAGTGCCTGCGCCAAACTTTATAAGCTTAAGAACCCAGAGTCCCAAAACCTCGTTTTTGGTACTGCCTAGGTTGCCCACAAATCTTCTAGCGGGGTGAAACACAATACCATTTTCTGCTTCTGCCCTCCCAAAATTTTGCGCAAACCGGTCTCAGCCAAAGCAGAACCAACTTGGCAATCCAACACTTCAATGAATGAAGCAGTGCCACCAGGCCTGTTTGGGAGGCGTAGAACAAGCCGACCGTGGTTTTGTCCACGCCATTTGCAGGCATTGCCAAGGACTACAAAAAAGGGAGCCCGATCATGTCCCGATCTTCACTGAACGGCCTATGCTGTCGTTGTTCTGCTAGGACCATAAGTATGTACGTCCATATCATACTCAATATAGTATACATTTGTGTTTTCCATGTGTATATATATATATATGTATATATAACATATATATATATATGTAAACCCCACCTCAGTAATCCACCGTTTTTGGGGTTGTTTCGGGACCTGGGTTGGGGGGACGCCATCTTAAACCCCCGACATGATGGGGACGAACTCCTCACCCACCAGCGATCTAAGGTGCCTGCTGCTGCTTGTTGTGTGTTTTGCAATGCTGCACATGTAGACCTGGACCAGCTCTGACCTTACTCTTGACCACCCCAGGCCCATGGCGATGATCTTGCGTTGGCCAGCCTTTGATCGCTCAAGTATCACTTTCGCTCAGACGCCAAACCGACAAAGGAAGCGCATGGCATGGAAGCGCCAGGGAGCCGGAGGTCTTCTGAAGACCCGCTGCTGCTGCTGGACAGACATGGAGCCATGGAGAGGCAGAATCCACGCTCGCTCGCCTTGCCGTCAGACGGAACATGAACATGAACTACATGGGAGAAAACACGAGCATGCACAGTACAGCTGTGTCAGGCCAGTGATTATGCGAAGTGACCTACGCCAGCTTGGCCACGCAAATGGCTGATGCAATTCTCGATCTCAGCATGACCTTGTCACTGTCAACTTGTCGACATGCCCCGGTACGACGAGGCCGAAGTTTGAATTGGCAACAAGCACTTCAAAGAAACAGCACATACTCCCCCAGATTGCTGCAAGCTTTCTTCAATGCTGACCATCCCACGGCAGCGGATCATATCACCTATAAGCCTATATACAAGTCATACCTGACTGACCTCCAGCTCTTGCGGAGTTTGCTCCATCAACGAGATTCGAGATTCATGGCTCAAGGGCTTCGAGAGTCTCTGGCACCGAGAGTTGAAACGCCCCAACTCCCTTGCGCAGCTGGCACTCATTAATTGTAAGAGAGTGTGGTTTTGCAGGAGTCTGACAGACCTTTGGTTGGGCTGACCCTTACCAACCCTATTATACCCCATTTCATCACACCTGTGGTCTGTTAGCGCCCCACCTCAGAACAACTTCCACCTTCCAGGCAGAACTTGTGACACCCTAGAGTCTTGGAACTCGTAATGCTCTAAAGTCTTGGCTGGCAGCCGTGATTGATGGTGATTGCAACCAGGAACGACCTTCTATCTTCGATTCTGATCTCAACAGCCTCAACCTCCTTATCTCCTGCCATGCGATTCTTCAGCTTAGCGCTACTCGTGTCCGGCACAGGCTCGGCATGTCGTGCCCGCTGCTCACATGGCGCGGCCTTAGTCGAGCTTTGCATGGAGCAGTTCCAGGTCCGGTTTCATTCGAGCAAAGTACTTGCAATTGCTGCACGAAGCACCGAAAGCATATTTTCCGTCGGAAGAAGCTCTACTCTCGATGGGCTGCTGTGGTCGGTTGCCTGGCTCTTGCATTTCTGAGGACAAGCGAATGACGATGTGTGCATATTCCGTTTGAGTCCAGAATGCAAGTCAAGACCTTCGCCAGGCAGGCAGATGTGACAAACTAATAGCCAGACATCGCAATCCGCTCTGCGCTGTCACGGCTATGTCGCATAACATAATAACTGGAGAGATGCTACAGGATGCCCTTATATGGCAAACCAAACTATAGGAAGCTGCGCTGCAGCAGAACACCTACTCTGCACAGTGATCCTTGATCAGGCAGCCAGTCGCTGCGGTTGAAAAGAACACCAGAAAATGCGGCCTCACTTGGTGTTGAGGAGGTCGAACTTCTTCCTGAGGCCACTGCCCTGCATTTGCACCATGAGGGGCGTGCGGCCAAGGAATACGGCCGGGCCGGAGTACCGCCGAATGAAGCCGCCCCACTTGCCCTGGAAGCTTTTGCCGGTGGCTTGCTTGAAGGCCGACTTGATGTACTGCTTCCGGGTAGACAGATTCGCACCGCCTGGCACAGTGCGGCTCATGTTGCCCTGAAGCGTCTTCAAGGATCGGACAGTGGTCTGCTCAAGGCAGTCGGCAGTGAAGAGCAGCTTGGCCAAGGAGTTCCGGTCTTCCAAGTTGGCAGGGTTCACCACGCACGTAGTAGCTCCGCTGGCCAGCTTCTCGGTGACAATCACGTTCTTGCTGGCGGTTTGGCAGACCATGTAGAAGTGGTGCGACTGCTTGTTGCCGTTCGCCTCGCCTTCTGCGGCTTCCAGGTAAACCTTGCAGTCCTGGATCTTCTCATTGTCGGAGATGTTCTGGGATGTTGTCTTGGATGTCAGGCTCCAAGTGGGCGCAGACCTCGAGAACAGTACCCCCACTTGCTCCTCTCCGAAGTTCTCCTCTGTCGTGCGCACCTCAAGGCTGCCAATCTGGTAGATGCGGAAGACTGTTCCGTCCTCGGTGGTCTGCTTGAACTCGGGCGCGGCCGTGGGCAGAATGTCTGAGACCAGGACTTTGCGGAATGCGTCATCGAACTCGACCTTGGTCCAGCCGGACTTGTTGGACACCTCTGTCTTGGGTGCCACTCCGTCCTTCTCGACCTGGAAACGCGACGTCCACGAGCGTGGGAAGTCGGTGCCTGGGTTGCCCTCCTTGAAGCTGCGGTCGAAGAAGCGCAGCTTGCGCCGCTCGAACAGGGACTTCTCCTCGTGGATGAGGCTTCGCAGCTTGGCAGCGTACTCCATGTTGGGATCAGGAGGGATGAAGGCATCACCCTCGCCCGTGCGGTCGCACTGGGGCGATCCGAAGACTTTGACCAGCAGCTCTTTGTACTCTGTCTTGAGCTCGTCAAAGTCACGCTCCCGCAGGCTCTTCAGGAAAGCCCGTCCCAATGTCACCTTGGCTTCCAAGGAGTCTGGGCCCCCGCTGCATGGAGGCAGGCTGCCAGCAAAACGCTCTGGCTTGGTCAGGTCGAACTTGTCCAAGTTCAGGTCCACACCCTGCGGCATCTCTGCCCGCTGTCCGAGCTGGAAGCGCTGGGGCATGAACATGGGTCGGCCCGACTGCCCCAATTGCATTCCCGTCTGGCCCTGAAGGGCGTGGCGCTGTGCCAGCTCAAACCGGTCCAGCCCAAACTCCACGCCACCGTAGATGGCCTGCAGGCTTTTCTGGCCACCGGTAAACATGTCGATGAGCCGGCCATTCTTCAGCTGAATGCGGGAGTTGCCGCGCATGTTCCACAGCTGTGGGATCTCTGGGTGTGCTTCCTTTGGTGTGGACTTCACAATCTCGTCCGCGAGGCGGTACCAAGATGGATCCAAGCGTGTGTGAGAGTCGACCAAGTACTTCGCCAGGACGGAGGCTTTGGCCAGCTCGCGGACGTGGTACACCACGCTCTTGCGCTCGGCAATCAAGTCGAAGTTGCGCGTGAAAGCATCAGCAAACTTCTTCAGAGGGTGTGTGGAAGCCGTGACCGCAGCATCCTCCAAGCCCTTCTTGGTGACCACCTGCTCCCTGGCCTCCACACCCATCTTCACGAAAGGGACCAGCGTCTTGTCCTGCGCCAACCTCACCTCGGCCTTCTTCACCACGTACCACTCGCGCCCAGCCCAGGCCTTGTCCTGCGGGGCGATCACTGGTCCAGGTGTGGATACTATAGCTGCTATGCGCTGCACGTGTTTTTGTTGATTGTTGTTTTTGACGTTGTACTTCAGAGTCCTCATTGACGCAAGGCAATGAAAGGTGTCGCGTCCTAGTATGTCTTAGTCAAGTCCAGGTGCCTGATCTTGCTGGAGGGTGCCCAATGTGCTCGCTACAAGTCAGAAGCTGAGACTTCTGTCATGGTTTACCTACACACATGCATGCATGCATGCATGCATACAGGTAGATATGTATCATATAATATACGGCTCAAAACGGAAGGCACATCCGCAGATAACTCGTGCATAAGCACTCTGAACGAGCTATGGGGTCGCGCTAGCATCAAGTCAGTGACGAAATGTCACGCTCCTACCTGACTCTGCAGTTTGGGACTCTCTCGAGAGCAACCGCATGCCGCACACATCGGGTCCTTGTCGGAGAGCTCAGACCAGTCAAAGACGCTCAGCATGCCGGCAACCGGCATCTCGTACTCGCCCAGGGCAAGCTCCTTGAGGAAGTAGTCTGCCTGGAACATGACATCGCCCACACTGGTGCCAGCCAGCCAGCTGGGTTCATAGACCTTCTTCTGGGGCGTCTTCTCCAGGTTCTGGGGGTCCACGGGATCCAGGGAGAAGAGTGGCTCACGGCTGGCGGTTTTCCGCACCTTCAGAGCCAGCAAAAGGTACTCCAAGTTCACTGAGGCAGCTGGCTCCAAAGTCGGGGCGACCTTGACCGTGCGGGTCACCTCATCGAAGACAAGGCAGCACAGCCCCTGAGGAGCAGCGCTGCAGCCCATGCGCTCTGCCCACGTCATGTTCTTGGGGACGCTGTCCATGACCCAGCCAATCTCGAACTCCTTGCGGCTTTTCAACTTCTTCTCTGCTTCCCAGCCCATGCGCCGGTCTTCCTGCCTCTGGGCATCTTCCACCAGGACCTGTGCCATACACTCTGCATGCACGCAGCTCCCGCGGCCTTCGCGACCCTCATAGGCAAACTCCCCAACGGGCATCAGGCATCGGCAGCACAAGGGTACCTCCTCACCCTCGGAATCCACATCCACGGGGGCCGACTTGCGCTCCTTCTTTGGCTTCGGTGCCAGGAGAGCGGCTTCGATTGCCTCCTTGGGAGTTGTGCGCTTTGCCGCATGGTTCACTGCCCAAGGGAAGGCCTTGCGGTTGAAGCCAGGATTGGAGCCCGTCCTGTTTTCACCGAACTTGTCCAGGTACTGCTTCAGCGCCTCCTTCTCGTCGCTCGAGGGCTCCTTCTCGTTTCTCACCGGGGCGGTTGGGCTAGCCACGTCTGACTCACTGCTGGCCGTCTCGGCCTCACGCATCTCGCCTTCACTGGTGGACTCGACCACCTCAGCCTTTGCAACCTGTACCAAGAGGTCCTTGCCCTTGAGGTTCACGGTCACCCAGCCCTTGGCAGGACCCGAGCCGGAGACGAGCTCGTAGCCAAGGCGGCCCTCTTGCCACTGGACTTCCTTTACCGTGGCGCCCGTCGCCAAGCGGGTGTCCAGAATGGCGGAGGACAGGTCCGAGCTTTCACGGACGAGGATGCCCCCCTTGTCGGCTCCGCCCACAACCTTCCACACGGCCATGGCAAATAATGTCAAATAGCAATCAAATCAAGCAGGGGATCCAGCTACAAGATCTTGAGCCCTCTTCCTATGACACAATCAACTACATCTGCAGTCCCTCAGCTGTCTGCTGCGCGTGAACAAAGTTTGGCATCAGCACAGCCCTGGGCTTGTCAACTTCCGGTGGCATCCCAACACATCAACCGGCGTTTTCCACCAGTTTGTTCAGGACAGCATACTGTCAGGCAATGATCAGCCCCTGGCCCTCCTTGCATTCAGCATGTCTCAGTTAACCCCGCAGCGTGTTCACATGTGATAGATGAAGGAGCTGGCTTAGCATGAAACCAGTGCGGTAGTATCCGACAAGCTTCCGGAAAAATGATGAATCAATCTGCTGCGGGATACCGATTCTAGATTCTATAGAGACGGATGCAGGAGAAAGCGCAGTGCAAGGAAGCCTGCGCAAGCAAGACGCTTGTGGCCCTCATACTCTACACGTTATACTATGCCTTGTGAGCCACAGCAACTAGGAAGGCAGCACAGTCGTTGTGTATTGTGACTAGTATTTATGCAATACCGGTCCCTCTAAATGGAGTTGCTGCGCAGCTGTTGAAACCAGTCCCTTTCAGCCTCATTTGCTCGCCTTCATGTGGAGGAGGTCGAACTTATTCTTCGAGGTCCACGTCCCGTTCAGGAGGCCTGTGTTGCGGTCCATTGGCATCATGAGGGGCGTGCGGCCAAGGAATACGGCCGGGCCGGAGTACCGCCGAATGAAGCCGCCCCACTTGCCCTGGAAGCTTTTGCCGGTGGCTTGCTTGAAGGCCGACTTGATGTACTGCTTCCGGGTAGACAGATTCGCACCGCCTGGCACAGTGCGGCTCATGTTGCCCTGAAGCGTCTTCAAGGATCGGACAGTGGTCTGCTCGAGGCAGTCGGCAGTGAAGAGCAGCTTGGCCAAGGAGTTCCGGTCTTCCAAGTTGGCAGGGTTCACCACGCACGTAGTAGCTCCGCTGGCCAGCTTCTCGGTGACAATCACGTTCTTGCTGGCGGTTTGGCAGACCATGTAGAAGTGGTGCGACTGCTTGTTGCCGTTCGCCTCGCCTTCTGCGGCTTCCAGGTACACCTTGCAGTCCTGGATCTTCTCATTGTCGGAGATGTTCTGGGATGTAGTCTTGGATGTCAGGCTCCAAGTGGGCGCAGACCTCGAGAACAGTACCCCCACTTGCTCCTCTCCGAAGTTCTCCTCTGTCGTGCGCACCTCAAGGCTGCCAATCTGGTAGATGCGGAAGACTGTTCCGTCCTCGGTGGTCTGCTTGAACTCGGGCGCGGCCGTGGGCAGAATGTCTGAGACCAGAACTTTGCGGAATGCGTCATCGAACTCGACCTTGGTCCAGCCGGACTTGTTGGACACCTCTGTCTTGGGTGCCACTCCGTCCTTCTCGACCTGGAAACGCGACGTCCACGAGCGTGGGAAGTCGGTGCCTGGGTTGCCCTCCTTGAAGCTGCGGTCGAAGAAGCGCAGCTTGCGGCGCTCGAACAGGGACTTCTCCTCGTGGATGAGGCTTCGCAGCTTGGCAGCGTACTCCATGTTGGGATCAGGAGGGATGAAGGCATCACCCTCGCCCGTGCGGTCGCACTGGGGCGATCCGAAGACTTTGACCAGCAGCTCTTTGTACTCTGTCTTGAGCTCGTCAAAGTCACGCTCCCGCAGGCTCTTCAGGAAAGCCCGTCCCAATGTCACCTTGGCTTCCAAGGAGTCTGGGCCCCCGCTGCATGGAGGCAGGCTGCCAGCAAAACGCTCTGGCTTGGTCAGGTCGAACTTGTCCAAGTTCAGGTCCACACCCTGCGGCATCTCTGCCCGCTGTCCGAGCTGGAAGCGCTGGGGCATGAACATGGGTCGGCCCGACTGCCCCAATTGCATTCCCGTCTGGCCCTGAAGGGCGTGGCGCTGTGCCAGCTCAAACCGGTCCAGCCCAAACTCCACGCCACCGTAGATGGCCTGCAGGCTTTTCTGGCCACCGGTAAACATGTCGATGAGCCGGCCATTCTTCAGCTGAATGCGGGAGTTGCCGCGCATGTTCCACAGCTGTGGGATCTCTGGGTGTGCTTCCTTTGGTGTGGACTTCACAATCTCGTCCGCGAGGCGGTACCAAGATGGATCCAAGCGTGTGTGAGAGTCGACCAAGTACTTCGCCAGGACGGAGGCTTTGGCCAGCTCGCGGACGTGGTACACCACGCTCTTGCGCTCGGCAATCAAGTCGAAGTTGCGCGTGAAAGCATCAGCAAACTTCTTCAGAGGGTGTGTGGAAGCCGTGACCGCAGCATCCTCCAAGCCCTTCTTGGTGACCACCTGCTCCCTGGCCTCCACACCCATCTTCACGAAAGGGACCAGCGTCTTGTCCTGCGCCAACCTCACCTCGGCCTTCTTCACCACGTACCACTCGCGCCCAGCCCAGGCCTTGTCCTGCGGGACTATAGCTGCTATGCGCTGCACGTGTTTTTGTTGATTGTTGTTTTTGACGTTGTACTTCAGAGTCCTCATTGACGCAAGGCAATGAAAGGTGTCGCGTCCTAGTATGTCTTAGTCAAGTCCAGATGCCTGATCTTGCTGGAGGGTGCCCAATGTGCTCGATACAAGTCGGAGGCTGAGACTTCTGTCATGGTTTACCTACACACATGCATGCAATGCATGCATGCATGCATGCATACAGATGGATATGTATAATATAATATACTGCTCAAAACGGAAGGCACATCCGCAGATAACTCGTGCATTAGCACTCTGAACGACTTTGCTATGGGGTCGCGCTAGCATCAAGTCGGTGACGCAATGTCACGCTCCTACCTGACTCTGCAGTTTCGGACTCTCTCGAGAGCAACCGCATGCCGCGCACACGGGTCCTTGTCGGAGAGCTCAGACCAGTCAAAGACGCTCAGCATGCCGGCAACCGGCATCTCGTACTCGCCCAGGGCAAGCTCCTTGAGGAAGTAGTCTGCCTGGAACATGACATCGCCCACACTGGTGCCAGCCAGCCAGCTGGGTTCATAGACCTTCTTCTGGGGCGTCTTCTCCAGGTTCTGGGGGTCCACGGGATCCAGGGAGAAGAGTGGCTCACGGCTGGCGGTTTTCCGCACCTTCAGAGCCAGCAAAAGGTACTCCAAGTTCACTGAGGCAGCTGGCTCCAAAGTCGGGGCGACCTTGACCGTGCGGGTCACCTCATCGAAGACAAGGCAGCACAGCCCCTGAGGAGCAGCGCTGCAGCCCATGCGCTCTGCCCACGTCATGTTCTTGGGGACGCTGTCCATGACCCAGCCAATCTCGAACTCCTTGCGGCTTTTCAACTTCTTCTCTGCTTCCCAGCCCATGCGCCGGTCTTCCTGCCTCTGGGCATCTTCCACCAGGACCTGTGCCATACACTCTGCATGCACGCAGCTCCCGCGGCCTTCGCGACCCTCATAGGCAAACTCCCCAACGGGCATCAGGCATCGGCAGCACAAGGGTACCTCCTCACCCTCAGAATCCACATCCACTGGGGCCGACTTGCGCTCCTTCTTTGGCTTCGGTGCCAGGAGAGCGGCTTCAATTGCCTCCTTGGGAGTTGTGCGCTTTGCCGCATGGTTCACTGCCCAAGGGAAGGCCTTGCGGTTGAAGCCAGGATTGGAGCCCGTCCTGTTTTCACCGAACTTGTCCAGGTACTGCTTCAGCGCCTCCTTCTCGTCGCTCGAGGGCTCCTTCTCGTTTCTCACCGGGGCGGTTGGGCTAGCCACGTCTGACTCACTGCTGGCCGTCTCGGCCTCACGCATCTCGCCTTCACTGGTGGACTCGACCACCTCAGCCTTTGCAACCTGTACCACGAGGTCCTTGCCCTTGAGGTTCACGGTCACCCAGCCCTTGGCAGGACCCGAGCCGGAGACGAGCTCGTAGCCAAGGCGGCCCTCTTGCCACTGGACTTCCTTTACCGTGGCGCCCGTCGCCAAGCGGGTGTCCAGAATGGCGGAGGACAGGTCCGAGCTTTCACGGACGAGGATGCCGCCCTTGTCGGCTCCGCCCACAACCTTCCACACGGCCATGGCAAATAGCGATTCAGGCGTTTGAGGGATCACCGTAAAACTATGCGGTCTTGAGCCCTCGGCCTCGGACTGTTCACCCCTCCGGGACCCTTCGAAAAAGCTTGATCTAAGAACCGCAACAGTGGGGCCTTAATGGGTCCTCTCATCTCATCGTAGGAATGAGCGAAAGCAGCACAGCCAGGAGGTTTTGCAACAGTTGGAAGAAACATTGTCACAAGAAGCTGTCGATGAAACGTATATCAGCCTCTATAGCTAGGTTCGCTTTGGCGGGCAGTGTCCCGCAAAAACGATGTAAGTGAAAGCTAGAAAACTCCTCCGCATGCCTCATTTGTTCGCCTTCATGTGGAGGAGGTCGAACTTCTTCTTCGAGGTCCACGTCCCGTTCAGGAGGCCTGTGTTGCGGTCCATTGGCATCATGAGGGGCGTGCGGCCAAGGAATACGGCCGGGCCGGAGTACCGCCGAATGAAGCCGCCCCACTTGCCCTGGAAGCTTTTGCCGGTGGCTTGCTTGAAGGCCGACTTGATGTACTGCTTCCGGGTAGACAGATTCGCACCGCCTGGCACAGTGCGGCTCATGTTGCCCTGAAGCGTCTTCAAGGATCGGACAGTGGTCTGCTCGAGGCAGTCGGCAGTGAAGAGCAGCTTGGCCAAGGAGTTCCGGTCTTCCAAGTTGGCAGGGTTCACCACGCACGTAGTAGCTCCGCTGGCCAGCTTCTCGGTGACAATCACGTTCTTGCTGGCGGTTTGGCAGACCATGTAGAAGTGGTGCGACTGCTTGTTGCCGTTCGCCTCGCCTTCTGCGGCTTCCAGGTACACCTTGCAGTCCTGGATCTTCTCATTGTCGGAGATGTTCTGGGATGTAGTCTTGGATGTCAGGCTCCAAGTGGGCGCAGACCTCGAGAACAGTACCCCCACTTGCTCCTCTCCGAAGTTCTCCTCTGTCGTGCGCACCTCAAGGCTGCCAATCTGGTAGATGCGGAAGACTGTTCCGTCCTCGGTGGTCTGCTTGAACTCGGGCGCGGCCGTGGGCAGAATGTCTGAGACCAGAACTTTGCGGAATGCGTCATCGAACTCGACCTTGGTCCAGCCGGACTTGTTGGACACCTCTGTCTTGGGTGCCACTCCGTCCTTCTCGACCTGGAAACGCGACGTCCACGAGCGTGGGAAGTCGGTGCCTGGGTTGCCCTCCTTGAAGCTGCGGTCGAAGAAGCGCAGCTTGCGGCGCTCGAACAGGGACTTCTCCTCGTGGATGAGGCTTCGCAGCTTGGCAGCGTACTCCATGTTGGGATCAGGAGGGATGAAGGCATCACCCTCGCCCGTGCGGTCGCACTGGGGCGATCCGAAGACTTTGACCAGCAGCTCTTTGTACTCTGTCTTGAGCTCGTCAAAGTCACGCTCCCGCAGGCTCTTCAGGAAAGCCCGTCCCAATGTCACCTTGGCTTCCAAGGAGTCTGGGCCCCCGCTGCATGGAGGCAGGCTGCCAGCAAAACGCTCTGGCTTGGTCAGGTCGAACTTGTCCAAGTTCAGGTCCACACCCTGCGGCATCTCTGCCCGCTGTCCGAGCTGGAAGCGCTGGGGCATGAACATGGGTCGGCCCGACTGCCCCAATTGCATTCCCGTCTGGCCCTGAAGGGCGTGGCGCTGTGCCAGCTCAAACCGGTCCAGCCCAAACTCCACGCCACCGTAGATGGCCTGCAGGCTTTTCTGGCCACCGGTAAACATGTCGATGAGCCGGCCATTCTTCAGCTGAATGCGGGAGTTGCCGCGCATGTTCCACAGCTGTGGGATCTCTGGGTGTGCTTCCTTTGGTGTGGACTTCACAATCTCGTCCGCGAGGCGGTACCAAGATGGATCCAAGCGTGTGTGAGAGTCGACCAAGTACTTCGCCAGGACGGAGGCTTTGGCCAGCTCGCGGACGTGGTACACCACGCTCTTGCGCTCGGCAATCAAGTCGAAGTTGCGCGTGAAAGCATCAGCAAACTTCTTCAAAGGGTGTGTGGAAGCCGTGACCGCAGCATCCTCCAAGCCCTTCTTGGTGACCACCTGCTCCCTGGCCTCCACACCCATCTTCACGAAAGGGACCAGCGTCTTGTCCTGCGCCAACCTCACCTCGGCCTTCTTCACCACGTACCACTCGCGCCCAGCCCAGGCCTTGTCCTGCGGGACTATAGCTGCTATGCGCTGCACGTGTTTTTGTTGATTGTTGTTTTTGACGTTGTACTTCAGAGTCCTCATTGACGCAAGGCAATGGAAGGTGTCGCGTCCTAGTATGTCTTAGTCAAGTCCAGGTGCCTGATCTTGCTGGAGGGTGCCCAATGTGCTCGCTACAAGTCAGAAGCTGAGACTTCTGTCATGGTTTACCTACACACATGCATGCAATGCAATGCATGCATGCATGCATGCATGCATGCATACAGGTGGATATGTATAATATTATATACGGCTCAAAACGGAAGGCACATCCGCAGATAACTCGTGCATTAGCACTCTGAACGACTTTGCTATGGGGTCGCGCTAGCAGCTAGCATCAAGTCGGTGACGCAATGTCACGCTCCTACCTGACTCTGCAGTTTCGGACTCTCTCGAGAGCAACCGCATGCTGCGCACATCGGGTCCTTGTCGGAGAGCTCAGACCAGTCAAAGACGCTCAGCATGCCGGCAACCGGCATCTCGTACTCGCCCAGGGCAAGCTCCTTGAGGAAGTAGTCTGCCTGGAACATGACATCGCCCACACTGGTACCAGCCAGCCAGCTGGGTTCATAGACCTTCTTCTGGGGCGTCTTCTCCAGGTTCTGGGGGTCCACGGGATCCAGGGAGAAGAGTGGCTCACGGCTGGCGGTTTTCCGCACCTTCAGAGCCAGCAAAAGGTACTCCAAGTTCACTGAGGCAGCTGGCTCCAAAGTCGGGGCGACCTTGACCGTGCGGGTCACCTCATCGAAGACAAGGCAGCACAGCCCCTGAGGAGCAGCGCTGCAGCCCATGCGCTCTGCCCACGTCATGTTCTTGGGGACGCTGTCCATGACCCAGCCAATCTCGAACTCCTTGCGGCTTTTCAACTTCTTCTCTGCTTCCCAGCCCATGCGCCGGTCTTCCTGCCTCTGGGCATCTTCCACCAGGACCTGTGCCATACACTCTGCATGCACGCAGCTCCCGCGGCCTTCGCGACCCTCATAGGCAAACTCCCCAACGGGCATCAGGCATCGGCAGCACAAGGGTACCTCCTCACCCTCGGAATCCACATCCACGGGGGCCGACTTGCGCTCCTTCTTTGGCTTCGGTGCCAGGAGAGCGGCTTCGATTGCCTCCTTGGGAGTTGTGCGCTTTGCCGCATGGTTCACTGCCCAAGGGAAGGCCTTGCGGTTGAAGCCAGGATTGGAGCCCGTCCTGTTTTCACCGAACTTGTCCAGGTACTGCTTCAGCGCCTCCTTCTCGTCGCTCGAGGGCTCCTTCTCGTTTCTCACCGGGGCGGTTGGGCTAGCCACGTCTGACTCACTGCTGGCCGTCTCGGCCTCACGCATCTCGCCTTCACTGGTGGACTCGACCACCTCAGCCTTTGCAACCTGTACCACGAGGTCCTTGCCCTTGAGGTTCACGGTCACCCAGCCCTTGGCAGGACCCGAGCCGGAGACGAGCTCGTAGCCAAGGCGGCCCTCTTGCCACTGGACTTCCTTTACCGTGGCGCCCGTCGCCAAGCGGGTGTCCAGAATGGCAGAGGACAGGTCCGAGCTTTCACGGACGAGGATGCCGCCCTTGTCGGCTCCGCCCACAACCTTCCATACGGCGGCCATGGCGAGTCTTTGCAGCAACGTTCTGGATTATACTCTCCGGAACTTGTTGAGGGCTCATGCCATGCGGGCAAGAAAGAAAGGTAATCAGTCAACGTTTAAGACCGGTCATTCAAGACATGTCAAGGCTTCAAAGCAAATCCGTCTGGCAGAAACGCAAACAAGCGAACTACGAGTATCACCAACTTCCTCGAATACTCCTCTAAGCAGCATGAATTCATGAAGGTTGACGAAGTGCCCGCTTAAGCTCCGGGCATGTCGCACGAGGACGGCCCGTCAAGCGCAGTGGAAGCAAATGGCAGCTTGCAATATGCGCGCGATGAGCCGATAAGCCTTCTGAACTTCTGTCTCGCAACATGCTCTGGGCTCTTAAGTTTCTGCTCTGAGGGGCTACTAGAATCACTGACGCTACCTTTCCTGCTGCTGGGGCGACCAAGATTACCCAAGCCGAATCCCGCGGTCCACTTCAGTGCCGCATATGCAAAAACCCTGGTGCTCAGTGCTCAGGCCGAATGCAGTTCAACACTCCATAGTGCATGCAGGAAGCTTTGGCTTCAAATTGAGATTGCTTAGTCTCAATCTCACCGAGGCAACGGCCAGGCAGAAAAACCAATATAGCTCCACCTGTCCGAGTCATTGCGTTGCATTTTCAGGACCTGCTTCGCCGAGTAATGGTACCTCTATAATGGATGGACGGAGACAAATGTCATATGAGTTTCGCTTCTACACCTGAATGGCACGGTGGGGTTGCAAGCAGTCAACGCAGCGAACATTACAACCACAAGCTGACACCTTGCCACGCATCTTCGCCATCTGGCTCGTAGTTGCCTCGCCCCGGAGGCAACGAGGTTCAAGGAGGCTTTGTGCTGGGAAGCTGCGGTGCGCCAGCAGCGCCAAACAACTTCACTAAAGGCTTCACTATAAAGGAAAGAATTAAATCCTGAGGTCTGCAAACCCGATAACGTCTGGGTCCCAAGGGAAGGCCTCCAGTCTTGAGCCACGGGTTTGGTCGGAAGGGGGTCCGAATCGACATTACCCGGAAATGCGCGGATGCGTTGCCTAAACTGCAAAATTAGGGAGGACCAATTCGGTGGTCTAGAATTTCATGGAGTTCAAATGAGTTCAAGCTAGCAGCTAGGACAAGCACGGCTGGCAGTTGGCCGTGCTGGCACAAATGCGTTTTACAGCCAAGCCGCCAAGATTCGCCAAGCCCAA